GTCGCGCTCTGTCGAGGGGGAGTGCAGTGTGGATCTTCGCATCGTGAGTCGGGCTCGACAGGGGGTCTGGATGGTAGGGCTGAGCACATACTGTTTCTATATCGATCGGCTCGCATCGCGAGAAGAGGATCGATGAGTGGCAATGCAAGCCGTAGGCGATCCAGAATATGTTGCGTGATTCCTGGATCTTCTGGAGATGCTGGGACGCAGCACTCGGGGTTTCTCGCCGATCGAGGTTGTCGAGTTCAAACAGACGGACGAGCTGCGTGAGTCGCGCCATGGTGATGATGGCTCGTGTAGCAAGCGTCCGGGTGAATTCATAGCGAGCAATGAGGATCAATGTCTGCACCGTTTCGAGGTTCAAGGATGAGCTTTCCATGTGCGTTTCGGCCATCTCGAGATGCGATCTTGCCGCAACATAACACTGTTGCTCCAAATAGAGGGTCGTATTGTGTACACCCGCCCCAGCCATGGCGACGGCGTATCTCATGCATGTTTGACCGGTTCTCTTGCACCGGCCGCATCGGGGTTTGACGCGGTCACGGCGGACTTTGCGCTCTCAACAGAGATCTCAGGTGGTGCGTTTCAGATCAGACGGGTTTGTAAAGATCTGCAAGGCGGGATCAATGGTGGCGGTGGTGGTGGTGTTGAGAGCGTGGAGATCCATTACGATGTAGACCGAACAGCCACCTACTCTAAAAATGTATGATATATTGACATTCTAATCACATAGGATACTTCCCTATACCTGTTCAACTGACGACTGCATGGCTACCCTTTATAAATCACACGAGGTAGTAAAAGAGGCCACACAGCCCACCACCTAAGTAAGATCGCCCTTAAGATCTGCCCACCCCGAAGAGTCTGAGATGCATTAGTCGCTTACGTACTTGTTGGTTTAAATGGGGCGCCTCAGCAAGAGCATGTCCTGTCGGTGCTTTCACATCCTCCTAGACCACCTGCAGTAGATAGTGGCCGCCAGAAGCTCGTCGGCGGTTTAGATCTGTTCGTTGGTCAGCACTAGTTGTGCTGGCGCAGATGGCGCTGCATGCCTCGAGACTAAATGGAACTGTATACGCAATTGGCCCCTGCTATGTCTTGTAACAGCGTTCATATCTCCGTCCCATCGTTACTTCGTTCATTACAATGGCCGTGGCACCAACCTCAGCCGCTCAGATTGTTGTCAACCAACAAGCGCACTATTTCGCGTAGAGAGAGTGTGCATGATTCAGGAGCCTCCGACAGCACGTTTGTGATAAGATTTACCAAGGGGGTACGACATGTACTAATGTGTGCCATGTAGACAGCTACTCATCATGGAAAGAAGACCCAATTCCTATTTGTAACTAACTACCCATCGTGACCAACTGCCCCAATCACGCCGACTCGCCCAGCTTTTCCCGCATAAAGTCCAGAGTCACCGCATTAGCCTCATCTGCCACGGGCAAGCCGGGAAACGCAGTAAAACCATGAGTGGCGCCGGGGTAGATCTTGACGATCGCCTCTCCACCGGCGATACTCCACTTGGAGCTCATCAGAATCGTGTCATCCAGCAACGGATCCTCCGTCCCGCAGAGGAAGAGCGCGGGAGGCAACGAGCCGGCGGGAATGCCCGCCACCAGAGCCTGGAGATCCTCGTACAGAGGAGAGACGCGAGGACTCCTGCGCTCAGCGGCGCTCATGTTCGGCACATAAGCGCCGTTGAACCGCTCCAAGATGGCCAAGTTGATCATGAGCGGCTTAGTGGAGTGGGCCACTGTGGGCAGGCCAAGGCCCAGATCAAAAAAGCCGTATGGAAGTACGAGACCAGACAGCGTGTGACTGGGCCGCGACCGCATCAGTTGTTGGGCTGACAGCATAGCGAGACAGGCCCCTGCTGACTCTCCACCCAGAAACCGGAGGGGCCCGCCGTACACCTGCGCCGCATGGTCCGCCAGGAACTCGGTGGCATCGATGGCATCGTGCACGGCGGCCGGGTAGGGATGTTCCGGAGCCAGACGGTAGCCGACTGAGATGGCTGTGAGCTGGCACTTGTTGGCGTATTCACGGAGCATGCTATCGGAGCTGGCACAATAATTAACCGTCATGTCTGCTTTTTTCGGGAGGTGAGAAATCTCACTGCTTGTGCGTTGCCAGCACGAAACCGCCCCCATGAAAGTGCAGGAAGATGCCTTTGCTGGGCTGGCCGTTATCGGGCTTGTAGATGCGGATGGGGATCTCCCGGTTAGCGTCACGGGAGGGAACAGTGCCATCAATAGCCTCCGGGAGATAGACGGGCTTAGGCAGCGGCGTCTGACCCAGCTCCCGCATCCCACGGTACTTCTCGATGCCAACTTCCCACCATCGCGGTCCGCCGGTGGTGATGCTCTCCAGCAGCGCAGCGGCTTTCTTTGTTGGCTCCGTGACGTTCTCCGGGCGGAACTTGGAGACGTCGATGGTGATATCGCTGGTAATCGGCATTGTGAGGGAGTACGGGAGTATGTGAGGTCGATGATGATGTGTTTCTGGAGACAGAGAGAGGGAATATGAAGAGGGAGAGTAATCCAACACGAGGAAGCAGATCGTTCCGCCCCTCTTCCTCCTAGTAAGCGTTTTCTTTATCTGATCCCTGCTCCAGTACCGCATTCCCCGAATGCAGGCATGTGGGTGCGACCCGCCTGCGAGTGAGATGAGGATCCATCGAGGAAGGCTTAGTCTAGGCTTTACCGATGTAAGACCGCGGCCCTATTCGGGCCTGTCCGTGCTGACTTGACGGCCGCCGACCCGGCGTCCTTCAACAAAGAGAAGGATGAAGCATAGATATCAGCATATGGGTTCGTACCGTAGTAGAAGACCTTACAAGATGTGCATATTCGCTAGAATCCTCTGTTTTGTGAGAACACCCTTCTCATCATCTTTGTCCATTCCCAAATCAGCATCGTCATGAGGACGCTTTTCGAAGTAGTGGACCAGTTAGCGACCGAGCGCCCACACAGTCTCTGGGTGAAAGCCGCGGCCTCAGTGAATGGACATCTATGCTGGAACTACATAACGTGGTCCCAACTGGCCACCACGGTCAACTATGGGGCGCACTGGATGGAGGCTCGCCTTGGGCCCCAGGCGGAGAACGAACCCGTGGCGTATATGGGGGTGGGCGATATCCGAAATCCCATCGTGGTCCTGGCTGCCATGAAGACGGGGTACAAGATCCTCCTGACGTCGCCACGCAACTCCCAGGATGTGCAGGTCGCTTTGCTCAGGTCGACCCCAGCCCATTTCTCAGCTCGGCCTCATCTTCACCGGACAGGGTGGATGGCGCCATGGGGGTCGTCGCTGAGTGTCTCATGCAGAGACGTGCGGGGGTCTTGATGCTGTCGGTGGACGACTTCGCCCTAGAGTGATCCAGCGTTGGGGGATATGGGCTGGACAGCATGATTGGGGCTGAGCTGCGCAACTGGCTGTTCAAGACATTTGGACTCAACATTCCATTCCAGGAGCTTTTCCTCGTCCCTGACGTTTAAGGGGCTGTCGCTGTTGGTGCTGAAGGCTCTGGGAGTGGATGTTGAGTAAGTTTATTGGGGGGGAGGAGTACATATACTAGGTACTAGTATACCGCCGATGTTAGAGCGAAATGCCTAAAATGATTCTGGAAATGGAAGTCTTAGCATTAATTAATTTATCTATATTAATCTATTGTGCAAAATAATTAATAATATATACTTCTAGAATGATAAGAATTACTTCATCATGACAAGACGGTGTAAAGGCTTAGCTCGGGCTGATCTTTTGCGGCTGATGCCCTATTAGGCCTACCCTACTAAGCCTCAGCGTGCCCCGCAACTTCTCTTTCTCTCGTATGTTATGATCTTCCTCAATCAATCTACCCTCACCATCACCCCAAAATGGCCTCCCCTCTGAGATCGGGCTGGAATGCCCTGCTCATCCTGGCCCTCCTTCTCGTCCTCCTTCCCCAGGCCCATGCATTCGGCGCCGGCAGTACGTCCCCCACCATATTCATGCTCCATTGACTGACCGAGTACTAATCCCACAGATATCGCCTCCATCTCCGCCGTCGAGGGCAAAAACTGGCGCCATGGCGACATCGAAGACATGCTCAAGACGATCGCATTTATCAAAGGCCACAAGTGGACCTCTAACATGGTCAAACGCGTCTACTTTGGAAACTGGCTGCGTGATTAGTACGTGCATCTGTGGCCTCCGTCATCCACGTCAAGCTGACCCCTCCAGCTCCCAGGCAATGGATGTCGGAACCCTCAAGAGTCTCCCCGCCGATACCATCCGCGTTCTGGTCTGGATCCTCTCCTTCATGACATTTGGTTACGCCACCGCCGAGTTTGAGGTCACCGCCGAGCGCCTGGGTGTTTACCGTCCCGAGGAGCATATCGAGTTCGTTCCCCCTCCACTCTCCCCCGAGTTCGTATAGCTGACCCATCAGCAACCCGAAAGACTACGCCGATAACCAAGATGCCCGCCAGTACGACCAGCGCCTCCGCCCCCCTATCCGCCAGGTCGAACTCGATATCGACCCCCACACCGGCATGAAGAACTACATCGCCAACGAGCGCGGCGACTGGGCCACCAGCGCCGGATACGTCAAATACAGCTTGGCCCGCAGCATCCACTACGGCCGTATGTACACCCACGGCGGACACCGCAAGGGCAACGAGGAGGACCTCTGCGAGGCGCTGCGCTGTCTCGGGCAGGGTCTACACACGCTGGAGGATTTCGCCGCCCACACCAACTACTGCGAGCTCGCCCTGCGCGAAATGGGCTTCCACAATGTCTTCCCGCACACCGGCTCCGCCACCCAGATCAACCTGCACGGTCGCCAGGTCTTCCCGCTCGTCACCGGCACCTTTGGCATGGTGGATTTCTTCCACTCCATGCTCGGCGAGGCCACGGATCACTTTACCCAGTCCGAGGTCAACGAGATGGACACGGCGCTGGGCAACGCCCAGTCCAGCTCGTCCAGCGGCTCCGGCAACGCGCTGATCTCACTGCTCGGCAAGATCCCCGGCACCAAGGATCTGGTCGCTCAGGCCGAGGAGCTGAAGCGTCGGTCGGAGGCGCAGCAGGCCGCGAACCAGCACTCCGGAACCCACTCCGGGTACGCCACGGAGGTCTCTCGTGCCTTCGGTGACAGCGACAGCACCCCGCACCGGGCGTCGACGCCGCAGTCGCAGTCGCAGCCCGCGCAACCAGCCACCAGCAGCTTCGACCCGCAAAAGACCATCGCGCAGATCTACCCCATCCTCGAGTTCCGCGATCGGGTTGTGCGCAAGCTGTCGTCCGTCATTGAGAAGATTCCCGGGCTGGAGGCGCTCGTCGAGAAGATCACCGAGTCGCTGACCGTCTTCGTCATGTCGCTGCTGGCGCCGTTTGTTCGCCCGCTGATCAACGCGGCCTCCAAGTCGCTGCAGAGCGGCTCCGCCAGCGTCATCGACGCCTCCGGCAAGCACCAGTTCGAGCCCTGGACTGACCCCCACTGCACCGATCCCACCCACTCGCTGCTGTCCAAGGACCACTTCTCCAACATCCTCAACGAGCCCGCTGGCCACGTCGCCTCCGCCATCCTCAAGTACGTCACGCCCCGCGTCCTGCACGCCTGGCAGAACGTCGACATCCCCGAGCAGCAGGTCCTGGACGACTGTTTGCACGTGTTCCATCACCCCGCTGTGCGGGACATGCACAATGAGGCGCACCGGACGATGTACGAGGCTGTTCAAGGCTGGGTCCACTCGCGGAGCGACCGCGGTGCCGGCCTCAACGACATCCTCAGCGCTGAGGGAGTGAAGGCTGGGAAGAACAACGGCGGCCAGGTGGGACACAGCCACGCGCAGGGACAGGGTCATGGCCATGGAGGAGCGGGATACAGCCAGACGCAGGCTCATGGATATGGCGCACCGCCGGCACAACACCACTACCAGCAGCCGCAGCAGTCGCAGCAGTCGCAGAGCTCATCTTCGCTTCCATGGGAGCAGCTGTCCAGTCTGCCCATCCCGGGGATTGGGAAACTGGACAAACTGAGTAGCACGCTGTCGAGTTTGGGGCTGGGCGGTTCATCGAGGGACGAGTCCTCGCAGGGTGCACCCCAGACGCAGCACCAATACCCGACCTCGTCGCAGCCTCATTATCCGTCGCATCACCAGGATCAGCAGCATTCCGGCGGGTATAGTCACGGCGGTAGTCATGGTCATGGGGGACATAGTTCGGATTACTATGGACAAGAGGGAGGATATGGGCATCATCAGGGTCATGGACAACATGGACAGCACCATGGAGGGCACCATGGAGGCCATGGAGGCCATGGTAGTCACCAGTATGGGCAGGGGTATGGAGGTGGATACGGGGGATACGGTTATTAGATTGAGCGCTGTAGGATTAGTTTCAATACCCATGCGATGTATCTTATGCTTGCCTCCTTGTGGGTACGATCGCATATGGGCTAGTCATAATGTCAAATTTGGTTCGCTCCTCAACAAGCGCGGCCGGGCTAGCTCAATCGGCAGAGCGTGAGACTCTTAATCTCAAGGTTGCGGGTTCGACCCCCGCGTTCGGCTTTCCTTTTTTTTTTTTAACCCCTCTCTCCCTCCCTCTACGAAGTAAATCTGTGGGAGAGAATGTTGTTTTTTATTCACTTTTTTTATTGTTTACAGTAGTCGTACAGGCATTCTTATGCATGCATTTGCCATGCCATGTGCGAAGCATGTGTAAAACGACTTGTGTATGTAGTACATACTCCGTATATATATTCGGAACATCACATTCAACCGACAGACAACACATGTATGATCTAGGTACACAACTCTTATGAAGCATGCAACCAATCCCGCTCAATCAGACATGTCTTCATTCAAGATGTACTCGCCATGAACTATCTCATTCCTCTGTACCCCTCGGTTCTGAGCGGGGTTTCACGTGGAGCCGGCCGAACCCCAGGATTTTGTTGGGGATGATTGAATAAGGCGATCACTGCGAGGATCTGCAGCCGCTCGATTCCCTTCTAAGCATGCCTTGCGAACACCACTCTTCACATGTAGTAGCCCTCTGCTGTCTCCAACCGACCTTTCCATGATGCTAGCATATATAACCGCCTGCCTGCCTGCGTCCAACACGCTCAGGCTAGGCAAACACCCCTCATCTTCTTAGCAACTGTTGACCGAGTGAAGAGTCGACATGCCCGCCCCCAACCCTAAAGACTCGATGAAGTCGACCTGGCGCACAGCCAGCCGCGACACATGGTCGATCCACCACTGGGCGATAGACCTGCTTGGTGCGCACCCGGTGGCGCTGGACAAGGAGGTGCCCGTGTTCGATGCAGGCAGCAAGCTGCCGTACATGCCGCAGTGGTCGCTGCAGCGGTGGGTGCTGTTCTACGCGGCGATTCCGCTCGCGCTGCAGCAGGTGTGGGCGATGGCGACGGGGCGCAACCTGTCCGGCTTCGCTGTATTCAACCTGTACTTTTTCGCGATCAACGCGAACGTCATCTACCAGGTGCACGTGCTGCGGCGGCTGGCGCATGTGTATGGCTTCCTGGACGGGCAGCACGCGCGCGACGGCGTGCCCGACGTTGGCGTGTCCAAGGTCGTGCACTCGCTGTACAAGACGACGGGGTCGCGGCTGGCGCTGTCGGTGTGGCTGTGCTATCGGCAAGCGCAGCTGCCGGCGCAGCTGGACTGGGCGTGGCTGCCGCTGCAGATCGGGGTGTACGGCATCGTGCTCGACTTCTGGTTCTACTGGTACCACCGGCTGATGCACGACGTGCCGTGGCTGTGGCGCTTCCACCGCACCCACCACCTCACCAAGCACCCGAACCCGCTGCTCGCCGCGTACGCCGACCACGAGCAGGAGTTCGGCGACATGGTCGCCGTGCCGATGATGACCTTCTTCACCCTGCGTGCGATTGGCCTCCCACTCGGCTTCTACGAGTGGTGGATCTGCCAGCAGTATGTCGTCTTCGCCGAGGTGTTTGGCCACAGCGGCCTGCGCGTGCATACGTCTGTGCCGTCCACGCTGAACTGGCTGTTGACTATGCTCGGCGCTGAGATTGTCGTCGAGGACCACGATTTGCACCATCGGAAGGGCTGGCGGAAGAGTCACAACTATGGGAAGCAGACGCGGCTGTGGGATCGCATCTTTGGGACTTGTGGGGATCGCATCGAGGCCGTCGAGGAGAATGTGGATTATGAGAATGTCGTGCCGATGCCGTTGTGGTAGTGGTGGCCCGCGCCATGTTTTTATGTATGATGAATAAACTAGACTGTACATACGTGTACATTGCGGTTGCGCATGTGGGATACGCTAGATGCCTGCAGCTCATGCATGTCAATGCGCAGAACGTTCTCTGATCCCTGTAATTACCAGTGTGCATTAGGAACTAATACTAAGTAAGGTATCTCGTCCGGAGAATGTCATAACCAACCTATATACATAACCATACCTGGTATCTCCACTGAAGTAGTCATTATTCATCATCACAGCTTCGTCCCCTCCCGTCCGCTATCACTTAAGCGACGCGGTCGAAGAAGCCCCGGGAACGGTCCCGCGGAATTGCTGGGCCCTGCTGCTGGTGAGCCGAGCTGCCCCGTGTGCGACTCTGTGTTGCTGTTCCCGTTGTTGGTGCGCATGCCAGCCCGCTGCGGCTGGTGCAGTCGCGGGTTCATGAGCCACTGCACCTGCATGCGGATGCTGCCAACTGCAGCGTTGGTGTGTGCCATATCCTCCTTGAGGCGGAGACACTCATTCATGATGGCCATGCTGGCGCGGGCATCAAGATCTGTGATCGCATGCGACAGCTGCCCAACTTCTTCGCGCAGCGACTCGTGTAGCGAAAGTAGGTATGTGGTTGCCGGAGAGGAAAAGACGTTGCCGTTGTCTACCTGTAACGGGTCATCGCGGGGCGGGTTCGACGACGATGACGGGCCGGGGTCGGCGTTGCGAGCGGATAGTGCGCGCGTTGACTCGACCAGCGTCGAGCGGATGTTGGCTATCCCGTCCTCAAAGATCTCGTTGCGCTGCTGCAAATGGCGGATCGTCAACTCCATCGAGTCGAGACGTGCGTTCTGCGCTTCAAAATATGGCCCCATCGTGATGAGGGGGCAGCTTTGCTCGTGCGCTACCAGCTCGGCCCGTTTGACCTTGACGGGACAGCCGTATTTGGATGCGGCGCAGCAGTGAATTGCCTCAGGACAGGTTTCGATATGTTCGCGCAGGGCCTTGCGGAACACGGTGGTGTGGCAGTCAGGACACGTTGTCTTCAGACTAGGGCAGAGTTCGTGGACATGTTCCTGTGGAGGGTTAGCAGTTGAATGCGTGAGGACTGGGCATACATACCTCGTAATCTTGCTCCATGACTTCCTCCTCGCAGCGCGTGCAGGTATGCAGTTCGTGCATGCAACGGTTTTCCGGGTGGAGGTCCTTCTTGCGGGTCTTCCTGTCGCACAAGGGATTCGGACAATCCATAAGGCGGTAATTACAGTACTTGTCGACGTGCGACTGCACATGACCGCGGGGCACGATCTCCGTGCAGCCCTCCGCCCAGAACGGACACTTGACCCGAATGTCATCGCACATGTTGATCAAAAGCCGGGGCACGTTGAGGTAGACATCTCTTGTCGGCGTTCGGCAGGTAGGACACGTGAATTCGTCTCGACCGGCGGCAAAGCTGGTGATGGCGGTGTTGAGACATTTCTGACAGAACACATGGTCGCACTTCAAGCGTACGGGGCGGATGAAAGGACAGTGGCAGATGGGACACATCAGATGGTCATCGTAGCTGGAGACGTAATCAAGGGAGCGTAGGTCCACGATCTCATCTCGGTCGAGATTCGCCTCCATCGCAAGGAGTTCTTCGAGGCTCATATTCAAGCAACTCCGTCGGGGAGCCTTCTTCCGGTCGTTCTTCCGATGTACTTATATCTGGACGACTCTCACTCGACGGTGACACATGGATGGGCGCAGACAGGGGAAGGGAGGATGCGGTGATCGAGGATGGATCGTCCGTCGGGTTGCCAAAGGGGTGAAATGATGAAACAATAGCCGCGGGAGGTGCCCATGAGGGTTACACGGTGGCTGAAGTCAGATGGTTGTACAGGAGAGAAAGAGAGAGAGAGGGAGAAAGAGAAGAAAGGAGGAAGTATGAGCGGATGAACGGAGATGGATGTATGGAGGGGGGAAACTCCATTGCGGGGAGAACACAGGGCGGAAAGCGGCTGATCAGTCCGCCGCCGGCCGAGAGACTGCCTCACCTCCTCTCTTTCCATCCGTCGTCATCATCATCACCACACCCATTTAGACGACTTCCATCTCACCCCTGCGATCCGCGGCGATCTCTGACCTACCCAATCCTCTTCCTCTTCCACCTGATGACTAGCCAGTTCATCCGTGTCCCCGTCTGAAACGTCCTCGGCCTGTCGCAGGCGCCTTCTCCGCATTGTCGTGAGGTCAGCACTAAAACGACTGCGACACCTCAAACAGCCACGTCTTCTCGTCCTCCTCCGATCATATCGCAATCCTTGCGACTCTCCGACCGCAAGACAACGAAGATCCGCATCCTCTCTCTTTCGCCATGACAAATCCATCGCAGCTCTTCCTCCTTGCAGATCACATCAAGCTGTCGCTTCTGGAACGCCAGCGGGCGATCTCGCTGAACCTAGAACCGAACAGCCAAGATGGGGAGATCTCCCGCTCGCTCGAATCCCTGCGCGACGGCATCGCCAAGGTGGAAGCCGACTGTGCCGGTCGGGCCGCGACAAACAACGACGACACCACCGACCTGAGAGACCAGCTGGGTCACCTGCAATCGCAGTACCAGGAGCTCTCGGCGCAGTTTCACCGGCCAGAATCGTCCGCCAATAACGACGACCCGACTCGGGCGTCGCCCGAGTTCCCCAACGTCCAGCAGGGCTCCGCGCCCGACCTCAAACAGCCCGTGCCGCAGCATCCGTCCTCCAAGTCCGTCCGGTTCATGGATGCCGCCGCCGCCGAGGACGACGAGCTTAACCGGCGCAATCTGTTCCAGCCGTACCGCGACTCTCCGTCGCCGCAGGGGGCGGACACGTCGGCCATGTCCAACGAGCAGATCTACAGTCATCATGACCAGGTCCTCCGTGATCAGGATGAGCAGCTCGACCGGCTCGGCGAGTCGATCGGCCGGCAACACCAGCTCAGTATCCAGATTGGAGATGAACTGGACGGCCATGTTGCGCTGTTGGATGATCTCGACGGGCATGTAGAACGCCATCAGACCCGTCTGGACGGGGCCCGACGACGGTTGGACAAGTTCCGGCGGAGCGCCAGTGAGAACTGGAGCATGATGACCATCATCGGCTTGATTATCACTCTGGTCATTCTGATTGTGCTGTTGAAATGAGCGAGCTGTACAGGTTGGGCACTGGCGCATGGGATTGATTTTCATACGGTTATACGGGCGAAGACTACATCTGTTGTGATTGTTTCTCCACGGTTATATCATGGTTATATGGAGTTAGAGTACTTTTCCGACGAATTCAATCATGTTCATCGCACCCTCCGGATCCAGTCCCGGTTGCGTAGAGTAGATACAGTAAAGGCACACCGCCAACCACTAACACCTATCGAAACGCCTCCCCAGCCACAGACGCAACGCATTCACTTCTGATTCGGCAGATGCTTCGTCTTCTGCTGCATCTCGTTGAAGTCCTTACTGTCGCTGTCGGTCTCGCCGCGATCCGCCTTGACCTACAGACTGCATTAGCCAAACCAGTTCGAACCCAATGCACACTCCGGCGGCGCTTATCCGAAACACGCCGCACGCAGGAGGCCGAGGACGGGGGACCATACCGAAGCCTCGCTGTTACTAGCAAGTTCCTGCTTCCACTTCGCCTTGCCCTCTTTGGAGCTCTTCAGCTGTTCCTGTTTCTCGGATTCGTAGACATGGTCCAGGTTGTCGCGGTCTGCTGCGTCAGCCTGCGCCATTCCGGTGCCATGGGGGGTGTAGTGTCATGGAACCTACTGTGATCGCTCTCTTTCAGCCCGGGACGGACGGATGAGCTGTGGAAGGAGGAGAGGGCTGTGTAGGGGGCGGGTTTCGCCGTCTGCAGGAGACGAGTGTTGAAGGTACGAAGGAGAGACATGGTTGTGGTTCGGTTCTATTCTTGATGCCGGTCAGTATATCCATTAAGGAGGCGGCTAATGGGGCAATTGGACTCACAGATGAGTAAATTCAATTGATGTGTGATGGATAGAGTAGCAGTGGGTAAGGCATGCTACCCTGATATAAGAGAATCCATATTACACATCCGGGTGGTTGTCACCGGTGACGTCATGCATATCGCATCCATGGCAGCAGTGGCCACTCTGTCAATGATACTGGGTATTCCCTGGTCAAGTGGGGTTCCTGTCGGACAGGCGGAGGTCGATTCTATTTTAATATAGAATACCTCGGATGTTCACTTGTCGTGTACTGCTGGCATAGTACGTACCTACGTTCCTATCATACTCGAGTCTACAGTAAGCAAATGCAGTATAATGGATGAAGGGTCCAAGTGATTCACACTATGTACGGAGTCACCCGCATAGTCAGACATATAGACAAAAGAGACGAAAAAGATGGAAGATTAAGAACGAAACAAATCATACAACATCACTCTCCGGGAGTCCCCAGATACAAGAATAAACCATCCGAACGAATCAACGCGGAAGCACAGAAGCAGAAGCGAAATATGCAGTCGACCAACGACGCAGCTATTTTCAACATAAATGAAAACGGTCTAAACCTCGCACAGGACGAGAGACCCTCCAAACTCCGCATCCAGTCCATGGATTTTCAGTCGGCTGTTTCGAAGTAGCGACATAGGATATCAACCCATCCCCCAACCCATATACATGAATGAAAAGAAACACAAGTGTTTTAGAAAGGGACATATGCGAAGTATAGGTCAAGAACACAACAATAAACATCCCGAACAATCAGCAATCCCAACAATGCAGACGTAGTGTATCGTTTCCACCTTTCTAGAATCCCGGAACATGATAAACCAAAACCAACCCACCCAAACAGAATCAAGCAAAAAACCAAACAGACCGTGGATATCTGGCAAACCGCTGGGTAACGTGCAAAGTCGCCAAAGCACACCGAGAAGCAAACTCCGGACCGTAGATAATCGCCCACATGGCAAATTCGCTGTACTTTCTATACATCATCGCGGCCCCAACCCCGTGGGCCACAAATACGTATTTTCCCTAACCGAAGAAATAGAAACAAGGTATCGTGTAGAATGTCGAATAATGCAAGAAATCGAATCGCAAGGCGCCGTCGCTCGCAGAAAGTCGAAAGCATCAGTCTAGCCAAATGTGCGGAGAGTCGTCATCGAGAGGAAGTGAAAAGGGTGTATATACAGAGGATCACCGAAGGGGGAGACCCTTTAGGTAGATTGCGCTCGTGAAGCAAAGGGGAGAAATTCGGTTTGGTCGTTATAGATGCGATGGCCGTGTCGAAACAGTGAACAAGTCAACGGAAATTAATAACCCGCGGTTAGGGAACCTCGATGATGCAGAAGCCAGGCGAATAAGAAAACGTGTCATGGGCGTGGTGCCCCTTGCCAGTGTGATGGCGACTTGAGCGGGCCTCACCATCGCCGCTGGGCATTCTGCATCGAGCCCGGAGAGATGGACGTGGGAGGGCTGGTCAGAGTCATACCCGTGTGAGGATTGACGATCGGGATGACCTTGCGGGTGCGGACCGCCGACGGCTGCTGGAAGTTCACGTGACTCATGTTACCCGTGACCCCGGAGTGAACATACGAGTTGGCGGACGCGGGCGAGAGGGAGATGGATGGGGTGACCTGCTGAACCGGCTGGATCTGATGTTGGAGGGGCGAGGAGTCGGGGGAGCCGCTGGACAGGGAAGACCGATCCGAAGAGGCCGAGTGAATGGAATGGAGCTGGAGACCTGTTAATCAAACATTCCGTCTTGGTCGTCTAGGGGCGTGGCAACACCGAATCCTAGGATCGATAGGGGGAAACGCATACATCGTCCTCAGTCAGGAGGCCGGGGCAAAACTCCAAGTCATCATCGAGGTCGAAGGAGCGTCCAGCCTCGAATCTCGCGCGGAAAGCCGTCACCGCCGGGGCTTCGGCGAGCTCCCGCATGCTCTTCACCCCCCGGAACTGACGCTGAGCGTTCTGCGCGGCCATCTTGGGACCCCGTCGAGAACGCCCACCGTGGTGGTTGTTGGAGGTGGGCATGTGGGCGGCTGCGCCGTGGTGAGGGTGTTGCTGGTGCTGTTGCTGGCCGTAGAAGAAGGTCGACATGTTGACACCGGGTCGATACGAAGCGAGAGAGGGAAGAGAAAGAAGGAAACGGTATATATCGTTTCCGGTGGAGACAAACAAGGACCAGCACGCTGGAATCCTAGTTGGAATACACAAGGAGATTGTACCCAGGGAATGGGGCGTATGAGAGAGACAAGGGGTCGGATGGAATGGAGATAGTCACGCAGGATGCGAACTGAATGGGAGACTTTGAATTAAAGGATGATGGACGAAGAAATAGACGGAAGAAGAATGGAAGAAAGTGAACGCAACGAAAGGTCGGGGGGGAACGAATTTGTGGTCGTTGAGATTTGAGGTCTGTGTGGGATGGGGAATGGATCGAAGGCGGGACAAGAAGGATGGAAAACGAGAGGAAGAAAAAGGACCCGGACTGGACGGAGGCGAGAAAGCGTGAGAGAGCAAGAGGGGTGCAAGTTGTTGTGGTCGGTGACTCCACTGCTCAGCCCCAGCAAGGGCAGTTACCGCCGTATTACGACTCTCTCTATTACCTGTAATTTACCTGGTATGGGTGGTATGGTCCCCCCGTGTATCAGCACTGTTCCGATGCGTCTGCACCGGCCAGTCATCGTGGCAAGGACAAAGCCCGGTCTGCCAATCACCGTGTGTTGAGATCTGGTTTGGTGGGACCATGACAGCCACTTGCGACTCGTTGCCAATCAGCGGCAAGTCACACGGCTTAGAGCGGCTGCTAAGTGGACCTGCAGTGACGTCGAAACTTCCCCCTAGGCCGTTTCTGGTCAACCTCTCCACTCTCTCTGACACCCAATATGCAATGGCTTTTGTCGGCCGATGACCGGTTCCAACTACTATCAGCCTGGTTTTTAGGGCTCTCGTGGGCTGATACCAACGGCCGTTAGACATTAAGTATTATTATTACCTACCTAGATAGACATCACTTGGGCGTATCCGTATTGATACGAGGGAGAGGGTAGAAGATCGATAAAGCATACAAGATATATAGTACAGAGTAGGGTGTGGATCGATCATATTCATTAGTATCATGGTTATTGATTATTGCCGGGATTATTAGGTATCTTTACTTGCACTTTTATTATGTCTCACCGTAAACTCATCAATGATAATAACTACTCCTTAAAGGGATCATAGGCCTTATTATCTAGATACTACCTACGTACCTTTTCCTTCCAACATCAAAAATATTACACTGTTTGGCCTTGCGCAGGGGTACGGAATGTACGGAGTACATGGCTCCCATTTCCGAAGACAGGCATGTGTGGCTGCCCCTTAGTGCTTCTGCACCCTCTGCTAGTGCGACATAGAGCGGGTAATGATTTGCAACCGATGGTGGAGCATCGTCCCCTCCTCAGCCTGGTTCATTCGTTGCCGCTTTATTCGGTACCTTTCCCTTGAACCGTGCCAGTTGGTCTCCCCTCCCCTCCCTCTGGCGAAAAGCCTGCAGCGGATCCCAGTGCCCCAACCATGACCATCTTTGACTAAGGATTGGGCCTTTCCATGGTTCTGGCAAGCCCTGTGGTCTTCGCGGCTTCGATGGGTTTTCCAATGGAAAATTTCATCGCCCACCTGATCTGGGTCGGATGGAGTCGTTCCAAGTTACGACGTTCTGATTATTGTATGCTATTCTTATTACGGAGTATACAGCCTGGAGGGTAGCGGATATCCTCCCTCGTCAGGTACATCATAAGACATACCGTATCGTACATACAATACTATCTGGGCTAGGAGAATATGATCTCTCCAAGTGAGGTCATGATGTTCTCCCCAGTGGCCATCGTAGGTGGTCGATTCTGATAGAATGACCTCCTGCACCACACCCCAAGTCTAGACGTCGGGGAACAATTAGCCATGGATACGGTGGATCAGCCAGGCTGCAGTGGACTAGACTACTCCTCCTGCAACTAGGAGGGCCTAGGGAGAAAGCACGGCGGCTACTGGAACACAGATACACCACACCACCACCACCACTTCTTCATCCTTATGCAACGCAACACTAACCGACGGGCAAGGCCCCTGCTCCGACAGACGCCCGCACGTACCACCCACACATGGACGGAGCCCTGGAGCAGCAGACTTTCTGGATTTTCACACCTGCAGGCATCGGGCATCGGTCATTGGTGCCAGGGAGGACGTGTCCTGCATGGTGGAGGGCAGTCCTGGCGCCAGGACGCCCATGAGGCCATGGAGCTTTTCTACAGGTAGTTCCAAACCAACCACGGTGGTTCCTGAAGCGATGCTCCTCCAGCGTCCATCTCACCGCCGCTTGGTGCCCCAATCCGCTTGCATCATGGTGGTTGGAGAATTTATCCACCCGGGGCAAAGTGCCCCAATCGTCCATCGTCGCCTCCCAACCCCTCTCGACTGCCCCGGGCGTTGATTCGTGGCGATCGACCCGATTACGAGGAGGATCATGCTATTCCTTTCATGATCGAGATGGTTATCAGACTTTGCCAGGATGATCTGCCGTTTCCTTTCCTGGTCCGTTCATCTCCCTGGATCAACTGACTCTACGAAGTACTCCTCTGTCGGAGTAGGCGTAATAATGCGGGTGGCAAGAATCACAGCATCAGGAATAGTAACGTCTTCATTCCAGCTCCACCAGCGGAAGGATCAGGAATGCTACTAATCACCCGATTGGCTAATCAGATATCTTTCAAGCTCCATACCTTAGTCGCAGGCGACCATGCTTAGGCAGCTCCTGCTGACTGACTCTCTTTGTTTGCTCTGCCTTCTGGCTTGGAGAGTAAAGAGTAATCTTGAGCTAGGTACACAGTATACGGAGTCCTGTCGGAATACTTTCTCCCGGGGATACCTGGCGAACGTGATAGAATCCACGATACAGGCTCCGTATCTACTCTGTACGTACCACCCAAGCAAGGGATTGAAACACAATCCATGCCTGTGGACCAAAACCTGCCGACACTGGTCGACGAGGGAGTTGTCTGGACAAGCGCCCATCTGCCTGTCTCTCCATTCAACACCCCGGACTCTCTACTTGAAACATGGGGTTCATGTACGGAGTATGTATGTAAACGCCGGCAGATCTGGGATAACTACATCTGCCTGACCAAAATAGAACACGATCCGGCAACTTGACCCTTCATTCAAATGAGGTCGAGCCAGACACCGAAATGGCGTAATATGTGGCCTCCAGCTTTCGCAAATTACATGTATGGGACCACGACAGGTACCTATGTAGTTATGTAGGACCACCTCGGACTGGAATCTATCAACTGGGTCAGTTATCTTCCAGAGAAAATAAACATCACATCATGGCTCTTTGTTTTGTTTGTTTGCATCATGATCGACTTCTGTGATACAATGTCTGAAATGCGAATCTCCGTTCCTCGTTGAAGCACCAGATCTATCTACTTGCCTGCATCGAGGAGTTCATGCACTTCATCTCAGACAGCATTTAGCATTCGGGATATCTTGCACCAGACATCCAATGCATACCGATAACCTGCAAACAAAGCGAGCATGCCGTAGAAGCCAAGGTGCACCTCGGATAACCCCGACCTCGTTTTCCTGCGTGCTGCAAGGGATGAGGGATTCTTGAATCATGGGACTCTTGGATATCCACCCTTAAGTATACAAAGGTGTCATTGCAACAAACGGTCGAAAACAGTACCGACACTGTCTACATCGGCCAGACGGCTCGAACATATATCATACCACAAAAGATAATGGCTACTATCCTGATAATAATAAGTTCCGATTCAGTCCATGCTAGTAATAGTTTCATGCCAACAATGCCTATGGAATAATAATGCACAATGCAATTTCGCTAAAACAACCCGGCACCCCAAAACGCCGTTCAGACCAGACCTCCTACATGAATCCCCTTCATTTGTCCAGGTTCTTACTCTTGACCATCCGCCCAAGCAATTCCTTGCAATGCTTCTCGCTATACTGCTCCCATATCTCATACAGCGATACCAGCTCCTGTGTGCATTCGATAACAGCCTTGATGTCGACCTCGCTCTCTGCAAGCCACCCAACTAGCTTCTGGATCCGGGGCGGCCCGTTGCCGTTCTTGTCCCCCAACGCGGCGAGGAGGTTTACGCCCCCGTCGCGCATGGCCCCGGCCAACGCCGGGCCAGCAGACCCGTGGAAGCTGGTCTGGCTGGGCTTGAAGACCACGGCCACGATGATGGCCATGACAGCGATGACGTGGGGCGGGTATAGCAGCGGCAGGTCGGTGAGATAGTGGTCGTTGATGACAGACCAGGCGAGCGCCACCTCGTCCGAAGTGAGTTGTAATTCCGGCGTGAGCTCCGACAGCGTCCGGTACGGATGATGCACGATGAGCTGCGAGTTCATCTCTGAGATCAGCGCGAACTCGCATTCTCCCAGCTTGGAGACGTCTGGGGCGATGAACTCTGTCGTTGTTAGTTTGCTTCTGGTGGGACGGGAGGGGTGGTTCCATTTACCGGGCCAGAAGCTGCGAGCCTCAGCGACGACAAAGCGGATGTGCTGGGGGCATTCTTCCATTTTGCAGGCGAGGTAGAACGCAGTGGTGATTACCAGGTACGGATTCGTGTGTCGGATGTCATTTTTGGTGTAGAACCGCTTGATATATACTTGAGCGGTAGCCAGAGCCTGCTGTCTGGTGGTGGTTCTCTTTCCAAGCTTGATGAGCTCTATGGAGGGTTAGTTCGAACACGGCATGCGTTGGCCAGACAGCTACTTACGTTGACTGAAGTAGATGTTGAGTAACCTTTGATCCGGCAAAGGAAACTGAGAATGGGCGACTTTATCTCGCTCCTTGAACCCCTCTCGGATATCTGCCAGGCGCTCTCGGGTGAACAACCAATGTCGACGCTGGGTCGACACCCAGTAGTTGGCAGCCATGAATTTTGCTCCGTTCAGAAAAGAGCCACATACAACTGATCGGATATGCCTTGGGGGAGGGCTGTCATGCTATGGGGCCTCGGTGTAGATTGATAGAGGTCCGTTGCGGATAAACCCAACTCCACCAGATGAGAGGACGAAAGATCAGACAGAGCCCACCAACAACATAAACACGGAAAGCTCTGAAACGCTCAACGACGATATCACTCCCCGGGCATTTCTCTTCTCAGAAGAGATCTGATCATACTGGCGCTGCTGATAACATCTGGCGGCGGCAAGTCAGGTGAGCGCTGGATCGGGAATAGTAGGGCTGGGCCCTGGTAGTCCCGTGAACCCGGGCCGGAGCCAGCGTTTGTTCCGGGCGGATGTCGTAAGGAAGCAAATCATCGCGGCCGTATTTCTCATGGTGATCGGGCTCTTCTGTTGCTCGGAGGCTGTCTTGTACGCCAACCAACCACTCGCGCTTCTTGTTTCTCGCTTGATCCTCTTTATACTGCACGGTTCGATGCGCACGCTAGCATTTCAGTCCCTCTCTCCCTGTTACGCCAGGGATCTATCTCCGTTCCGAATCCTCGTGACCCCTCAGAAAATAATGACGGGTAGCCGATAATCATCGCTTCAATCGATCATGACACCTGGAGAGTCGACAGACGAACGTGACCGGAGGGTGGCTAAGCTCTGGGAGAGTCTGGGTGTTCCCAAGGATGGTCGCCTGGATCTCAATGGTCTGAAGAAGGGGTTGAAGAAGGTTGATCACCGTAAGTTTTCCCAAGTCATCCCCCGTCACCGGTCGTCACTGGATCGCGTCTCGTTGCCCAGCTGACTGTTACCGCTGTCGGACAGCCCTCAAAAATGCGGATGGGATGCTGCGGAATATCATGAAGACCGTCGATGCCAACGATGATGGGTACATTGATTATTCCGGTAAGACCATACTTTTGCGGGCATGGACTTGTCTTCCTGCACGAGCAAACTGGCTCTGATGCCAGTCTTCTTACCAACCTAATCGTCGCTAGAATTTCACTCCTTTGTCGACCATACCGAGTACGGGTTGTGGAAGCTGTTCCAGAGCATCGACCGCAACAAGAACGGAGAAATCGATAAAGCGGAGCTGAGGGCGGCCTTTGCCAACTCCGAAGTCACCGTTTCGAACGCCAAGCTAGACGCTTTTTTTGCGGACGTCGACAGGAATAATGATGGCGTCATTTCTTATGCCGAATGGAGGTATGTCGGGTCGTGACCATCGGATTAGCTCACCCGGCCGGAGCTGGTGACTGACTCTTTACCTCCTGCAGGGACTTTCTCCTCTTCCTACCCGCATACTCGCAATCCAACCTGCATGCTGTTCTGTCATACTACACGGCCACGGGCAATCTAAACCCGGAAGGAGATGTCCACATCAATGATCTACAGGGTTTAGGTACAGACCACTCGTTTCTTAAACGTTATATCTTGGCCATCAAACAGTTTTTGTACACTATCCTCCCAGCCCACGCTTTGGCAGCCTTCCTCCCCTCTGCCTACGCGGAAGTCGACGGGATCTCAAGTCCCGGCGCCGTGTTTGACAATGATTCTGTATCCCTAGACGGCGACTTCGAAGTGGAGTGGCTGCCTATACCCAGGACCGTCGCCATGTGGATGTCCTTTCGATACTATGAACAGAAGTTGACCGAGAACACTCCCCAATTAGGTTATTTTCTTGCTGGCGGAATTGCAGGCGCCGTATCCAGGACAGCCACGGCGCCCCTAGACCGACTGAAGGTCTATCTCATTGCCCAGACGGGCGTGAAGACCACTGCCGTCCGTGCGGCGAAAGATGGCGCCCCGCTGCAAGCCGTGGGGAGCGCGTCCAGGACGCTTGCAGATGCCGTCAAAGAACTCTGGCGTGCTGGAGGAATACGGAGTCTGTTCGCAGGTTGGTTCTCTTGAGGCCCGTTGAGGTAGTTTGAGCGCTAATGATGGTTCAAGGAAACGGGTTAAACGTGCTGAAGGTTATGCCCGAGTCGGCTATCAAGTTTGGAGCATATGAGGTTCGACCACTGCTCGACTCCTAAAATACTGCAAATACTGACATAATCTAGTCCGCCAAACGGGCCTTTGCTCGTCTTGAAGGACACAATGACCCTAAAAAGCTTCATCCTACGTCGCAGTTCTTGTCCGGAGGGTGCGGTGGAATGGTAGCGCAGTATGTATGATCGTCGCTTGTCGCGGGTCCGTTTTCTAACGAAGAGATAGATGTTTCGTTTACCCCTTGGATACCTTGAAATTGTGAGTTTACCACCCACCACTCGAAATGATTTGTCTAACAAGTTTGCAGTCGAATGCAATGTGAAACCGTCGAAGGTGGCCTAAAAGGCAACCAACTCATCGCAGCCACAGCTCGGAAAGTCTGGAATAAAAACGGTCTATTCGGATTCTTTCGAGGACTACCGCTCGGTCTTATCGGCATGTTCCCCTATGCTGCCATTGACCTATCGACCTTCGAATACCTCAAGCGTTTCATAATCGCCCGCAAGGCCCGGCTGAACCGCTGCCACGAGGATGATGTGCCCCTGAACAACTTCACGACAGGAGCCATCGGTGCGATTAGCGGGGGCATGGGTGCTTCGGTCGTCTATCCCCTCAACGTCCTTCGAACCAGGTTACAAGCCCAAGGCACAATCCTACACCCTGCCACCTATACCGGAATCGGCGATGTCGCTCGCAAAACCATCCAGACGGAAGGATTCCGCGGGTTCTACAAGGGCCTTACGCCAAACCTCCTCAAGGTTGCGCCGGCTGTTTCGATCAGCTACGTTGTGTACGAGAACTCGAAACGGATGCTAGGCTTGAGGTAACCGCCCGAAACCTTTCGCTGGATTCGTTCAATTCCTGAACTGCACCCCTACCGTCCGCTCGACCAACCTCATTTCTCTTGAATTTTTAGAATATTTCGCCAAGATACCCTCACAGCCATGCCGCCAGGGCGGAAGTTGCTTCCACACTTGGTCTGTTTTTTTTTGATAGCGGGCTGCGTTTCTTTTTCCATTGTCATGTGTTCCATTTTCGGATGCTATATCCTGGCTTCTAATGGCTCCTTTCATCACCACCCGTTCTTTGGAGTTCTGTGATCTTGACATGCCCCTTCTTTCACTCACAGGCACTGTTGGGATGGGTTGCAGGATCGACCACACTTGCATAGTAAGGCGTGCGCGTGTGGCAAAGCATATTATGGAGTTCGTCTGAGGATCTTATTGCCGTCTCATTTGTATACTGGATTCCCCGACTCGAAGCGCCACCGCTTCGTCTGTATCTAAGACCTGGTCTCACAGCATCTACACCTATAGCTAGAATACAAGGTGGAAACAACTGAAATTTTTAGTGAATTATAGTATAGACCAACCAAAGTTCCAAGTTACGTACTCCGTACTAAAAGACAAGCTATTTACTTCCACCAACAGCCCGCACCTCCTCATCCTTGGGCAGAATATCAGGCACCGGCCCGACAGGCGTGATAGCAAACTGGTTAATCTGCTTATGGCTCTTGGTGTAATGGAACTTGATATGCTCGAACTGGGTGGTATCCCGGAACGCGGGCACATCCCAGTAGAGCCGTCTCAGCCAGCGATGCAGCGCGGGAAAGCCAGAGCGGATATCGCGGAGGTTGCACTTGAAATGCTGGACGTAGACGGGGTCGAAGCGGACGATGGTGGTATAGAGGCGGACGTCGGCCTCGGTGATGGCGTCGCCGAAGTAGTACGGCGCGCCGGAGCTGGCGAGATGGGCCTCGATGCGGTCGAGCGAGGCGAACAGCGTCGTGACGGCCTTCTCGTACGCCTCCTGCGTCGTTGCGAAGCCGGACTTGTACACGCCGTTGTTGACGTCGTTGTAGGTCCACTCGTTGGTGGCGTCGATGGTGCTGCGCAGGGCCTGCGGGTACAGGTCGACCTGTTTGTATTGCGCGGGGAGGAGGTCGTCGAATTCGTAGTAGAGCATGCGGATGATCTCGGCGCTCTGTTTGTCCTTTCTTTAGCTCTGGGCCTTGGGAGGCTAGGCTGGTAAAGGGGGCAGGGACATACCTCGTTGCTTACGATCCGCTGGAGCTTCTTGTCGTAGAGGACCGGGACGGTGAAGCGCCCCGTGTACTCGGGGTCATCGGCAAAGTAGATCTCGCGGAGATGGGTGAACTGGGGGTGGAGGGGGTCGGGGGTGACGTTTTCCCCGGGGATGGACTCGTCCGGCGCTGCGAAGCGCCAGCCTTGCAGGAGATTAGCAGATTCCGGATAAGTGGGAGTGGACGAGACGAACCTTTTTCGCCGAGATGCCAGTGCACGGAGGTGTAGGTGATGATGTCTTCAAGGCCCTTGAGCTTGCGCACGATCAAAGTGCGGTGCGCTGGGCGGAGCAAGATACAGTCAGCAATTGGGAGCTTCTATCGGAAGACATGCTAGAGGCTGTCGGAGGTGGGAGAGGCCTACCCCATGGACACGCGTAGGAGACATAGAGATGGTAGCGGTCCTTCTCGGGAGGGAATTGCGCGCCGGCTTCTCTGGAAATCCAGTTGCGGAAGACGGACTGCTGGCGCTTGAATTCGCCTGATTTATCGTTCGGGTTCACCCAATCGGTGATCTTGCTGGTGTTTCCGGTCTGGTAGAAGCAGAAGATATTTCGTTAGGAGTGAATTCGGAGGCAAATTGGATTGGTAGAGCTTACGGCCATGGTGCGTTGTGGTGGGACAAACGGTGCGGGGAGGAAGGGAGTGGTTCTGTAGGTGGAAGACAGGAACCCTGCGGTGGATCTGGACTGCAAGAGATGCTGCGAGACCTGATGGGATCGTCGCAGAGCAGAAAACATGAGAAGGCGGGGGATGAGTGGGAGAGAAGTTGAGCTGAAGAGTACTACGTATATATACGAGGTGCGGGGAGAAAATAGATGACGTTGAAGGGCTGCTTAACTAGTGCTTACGGACTGCACAGTCACCCTGACAAAGCGGCTAGATAAGCATCAGATAAGAAATAGCTGACCAACCCGCAGCCCTAACTTACAGAATAGTTACTCTGTCTTTGACAATATTATATCCTCACTGCTATAATGTATTGATATAGATGTAAGCAAGTAGTAAACATAGTCTAATTGACACTAAGGCAGGTACTTCGAATCGGTGACTGTCGGGGTCCCTTTACAGTCTAGACCATCATTTCATCGACCCACATTGTTCTTCATGTCTGCTACCAAAACCATACTGGAGGCACTGCTAACTCTCACTCATTTTGACACACCATGAGTAATTCAAAGTCCAAAAGGTTTAAGTATGGCAACTCAAAACTCATATCATCCTAGCCAACACCGGGTTTTGGCCGACCAACTTCCAATCAAGCCGCCAAAATGCTTGTGGAACTCCTCTCCAACGGCTTCACCTGGTCGCTTATTGCAGGAGTCGCCGGCCTCCTTCTCCTTTTTACAAAACAGCGTCCCGTTTTCCCCGTTGTCAATGACTACCCAGGTGATTTCCTTCGTCGGAAAGCCTATCGCGAATACAACAAGAATGCGAGGAAACTGATCGCCGACGGACTGGCCAAGCACCACGGGCCCATCACGCTGCTTGTGCCTGGTGGCATGAAGATCGTGCTCCCTTCTGCCCTCAGCGATTGGGTGAAGACCAACAGGAACCTCGATCACCAAGAGCTCGTTAGGGAAGAATACTTTGCCCGCTTCCCGGGATTCGAGGCTCAATACGCCGCCCATAGCCCAGACAGAATGCTGATTGACATGATCCGAACAAAGCTATCGACGAACGAGACCATATTGCCGACGGTTAACCAGCATCTCGCGACAGCCCTACAAGAGCACTGGGGCAGCAGTGGAGTCTGGCATGTCATCAACTGGGATAAAGACACCACTGGAATTATCTCCCGCGCAGCAGCCTCCGTGTTCGTGGGCCCCGAGAAAGCCGCCGACCCGGAGTGGCAAACTCTCGTACAGACGTATGTACGTGAGTTCTTCACTGCCGTCGGGGAGCTCCACGCGTGGCCTGCAGTGCTGCGACCGGTTGTACATTGGTTCTTGCCGCGTATGTCGACTTGTCGAGCCCTGGTCCGACAAGCCCGGGCAACCATGCGCGACGTTGTCTACAAGAGGGAACAGGAAGCAAAGGCTGGACGAGAACGAGGTCTCGAGGCGCCCCAGTACAATGATGTCGTTGCTTGGACACAGAACGTCCCCAGCAACAATCTTCCAGCAGGCGATATTCAACTTGCTTTGGCCATGGCTGCACTTTTCACAACGACCGAGGCTCTCAAGCAGGTGCTTATCGACATAGCCCAACATCCGGAGCTGGTAGACCCGCTCAGACAAGAGATCAAGCAGTCATTATCGGATCAAGGACTCGGACTGGCCGCGCTGGGAAAGATGGAGCTGCTTGACAGTGTGATGAAAGAGTCACAGAGGCAGATACCTGTTTCGGGTAAGTCAGGCGAACTGTATCACGGACAACAAACGCTGATCGTTTGAATATAGTGGGCTTGGAGCGGAAGGTCATTCGCGACACCTTCCTTCCGGATGGAACAAGAATACCCCAGGGATCCCACATCATGGTCGACTCAGGCGACATGTGGAGCGCAGAAGTCCACGACAATCCAGAGTCGTACGACGGATACCGGTTCCTGAAGCGACGTCAAGCTGGGAACAAAAAGAGTCAGTTTGTGCAATCGAGTCGAGAGCACAATACGTTTGGAGGTGGCAGACATATATGCCCCGGCCGCTTCTTTGCCAGCAATGAGTTGAAGTTATGCCTGGCCCACATTTTGTTGAAGTATGATGTTCGGCTGAAGCATGGATACTGCTCGAGACCCGTGCAGTTTGGTGTCTATGCGAGTGTCGACCCCGTTGCTGAGTTGGAGGTTCGACGAAGAGAAGTACCTGATGACAATGTACTATGAGGTTCTGGGATTTTCCTTGGTCGGCTGTATGTATAGAGAAAATTTACCAATCCAAGATAAATTTAATATTTTAACATGATATTTCAGCTTAGGATATACTGGAGGAGTGAGGTACTAGTAGAGAGGCCTTGCATAGAACTGGAAGTCTAAGGCTAACAAAAGTTAATAAGACAGCCGGAAAAACAGAAATCCAACAAGATATTGTAGAGGTCCTCATCGCAGTCGTGCTATACTGCTTGAGACCTGTTCCTGGCCAGGATATGCTTGGAACTCGTCCAACTGTGTGCCAACACCAGCCGAGATGAAAAAGAAGTCATATATCATTTGTTGCTTCTAATCTGCAAATCAAGAATGGGTGTTTCTATCCCTTCGGACAGAATTTTGCATATCTTTACTTCCGCAGCTTCACCATCACGTACGGAATCTCCACATCCTCCTCGGTCTGGTCCTCCGCAGTCACTTCGAAGATCACATTCTTCTGGTGCTCTGGCAGGGGCTTCTTGCTGATGTGCTCCACCAACTTGCTCATCCTGTAGTTTTAAGCGTTAGTAAATGAATATTCATCAAAGACGGGATGATAGGAGACATACTGCATAGGAAGGCGGTCCTTCACCTTCGAAGGAGGGTAAAAGCTGGCATACAACAAACTCACGCCCGAGCTGACCATGCTGATCTCCAGGCCCTTGTCGGAGAAGTACTTGAGGAAGTCCTGGAGCGGAATGTCATCCACTTCGAAGCGGTCCCAGAGCTTGTCGATGGTCACTTCGCCCTGCTTGCCCATGTACTTGCCCTTGGGGCTGGCAATAGGCTCACTAAATCCAAAGAACGGAAGAGCGAGGTTTGCAAAGCCGTTCTTGTACTGCTCAATATCATCCTTGCCATCGATGATCTTGTACAGCTCCAGTGCAACCAGTCCAGTGACCAGAGCAGTTGTCGTGGCAATAGCAGGGATGATCTTTCCAGCAATGAACTTGGTCTTGTGGCGATCCGCCTGCGGAATCTCGTAGTTATCGGCACGGAGGTTGCTAGCGGCCGTGATGAAGTCAATGTGGTGGTTGGTGTCATCGTCCTTTTCGAATTCGACTGGGTTCAGGTGGAAGCCAGCAAGAGACTTGGGCGAGGGCAGGGAATCCACCAAACGCTGGATCTCGGAGTTGTCATCAAACGAAGATCCCGAAGCCTGAGCATTCGGGTCCGGCTCGTTCTCGTCGGCCTGGATCTTCACGCCGGACTTGGGGGAGAATTCGGGGATGATCATGTTGTCGACAACCTTGCGGTAGTACTCCTTGTCTGCACCAGGGTTCTTGATTCCATAATTGAAAGCGTGGAGGTTTGCTGCCGCGATGATGAACCCGAGATGGGTGGGATTCGAGCTATCAAACTTCAAGGGAGACGGAGCACGCTTCGGGCCGGACCAGAAAGGTTGGCCAGAGGAGGTCTTCGAGTCGCGAGGGAAGTTATAGAGCAACTGCTGGATGGCGTTATTGTATTGAGCCTCAAACTGATGACGGGCCCAGACAATGCAGTCGTCGAAGGTCAAAGGCTTGTCCGTCACCAAGAAAGCGTGGAGCTGCTCGAGAGTCTGCTTCTCATTGCCAGCCTGCTTGAGTGTCTGCTCAATATAGTTTGGCTGAGACAAATACATGTTGACGGATTCAGGAGGTCCAACGAAGTATGTCTGAAAGAGGTCCCGGGCCCAAGCGATCGTGTGTTCGATCCGGTTGGGGAAACTTTTCAATGTGCACATAGGGAAGGACTTCTCTGGAGGATCCTGGGAGCTGGAATAGGACTCCGTGATATGAGGGAGGACAACCTGCGTGTTACCCTTGGTTCCGAGCGTACCGCTCTCAAGCAGAGGCTTGCGGAAAAACACACAGCGGCGGTCGACGTAGGTTCTGGCGTCGACGTTATCTAGAGCGTTGGTGACACCATCCAGGCCTTCCCAGAACTCCTCATTGAAGACGTGTTCAGTGTCAGGTCCGACACGGTCACGCATTGTGACGATCTTGCCCTGCAACTCGGGGTTCATGGCCTGGACAGCCGCCGAAGCACATTCGCTCTTAAGTTTGCCGACATCCTTGCTGCGGAACAGGAACTGACGGTTTAGGTTACTCTTTTCAATCTGGTCCATATCGGTGACATAGATCTTGCCCTTGGGACCAGTTCCCAGACCCATCATAGCCCAGTTCTTCAAGGTTTCACAACCGATAGCACCGGCACCAACGAGGAACTGTGTAACATTGGCAATCTTATCTTGGTAGTCCTTACCAAAGACAGCGATCTGGCCGTCATAGCGGGTGCCAAGCGGCTTGCAGTTCTCTTCAGACCGGGTGGTGCTGGTGGGAAGAGATTCGAGCGAATCAAGGTAGAGCCATTGATGAACAGGATTGAACTTTCCAGAGACAGCTTTAAGGACCTCCTGAGCTGCAACACCGCCAAAGAACGCAGCCAACGGGTTAAGGTCACCGCGAGCCTGGTAACTCAATTCTTTAATGAGCTTCTCGTCTAATTCCACCTTCTCTTCTTGGCTGGACGCCAGATCGGTAGAGATTTTGAGGACCTCCTGGGCGTCGCTCTCATTGTGGGGGCGAGGGAACTGGCCATCGTGGGCCTCCGCAAACTTATGGAGGGCCTGGACACCGATATGCAGCTGTTGGGGCCGGTCGAACTTGGCGAAGTCCGAGACCATGAGTTCGGGCTTCTTGATTTGTTCGCTCAGGGGCTGGAAGTCAACAAACTTGGGCATCTTGACCTGAGTGAAGATACCACCGCTCTTATAGGTTCCAAGACCGGACACATCACCGATGGAGAATGTGTAGGGACCCTTCACGGTGACCTTGCGAGGCGCAGCATCGTTCAACCCTTCCATACCTTTCACTTCGGAGAAAGTAACAAAGTCCCCATCTTCCAGGCCGTGTCGGGACTCATCGAGAGCCGAGACCAGACCATCTTCGTCGATGTCGGCCACGATGCCGCTCACCGGTTCTTCGCCGGTGGCATCTCCAACAGTGAAGTTCTTTCCAAAGTCGTTGAATAGATAACCGAAGAGACCGAATGTGTCCGTGATAGTGACGTAGATTCCGTTCTTGTGGCAGAAATCCGCAATTGCAAGCTGGTCCTTCAGGGGCGTGAGGGTGAGGACCACTGCCTGGTAGCGCTTCAATTGTTCCAAATCATCGACGAGGTTTCCGCCTTCGTGGATCGTCACAGGCACATATGCGTTAAGCTCCGCCACCCTCGGGGCGGTCACTTCAGCACGCGGCTTGCCAACATCCTGAGGCTGAAGGAAGAACTGGGACGACAGATCGGAGATTGCGACAGGGGCGGGATCGTATAGAGTGAGGGATTTAACACCGGCAAGAGCAATGTTTTTCGCTAGACTGCTATGAGCGACGTCCAAAAGATGGAAGCCGGTGTACTTACCGATCTCAACACCGAGACCTTTCAGACCGACGATGAGGACGTTCGAGGAGCCCATGCGCTTCATAGCTTCATGACCAAGGACATACCTGTGGGAGGAAAAGATACAAGTTAGTGTATATTTTCCAGTAATGTCGTATGCTTTACGATAGGGAAACCCACAATTGTCGGCTGTACAGGGACTCATCAATCTCCCCCTGCTTAATCTTCTCCACAGTCTCCTGTGGATTGTCCACCTGCATCTTGACGTCCTGGAAAGTGTTAGCACATATGCGCAGGTAATCCGAATGCAAAATCGCAGGGACTATTCGAATGCATACCGTCATGATCTTTTTCTCCGGCCGATCTGTAGTTGGAGTACCACTAGACGCTCTGCGCTTTCCCGGCTTCGAAGCGTCACGAACGGGAATTTCGGAGGGAATCGTGAAAGTCTGTGAATCGAAAGCCTTGCTTCGAGGCAAGACTTTCCAACCGGGATTTTCTCGTGTCTACAGGTTGATGTGTAGACTCAAGGAGGGGAGAGGAGGGGCGGTCAAGTACCGAGGCGAGTGGCGGGGAACCTGGTACAGAGCTTCGGAAGGAGGCGATAGAGAAGGTGGGAAGAGAAAGAAGAGCTTTCAAAGATGAGAGATCTTCTGGGATGGAAAGAAGAAAGGGAAGAGGGCGTAAGAGACAGCAAGAGATGAGGAGAGAGAGAAGATGCGCTGCGTTTAAAGGTATCTCCATCAGTCAGCGACGTAAGAGGGACAAGCTGTCGCCTGCTGACTCAGCTATCTTAGGGCGTCGATTGGTCAGAGCCCCGCGGACGAATGGGCGGTCTCCGTCAACGATTCCATCATCAGTTGTTTTGCTTCCAGCTTGTTCCACCGTGATCGTGATGCTGCGGACGATAAGAAGGCAATGATGATAGTCGAACACTTATTTTGGACAGTATCCGGAGTGTAAAAGTCATTAGCCCTAATTCGTGGAAGAGGCGGGCGTCTGGAACATCGACCGCTGCCCGATTGCAAGAGACGCGACGCGCTTTCATATTGATCAATACTTCCACCCGATATCTTACATGTGTCGATACGAGTTAATTGGACGTGGACTTCTCTACTGGCAACGGAAATCCTCGAATGCAGACAAGGATTTAGCCTTGAGGTTGGTTCTTTTGCTCTCCCTGTCGCTCTATCGCCGCACAACATCTGACCTTACCCATAGAGAGCTGCAGACAGAATGCTCCACGAGATCCTCCTCTCCCTCTCCGGCCAACCGTCCCCATTGTTCAATCTTCGTACCGATGAGGATGCCATCTCTGAAGACGCTTTTCCTCTCCTGTCACCTCCCGAGAAAGCCCTCCTCACCTCCCTTGCGCGCCTGAGTCGTCTACACGCCAAGTTACGAGCCCATACAGCTTCTATCTCGGCCTCACATCCTTCGGTCGTTTGTCGAGCTGTTTCAACAGCAATAAGCAAGCACCATCTTGGCAATTTTCAAAAGAAGATACTGGAGGTGGAGGAAGCCATCTTGACTGAGGACAGCGGATATGTTGGCGGCTATGGTATCGTGCCATTGTCAACAATTGTCGGGGAGTTCTCTCCTTGGACACGGCGTTTAGAATGGCTGTGGGAAGTCGCCCGGGTAATAAAACCCGAGCAGCCTCAAAGCAAGTCCCACGGCTGTACGGGAGCTGCGCTGATTGACTTTCTCCGAGCGGAATCGCAGACCGGATATCAAGACCTTGAAGAGATGGCGCTTCACATGATAGGCGTGGCGGAGGTCGCATGGATGAGACAACTATCGACGTGGCTACTCTATGGAAACCTTCCAGTGCTTGGGAGGGAGGACTTTTTCATCCAAGAAGAACCTATGGATGGGAACACCCCCTCAGTGGCGCCGAGCTTTGCCCTGCATGTGGATCTCCAGCCGAAATTTGTTTCGTCGCATACAGCGTCCTCCATCTTATTTATCGGCAAGACGTTGAACCTGATCCGAGCAAAGAGAAACAACTCCATAACCAGTCCTTTAGTCGGCTTGTCAATATCGCCGGCCTCCCTGCATGGAGAGCATATTGCCCAGCTTGCATCCTTAAAATCTCCTATATCTACCGCCAAGCTATCCAACGCCATCAGCTCCATTCGATTATCTCTATCTCAGAGCACGCTCTCGAAGCTTTTGCCGCTTCCCAAGATCCTTGAAATTTTATCAGTTCTCCATGACTTCATGCTTTTAAGGCGTGGTGAATTTGCTTCGGCCCTGGTATCACATGCCGATGCCCGGTTATACGATAGACGCCGGAGACCCGAGACGTTGGCATCCAGAGGCAAGTCTCGTGAGGGGCTTGAACTGATAACCATCAAAGAAGGTGATGTTTTATCGGCTCTTTCCCAGGCGTGGGCCGAGCTTTACTCGTTACAGAACGACGAAGACCCGGGGGATGATGCGCTAGATCTTGCCAAAGACCTTTTCAAACTTTCTGTCTATGACAAACGACATGCTACAGCGTCAGGAACGGGCTCCAGTGACACGAGCGCTGTTATCTCGGACGTCTCATTTGAGGACCTCCTCTTCCCAGCTCCTACGGTACTCTCGGTTCAAGTACGGCCGCCCCTTGACCTGTTCCTTTCGGCATCCGATATCTCCATATATTCGAAAATCCACTCGTATCTGCTGGGTATTCGACGTGCACAACTCCACCTAAGCGATCTCTGGAAGCATAGTTTCCTGCGGAAAAGCTATCCTTCACCCTGGGGCCCGCCTAGGAGTAACAGCGCTTTCGGACAGAACAAACTCCGTATTGGCAGAGAACGGGACAATACGCGGATTCGCCAGATGCGCCCAATCTGGGCCACAAGTAGCGCATCTTTGTTCGTGATGTCCGAGATAGGAACGTACTTCCAAGGAGAAGTTATTAATGGTTCCTGGCAACACTTTCAAGAGTGGATCCAAGGCACACCGCCTCAAACAGGGTCAATGGTGAACTCTCGACCAGGGACTTCCTCGTCGAAAACCACGCCCGACGATGCCTCAGCCGGGGGTAACAAGGCCCCTGAAACCAGCGACAACCAATCCAGACAGAATCCAGTACAACGTCATGACCCTGAAACACTGACCATTGCCCATCGGCGATATCTGTTTTCCTTGGTGCAAGCGTTGTTTTTGACAGACGTGCCGTTTACTCAGTCCCTCCGGTCCTTCCTCGCGAATATCGACCACTTCATTGCCCTTGTGATCCGACTAGAGAGTGTTCAGCGCAACATGGACCTAGAAACGGATGAGGGTGTCGTCGACGCTCTGGTGGATTATGCCGGAGAAGAGAGGGATATCTGGCATGCGCTTATATCTGCGCGCGATAATCTCGAAGCAGGCATCAAGGATGTCATATCACGACTGAGAGACATTGATGATAACCGAGCGGGGGATGGACGGAAGATGTTTGACACGGCGAGAAGCCCACAGGAAGGTTGGTCGATGCTTTCGCAGAACGGTTCCAATCCCAACATCGGCTCTCAGTATCTTCCCAGAAAGGCAGCTGGTGTTGATCGACTCCTTATGAAGTTGGACTTTGGTCATGCCAATGCAGGGATGATGACAGGAGGCTTTCCTCTCACGAACTGATAATGTCTGATTGATGGATCTGCTTAACATTGTCCCATAAGCAAGGACTCGGCTGGATGGATGGTCACATGTATAGTTATGATTTATGGCACATTGAATTACGAAGTGGGAATAGCATAATGATTGGCCTTACTGTCTCGCCTCCCTTGCCCGCTTGAGTCGTCTACACGCTAGACCCTCTGCAACACTGCGTGACTCCGTAGAGGTTGTGAATTACAACGTGGAATTAGAAAGCTGTTGGGATATCTTAGGTAAAAATCGAATTTTCCTAGGTTCCTTCCGAAGGTCAATAGAAGTATGGTAAGTAACAAACGCCCTAGCAATGCAATACTTCTTCCCCTAGCCGCGAACATCCTCTTCAGTAAACATGATCTGGCAGCATGACCGTGCAAAAGGCGGATCAGAATCGTTTTAAAACGGATAAAGGGGGATCAGGAAACGAGTAAGGACAAGTACATATCCCACCACAGGATTCCAACCCCAAGATACTTGAAAGTAACCATCTGCCTGGTGATCAGGTTGATGGTAGGGAGGCTTGAACAAAAGGAAACCGATTTCCCACCGGCAACCCCCAGACATAAGCATTGATTATCAGGTCTGTCAGGGCAGGGCTCAAATCCGGATCCAGCTTCCACATCGACACAAATAGCTTCTCACACTCTGCCCAATCTTTGACAATGGGTTCCCACCAGACCCTTGCGTCCTCGGCAACAACGACAGGAGAATGTGCAATGACCGACGCGTTTACCTCTTGCTTTATCAAGCCGTTTCTCGCAACATTGACATGGGTGACCACAGCAACCCCCGCGTGCTGCACACTGCCACTTCAAAAAGTCCGATAAGTACCATCTCTGGTTTCTCCGATGGGCTTGTAAAGCGCGCAGTAGCGGTGTGCCCAAAAGAACCTGGATTTTGGTATGTTCTCCCCAAACAGCTTTTTCATAAGCTGCAGAGGCGAATACTAGTTTCTCTTCAATTTCCTTCAGTTCTTGCTGAAGAACAGCCATCTATGGGGGTGGAGGATACTCCTCAATGCTTTTGTTCACTGCAGCACGCTTTGCTAGAAAAGCAGTTTCAAGTTGTTCAGCTTGGGTCATGCGGTAGTGGAAGTGGATAATTGCGTCAAGGTGCTGCACCATATCTTCCGAGATGCCACCACACAACTTTTGTTGCGTTTTGCGTAGGACCTGGGCTTGTTGATGCCTTCCCCTCTTTGCAAGGAAGTTCTCGAGGTGAATTAAGACAGACATGTCTGGCTATTCGCGATCCTGCGGATAGTGGGAAGAAGCGTCTGAGGCTTCGAGATGTTGGTGAGTTGGTGATGGGAAAGTGGAGAGAAGGGTAGAAGGGTAGAAGGGGGTTTTTATGATCTACCACTGCTCATAGGCAGCTATATGACGATATAGTTGCCGTCAAATCGAAGTCACCATGACAAGGGATCTTAGCCACCAATTATGCCAAAGTTCGGTCAGGTCATTGACGAGAAAGGACGAAACTAGGTATATACAAGAGGTGTTCGCGCAATCTTTTAGTCTTTGCATGGTGAGCATTGGACTTAAGTTGGTAGTCTAGGACCTCACGCAACCAACAATCCAACTTATCGGCAGAGCTCGTCAGTGACTTGATAGTAGATAATTTACTAGATCAGCTCTTTGCAAAGGTCGTAATGGGAAGCCGCATCATATTATTGAGGTACAGAGTATTGTCTTGCCGGATTTCGCATATGGGTTCTAGGTATGAAGCTTTTAATGGTATAATCTTCAGTGACGTCAGGATAGATGGTGAAGTACTGTCATTCTCGTGCCTAGTTGGCCAGAGCGGCAGAGTGGATTTAAGTACATCTATGAAGATTCGTCCCAAACCAGTATAAATTAAGTAAAGGGTCTTGAATGAAATATCATACAACCGAACTCCATGCCCAAAGAATTCCCACGTTTTCGATACCGAGACGTAAATAAACCATGCAAGTCGTAGGCGCCTTTGAATGCAATCAAGAACCAGGCGCGCTCAAACGTTCAACAGACGGCGCTATGTATGTATTCGAGGGTAGAGGTCCATCCCACCCGCTTCTATAACCGTATACGTCATGACCGTTTGATTCCACCGACGCAGAGCCTCTACCAGGCCGTGTGGCCGCCATCAATCAGCAGCGAGCTGCCGGTCATGAAGCTGCTGGCGTCGCTCAGGGCGAAGAGGGCCGCACCGCGGAACTCCTCCGGGTACGCGAGGCGGGCCGAGCATGTTCTCGGCCTCCCAGACGGCGCGGGCGGCCGGGTTCTGCTGGAAGACCTGCTCGACCATGGGGGTGACGATGTGGCCGGGGCACAGGCTGTTGACGCGGATGCCGTGGCGGCCCCATTCCATGGCCAGGCTGCGGCCCAGCTGGATGACGGCGGCCTTGGACGAGTTGTAGACGGGCGAGGTCATGCCCTTGTTGGCGATGAAGCCGCTCATGCTGGCCACCAGCAGGATCGAGCCCTTCTGCTGGTAGTTGAACATCTGGCGCGCCGCCGCCGTCGCCGAGTTGAACACCCCGTTGTAGTTGATCTGCATCACCTCGTTCAGCGCCACCTGTGAGTGCTCCAGCGCGCTCTGCAGGTGGTTGATGCCCGCCGCCGCGACCATACCGTCGAGCCGCTTGTGCTGCGCCGCGATCTCCGCGAACGTCGCGTTGACTTCGGCGTCGTCGCGCACGTCGATCTTGTAGTATTCCAGGCTGCCGCCGTAGTTCGCCTCTGCGTGCTCCTTGGCCGCCATGAAGTCGGGGTGCGGCGTGTCGAGGCGGTCCAGGCAGTAGACTGTAGGATATCGTTAGTATTTGGGTAGCCATCGAAGGGAGTGAGCGAGGACATACCTTTGGCGCCGGCTTCCAGGAGAGCTTCGGCCATGGCCAGGCCGAGGCCTCTTCCTCCTCCAGTGATGGCGTATACCCGGTCCGCCAGGTCGAATTCCTTGAAGCGGTGTCCGTTTTGGTGCTCGGGCTTCATTGGGGGGATTCTAGTCTGGATGTGATGGGGGCCATTGGCACTGGCGGTCGTGGAGAAGGCGAATTGAGAGGTAAAGGGATGGAGCGCCGAGCAGGGGCGCGGGCACGATCGTGCTGCGTGGAACAGCGACCGGGACAAAGTAGAACGCATGGCTACGAGGGGAGGGATAGAGATAAGGTTGGAGAGGGAGGGATTAAAGATTAAGTATAGGAGGGGAGAGGGAAGATGAGACAGAGGATGACGAGGATGGAGAGGAGAATGGAGCACGAAGAACAGTCCAAGTTACGAATGGTCACAGTCAATTGATTCCATGGTCTACGAAGGAGGACCTGGGGTTTATAGTCCTCGAGAGCTCAGGCAAGACAACACATCTGGCCGGCCGAAAGCGAACAACTGGAGATGTTGCACGAAGGGGCCGAATCAGGGCAGCACAGGAAAAAAACAAGAAGTCCGCGTGATGGCCTTGATGGGTCCATGATCTGTTCTAGAGCTGCGTTCACGATGACTTCAAGGACCCAGACCAGGTCATCGCCCGAGAACATCCATGGTAAAGGGGGGCTTGTCCATGCAAGAGCCATACCCGATGGAAGCTTGCCACAGGGAGAAAAGTGGGGGAAAGGAGCCATGGACGCATAACACGGCCAGTAGGTAGGTAGGTAGGTAGCTGTGAACGAAGCATCGTGACCATGATTGCTCTTAGGCAGGAGATGGCTGAGAACGGCAAGACAGCTTGATCATTTGACCGCGGGAGATGGCGATCCCTCTGTTCTGGAATGGCCCACTAGCGAACGGGATTCCCGAGTATGGGGTGACCGAGAGATGCTGGGTCTGAGGGTCTGACGGTGGGCCAGCGTATTCTTCCCTGTGAGAATATCAGCGGTCAAGGGGGGAACTGGAGCGCCATTGAAAGCAGTTCAGCCTCGATAGGCGGATATCCAGGCCGCGCAACAAGTAACCATCGTCTTGGACTTCAACAGATAGACATCTATCTCATGGCGATGTCAGCGAGGGCAACTTGGGGGAGCTGTCCCGCCAATGCCATGGAACCCCCCGAGCTCCCGGAGTCCCTGCGGAATGGCAGTCCTCCAATGGTAGGCTCGGCATCGCCTAATGATGGTGTAATCCACCCCAGCATGGAGGAGGAAGTTGGATCTTCCTTGCATCTCCGGACCCAGACTCGTCGCGGTCATCCATCCTTCTAGATTGTTACGATCCCCACGCGTTGCAGTTTAAAATAGCAACGGTGCATGGGAGTTGATCCGTCTGAATGTCGGTGAATCCAAATCCTCCGGGGAGTTGCAGGACGAAGGTCAGGTGCGGTCAGTGCCTGAATTTCTTTTCCTGAATTGAACCTCTTGTTTCTCTTGTTCACCCTCATGGTCGTGGCGTTGGTGGGGAATCTGGTCTGGGGAGTAACGGTACTTTTGCCACATCGTTGGAGCTTCCGAAAAATGACATCCCGAGAACCCCACGGAGATGTGATCGAGGCATTCCAGAACAAAGATTCCTGGAGATCTGCCAAGTCTCCCTTCTTCCGGCCTCCTGGCTGGGGTCGTCAGACAAGAACAATAATAATAATAATAATGCCTGGTTGTCCCTTGCACCGGGAGGTCGTGATGATTCCCGGAGAGGGGTGTCGCGTATGCGGGTGTCGCGTATGTCTAGCCACGTAAAAATCCAGGATCAGTCAAGGAGGCGAAAATCGTACTCACTATGTCGATAGAGTGTGTTTGAAGGTCCGATAGAATTAAACTATGTCCGGATGGAGTAATGAGTCGTCGGAATGGATGGGTTGCCCGATTAGGGAAGCCGTGATAAGACCCTGTGCTGTGCTGTGTCATGCGGAAGCTCAGATTTTTACCTTTTCAGCAATCAATGCATAATGCATAATGCACTTATGTCTCCGATTATTCATCATTACTGCCTCGTCTCATGGGAGACTTTTACAGAGAAGATTCGGCCGGTTTACTTGTGACATTTGAGGCTCTCTACTGTAATGCATACAGGTATAAAATATACAATCGCTAATATATACAAGACACAGTCACAAGCTAAAAAAAAGAGGACGATCCCAAACTTAATGCCCCATCTTTGCGTCCGCCCTTAGCGGAGGGATCTTAGGCGCACCAGTTGCGGCGGGCTTGGGCGCTTGTAGGCCTTCGACGGCCGCGCGGACGGCCTCGGCGGCGGCACTCGCCGCGGCGCAAGCAGCTGATGCTGCGGCTAGGAGGTCTTCGGCCGTGGGCGTGGGCGGGGGCGAGGCGGGACGGGGGCGGCGACTAAGCCGACGATGGAGACGCCCAAATGCTTTATAATATATTAGCCAGGTGTGTAATACTCAAACATCCAGTCAACTGACGGCGCTCCTGTTCGAGCTCCCGGAGCTCCTCGATATCCTTTGGGGTATACGCCCCCCGCTCCGGGAAGCTATAATGATCTTGTGTTAGCTTCAACTTGCCAAAGGTCTGATATAATCTAACATACTATATGGCGATGAGCCTCATCACCAGGACAACACAGCAAAAAATTGCCGCCACTACCAGCGTGCCGGTGAACGACACGACTACCCACGTCTTTGGTGGGAGCGAGAAGGGGGGCGTCGGCACTGGGGGGGGTGGGCATCGATCGGGATGGAGGCCATTTTGGAATCGAACTTTGAGGGGGAAAGTGTATGTAGATGTATTAGTTTTCTCGAAGTTCGATGACGGTTATCTGTTGCAGTAGCGCTGTCAGCACTGATATACAATACCACAGATGGAAGTCACGCAACTTTACCGCATGAACACATCGTCCTGAAATGTGGTGATACGTCTTGGATTGCTCTACAAAGTATACCATCGGTCGTCTACCATCAATGGCGACTGACCAAGTCCCGAGGTGCATAGCTCCTTGGACAGAAATGTCCATTTCGAAGCGAAGTGTCTGGACGGGACACGATGATAAAGACAATGTGTGCCTGAGAGCTGGCATATATATATGATGAAAACGTCGGGGGAGAATGGGCAGCGTCCTGAGGTCGGAGGGTCGGAGGGCTCTTTATATCTTACTGGGTCGGCTCTTTCCTGGAGCGTAATCACTACGAGGGTATGAATGGAAAGCGCGTATTGAATTCTCGGCGGGTTCACTTGCCTGCAGCCAAGGAAACAACAAGCACAATGAATCCAGGCAGTAAAGGGAACGTAAGAACCCAGTGAAGCAATGGATCGGGGGAATTCAGGTCTTTTTACACGCGTCCGTAGCCTTTCTAACACACTGCTACTAGGAATCAAAGATTGTAGTATTGAACCTCAATTGCATGGACCATCCAAACAGGCACAAGTCACGAAACCATCATCATCTATCCCCAATGTGAGACACGGCTGACTCTGATCGGGCTCATCCACCGGCCTATATCCAGACGTTGATGATTGATTCAGCCCAAAGTCCAGCATCCAGAGCTAGCCCTCGCCACCCACTCATCGGTCGGCGCATCATTGTCAAACCGTCCGGGTACATGGAGTTCACAAGAACCTGTAGCATGTGGCCAAAGTTCGTCCGTGACAGTGACCTGGATCCGACGGTGGTAGAATGAAGAGCGTCAGATTACCAGGGCAGTGGCGCGGGGAATGGCGTCGATCAGATGTAAGTGACACGGGTCTCGTGGACGGTGACAAACACGCCCTCTGTATCCCATTGACACTGACTGAAGAGATCTGTCATCACGCCGCCGGAATCTGACTGCGTCACTGACTTCGTTCGTGAAAATACCCGGTAAGTCCTTCACTGTACGGTCGTGACGTTCAGCTGTGAGATACTGGGCTTGAGCGAGCTGTCGGGGTGAATTCAACTCGACTTCTGTCACGGATGCGCGTGGGCTCTTGGTGGGTTCGTTTCCCCTTCAAAAAGCGCTGCTTGGCAGAGCCTGTAGGCTGTGAAAATGGCCCTGCATGAGCCGGCCACGAATTGACTCTATACAATGTACATGAACTTTTCCGCATCGGGCTCCTGGCCAGCATCACGACCCATGAGCTCTTCACGCTCCTCTCCGCCTGCAGCACCCCGGAAGACCATCTCGATCTCGTCTCCCATTTGCTGAGAGATGCGATTTGCGCGCTGAAAAAGAAGTCTCAGCACAACGGCGAGGACGGCGACCAGCACCATAAAAAAGGCGCACGTCCCCATGCCCCGTACGTAGTATGGTCCATCACTATGCGGATATAGCTTCGTTCCGAGGAGTGGCCCGCACTGGCCAATGATGTTGAGGATCGCGATGCTGGTTCCTTTTCCTTCCTTTGCGACGCGGTTGTCCATAGACCACGTCATGATTAGAGTGATGGCGGAGAAGAAACCAAACGTAGCGGGATAGACGGAAAGGTAGCGGATGAGCCTATGCACGGACTCGGGGAGATGCGTGTGATACCTCCCTGTCAGGGCGATCGTCAGGTAAGCGAGAGAGGAGATAAGAGCGTGAGCGATGAGATATGGGCTCCGCGATCTATTGCGATCGGAGGCGTATGCGGTCACCAGAACGACGATGAAAGCTACGAGATAGGGAGGTGCAGAGAGTGCTTGTGCGGAGAGAGAGGAGTACCCCATACTATATTGTATTAGTTTCTTCATCTGCTGTAGTGGGATGGGAATGACACACTCTTCGATGATAGTGGGTAGGAAGACAGGCATTGAACTGAACGCCACGTTGCAGCTAAAGAACATGAACTGGATAGACGTTAGTAAGGGCACTGAATGGGAGGAGAACATGGACGTACTGCAGTAATGTACGATTTGGGGTCAGCCAGTGTCCTTCCAACCTCTCGCCAGTCCAGCTTCCCTCGAGGCTTTTCGTCATGGTACTCAGCCTTGGGCTCTTCCATTCTCAATTGCGCCACAACTCTTTGGCGAGGGGCTAGGAACCATGCATTCCCTGGGGCATCTGGGATCAACATCCATGCAAAGACCGCAACAATGACACTCGGGAACCCTTCGACTAGGAACAAGGTGCGCCATGGAGCTATGGGGCCCTCTTTGCTGAGCTTGACAATGACCCACGCAAGGCTACTTGCGAAGGACGAGGCCAGCGGGGCGGCTGAGATGAAGAGGCCGTTTCGCAAAGCGAGTTCTTCACGCTTGTAGAAAAGTGATAAGTAGAATGGTACGCCAGGACCGAACGCTGCTTCTGTAATTCCGAGGAGGGCCCTGAGCGCGACCAGCCCTTCGAACGAGGTGACCAAAGATTGGAAGGATGCTACCAGGCCCCATCCGCAGACACATATCGCGATGTAAATGTGCGGAAGGACCAGGCGGTACATCAAGGTCATCCACTCAAAGAGGATATAAGTTATATAGAACGCGGTAAGTAACCATTCATATTGCTGAGATGATAGATGTAGATCGCTCATGAGACCTGCAATCTTGGCGTTTCCGATATCTATAAAGCTGGTTAGCCCTGTGGTCTAGTCATGAGGCGTGCTACACCCTTACTTGATCTATCCAAAAACGAGAGCATGTATAGAAGAGCCAAAAAAGGAACAAGCTTTCGATCGAGCTTCTTCACAATCTCCTTTTCCTCTGTTGGAGTATACTTGGGAAAGTTACTAGCAGCTCTGTTGCGGCTCCCGGAATCTCTATCATGATAGCCATGGCTATCTTGACTGTCCTCATAGGACAGCCGATCGTCTGGTGCACTGAAATCTGTTTGAAGTCTCAGAGCACCGGTGGGTGGGCGCCTGGAGCTGGACAGATCATTGTCTCCATTTGAGCTTTCTGAGACAGGAGTATACCGTGTTGTCGAGGACGAGGCTGTGCTTGAAGACAAAGCAGCCTCGGTGGGCTGGGGCCGCGGGGAGGCCATTATGGATGAAACCGTCACCTCTACCAGAGCAAGAAAAGCTGAACCTATAACGATATCATGTTAATGTCAACCAAAATTGTCTTCGGCGGAGAGGTGTATGGAGGAAAGTCATCAGTGCGCAGTAAGGGGAAAAATAATGGGGCCGCACGTGGCATGCACTAACCACCGTGGACGTTTCAGGCACTAAGGCACTCTTTATCAGGTACCGCGTCCACCTCATTTTTACCTCAGAGAAGATGAAAGAAATCAAGTATTGTAGATTATTAGGGGTGAACTTTTTGTATCTCCAAACGACTGAAGGAGGGTTCCTTCAATATTTATGGTGACAGTGTCAAGCATCAAAGACAGACATTCCCCATCAATCAATCCTTCTTTGTATCTTCATGTCGACATGACGAGATAGATTCCAAACATTCATCTAACCACGCTTTTCATGAGGTCGGTACGAGTCAATCACGCGGCGCCCCTTCTTCCGATGACGGCGACGTCCGCGCCCTTCGTCAAAATGGCGCTTGCGGCCTCCCAGAAGCTCCGCAGCCTTGTCACGGGCCTGTTTAAAGACCATCTCCAGTTCGGTAATATAGGCGTGGTCGTTCAGTCCGTTGTCGAGCATGTATCGCAGGGCGTTTTCGGCGCTGTCCCGTAGGAATCGAGCCATCCCAATGTTCACCATTCCATCACGCTGCATCGCACCGTAGAACTCGCTCTTGGCCTGGTGGTAGACGCTCAGCAGTCTCTCGACGCGGGTCTGGAGCTTGCCGTCATGGCTATCCTCGCCCTTGTGTCTGTCCTCTCTATCGTGGTGCCGATGAGAGCGATAGTGATGGTCCTTGGTTCCGTGGGTATTGGTTGCAGATTGATGCATATCGATAGGGTTGTTCGCTTTTCCGGGAACATCCTCTCCTTCATATGGAATGGGGTCCAAGGCCAAGACTTTTCGTGTCAGTATATATCAGCACGCGTATGTTCTAGGGCGGAATCTAGAACAGACGTACCTTTGTCCAGGGCGCTCTGTAGTTCCAGATGCTTTGACACCACCTCGTGACTTTGGGCGACAGGCAGAATGGGAACAATACCGAGAAACTCAGTCAGATAGAGCTCAAGCGCCCCAATGTCACTCGGATCCTCTCCATTCTTCGTGAGGGCGAGCAAGGCCTTGTCGTAGATAGTAACTTGGGCGTCTTCCAAGGTCTGTGAGCGACACTTTACCAGCGCAATATGGCGTCGGAGGGCGTCAAGGAGGAGAGACGCCTTGTCGAAGTCGTTGAGAATCTCCTGAAGCACGGGACTCGGCCGAGGGATGTTGTAGTACCGACGGACGACATCGTCGGCTTTTTCGTGGATGGGCTTTTTAGGGTCGTGTTCTGGGATCCAGGACGACGCCATTGTTGCTCCTATAAGATCCTTTACTGAAGTATCAAATGAAGAGGTTGGCTGTGGGTTGGTTGGAAGAGATTTAGGTACGGGAGATCATAGGTGTGAAGAGCCTCCTCTAAAATGAAAAGGAATAATAGACAAGAGTCTGCAAGAGGATGGCCAGTCGGGATCTCTGGCGGGAGAGAAAAGAGACCAAGGGGACACCACGAAGGAAGGTCGGTTGTGAATGTGATTGTTGGCGGAAAAGGGCATCTGTGGTAAACAAGGCATACATAGGCCTCCACCAGCAACATCGGTTGTTTGAGACCATTGCAGCCACCTCAGATATACATCTATTTATGGAATTGGTTAGAAATTTCTGATAGCTATTGCTGCGATTAAGATTATGGTATATTGCATATCAGTAAAGTCGGCCCCATCCCTCTCTGGCTCGAAGGAACCGGGTTATATCGACCGGTTCTCGCGGTGGCCGACCTTTGAGGAGCAACAGTTCCATGCGCGAGATAGGAGTGAGCTGGAGCAGCACTTTGTGGGTGTACCTCGCGGAGAAAATCAAGGTTAAGAGCAACAAAACCTCATGTCAAGAACATACTATTTGCCAGAGAAACATTCTACCCATTTCCCCTGTTCAATATTCAGTAGAACTAATTTCTCTCTTCCCAGCGTTTCCTGATCTCATCAACCAGAACCGATACCTTGCTGCCCTTCCCTCCTTTGGCGCAATCTTTCCAAACACCGCCATCGCGGACACACCACACCTCGTCGTCCAAACGGAGCGTGCAGCTGGTTTTGACACCAAGCTCGGCACTATGGAGAGCGCTCTCCCGCAACAGGGCAAGGCCACTGAGCTCTTTACCGTTCGGATCATCTTCCTGTCTGCTGACGCAGGCATTCAGAGCTTCAAAGTCGATTCCATGTTGCAAGGCACAATGGTGAACCAATTCGCGGTCAGGGATCTCCTGGTACGAACTGATGAGGCAATTGGCGAAACCGAGAGAACGGATGGTTGGCATGCGGATGGGCTCGGTAGAGTCGCCATCCGGGTTGAAAGGGAGGTTCTCCGCGCATAGAATGAGCGAGTCACCAACACATTCCTCAGGTCCGTGCATGCAAGTTATGCCCGACGATTTGTCGGAGACACTATGTATGAATGGTTAAAGGGGGAGCGTTGAAGAGAATCGTATTTCAACTTACTTTGCAATGAAAGCAAGGTTAAAATCAACCAGGTCGCTGACTCGTTCCATAGTTGGAACGACCAATTTCCGAAGACAGTACTGAGCGTCAGGGCATTTACTCATGATGTGAGCCTCCAGAGGAACCTTGTTCGCATGGTGAGTTCGATCCTCTAGAGGCTCCATAGGACGTATCAATCGTTGCGCATCGTTATCGGGCGAAGAGAAGAATCCACAATGGAACCGCCTGATCGTCTGGTGTGATGAAAGCAGACCACTTCGGGGGATATAGAGGAAGAGTAACAGAGCGAAGCTCAAGCCAACCGCGGCGTGGACGACCCTTCGGACTTTGCTGGGACTCGGTCGCGTGGACCTTTCGGGTGAGACGGAATGTGGATGAGAATGCGACAACTGTGTCTTTTCCATGATGATGATTGATAGATCGATCGAAGGTGTGATTCCCCGGATGGAGGTGGATTGTGGTTCTAACGCGGGAGATGTCATCATGTGGGGAGAGTCCGAGAAAGGGTTGGATCCCTTGCCGGATTCAGCAAATCTCACGTTACACCAAGCAGATCCATCATCGCAGTTCCGGCGGTTCAGTTAATATACAGAGTAATCTCCAGTATTCATCTTCAATATCGCGCCATTTGCACCCGCATCAAATCCCTGTTCGCTTTATCAACCCCATGGTTAGGGTTGCATCGTTGAATCTGACACGCTCACTCGCAGCAGACGAGCTAAACATAGCAGCCGACATGCATGAGACCTGACTGGGGGAAATTAATTCCTTGTGCACAACTGCGTTGGTCAGTTCTCTCAAGGCAACTAGCTACCGACTTGGCGACGTTATCTGGTCCAACCGCCTTTACAACATTGGGAACTGCCCAAGCTAGAATTTTGGGATCAACTCTTGCAGTTGGCTAGATGCGATTAAGCCAGTGATGACGCATTCCATAAGAACCTAGTCAGCTCTAGGTACGGAGTAGCTTTCTAGACGATAGGATAAGCGCTTCATCTACGAGGCCTCTTCACACCCAAGTCGAAGCTGTCTCCTGCGCCGCGCAGGAGGCAAATGGGGCATGCTTCCACGCATCATTAGCCAAGGCATTATCGCCGACAGGATTCCCAGAGGCTCTTGGACCCGATCCAACGGGTGGGTGACTCTCGGTACTCTCGACTCAACCACAGTCGCAATAACCAGCTATATTCTCCATTCAGGATACGAACAGGGAAGCTTATCAACTAAGCGACTGACCATGGTCTCACGGCGGCCAGTGTGCTCAGTATGAGGCTTACCTCAACCTTGTCCATGTTCCGAGAACAGGCTTTGAGCTCTAGTCTAATCACTATCGCGCAGATCACAGGGGAGATCGTGCCCATCTCCGCAGGCTCGCGGTCCCCAACGGCGGCACTCCGACTTCGGAGGCTAGCGCCATCTATGTACGACAAGAAGAGGACCCCCCATCGGGCTGGGCTCGACTGCACCCGGGCCAGTCGGAGGAGAAGAAATGGAAACAGCAGTCGGTGTGGTGTGTGTTCTGGGGAGACTAGGAGTCTCGATCACCGTGTCGACCGTGGGAAACTTCCTGATTCTGCCGATAGGTAGCTGGGACCTCCACATTGGGGCTCTCCCGTGAGCTCGGGCGTTCCATGGTCTATAATAATCATAGTCACAATACGAGGTACAACGAAGAGGCAGCCGCCACAGCGATGCCTGATCCAGTAGATTCCACGATACTAGATATGGGAGAGATGGATCTGACTTGGGTCTTTCAATAGGCTCCATGACGCTTGGGTACCCAGGACTAGGCGATACGAAAGGATCCCGGACCTCCGCGGTGTCGTCGGCATTTGAGCAGTTCTTGTCAACGGTAATAATGAGTCAGTGACGCGGGCGACAGCTCTTGAAGGAGCAAGCGATGAATCGGAATGGCACGTTTCATCTCACCGGAGGGCTAGGTCATGGCGTCAGTCGATCCACACGGGGCGTTGAACTAATTAGGAAACGAACTCCCAAGGTGACAGCCGGCTTGGAAAGGCGCGGGAGTTGACTGGATGCGTGATGGCGGTCGTTGGTGGATGGGCTGGAACGCCACTGTTTATACCATGTGGCCATGATCTGATATTGGGAAGAAACTGAATTTTTCTTTCCCCCGCAGGTTGTCTGGATGACTCTTATGTCTCACATTGGTAATGAGATAAACAGGAACAGGGTGTTCAGGCTTATGCTGGAGGAATTATGTATGTGCAGGGGAGGTTGATATCCCGCAGTATTATCGGGATAGTGAGGCACCTAGTGAAGTAGTCTAATCATTAGCTCGGGGCCAGCCACCAGCCCCACGAGAAGACACGGAGAGTACGCGAACGATCATGATATTGAGGAGGCCGTCGTCGTAGCAGTTGGAGGCGAGTGGATGTCAAAGGTGGTACTCGGCATGAAGCAGCAGATGGGAGGGTGCGTCAGTCATTGGGGGGAAGAAAGTGGAGGAGGACGGCAGCGTCACATCGTCTGAGGCCGATGGTCGCATTATGCTTCTTCTTCTATCAATCACCTCGCTCGTCCGAATCCACCAGTCTTCTCTCTTTATATCTTTACCCATTCTTGTTTTTCATTTTGCTTTCTTTCTACCTACTAGGTAGTCATCATTCCCATTTCTCATTCCTCCTACTCTCGTGCAAGTACATTCCTCTCACCCACTCTATATGCTGCAATAAATCCTTCCACTTGTATTCCTCATCGTCTTCTTCATTTTCTGTTGTTGTTGTTGTTGTTGTTGTTGTTGTTGTTGTTGTTGTTGTCTTCTTCTTTCTTCTTAACATCATCCCCTGTCCAGTCGCATTGATTCCAGTCTCGGTCCCATCCGGTATCGGTTGGCGGCGAGATCTCATTTTCATTCCAGTCCCTGGCACAGACAATCAAACTGTACGAGGTAAAGTCAAATTTCCCTTTTCCTACTGTAACGGGGAAGTCTATCCTGTCTGGAATATTTCTTCATCTTGTTCGTGGTGGACCTTCTGTCACCCGAATTTACATTTGCATTTGTCGCATACTCCAGTGGTTTTGTTTGTTCCCCATTCATCCTTTTAGCGTCAAATGCACTGCAGACACGCGTCACCGCATATCCTTGACAAGATCGAACCCAATGTCTTCCGTATTGCGATCGAGGACTAACCACTGCGCATGATCTAGGATTGGTCAGATTCCGTGCGCTTCGCACAGTCATCCTCGACGAAGTCCCAGAGCCCGCTCCCGCAAGTCTCCAGTCGCATCACTAGCCTCCAGCTCCATTCCTCTCTCCGACACCCGTTTTACGTATAAACATTCCACGGAGCGATCGCACACAATACCTTCCGGGCCCTTCCGTCCTCCGACCTATCCTCGGTCCCTCGAAAGCGCCAGCGGTGGACAGTTCGGGTGCGACTCACCGTCTGCGCCCGCTCGACCGTCCACTGGATCCCTTCCTCCGGCCTTCAGATTCGTCCCTCGAGATGGCTTCGACGGATATTACAGACAGCAGAAAGAGCAAGGACGAGGAGAATAGCACAATAGTCGAGGATCTCATTGAGGAGGACGAGGATGATGGGGTGGAATTGGACCCGGCCCAGCAAGAACAGCTAGAACGCCAGCGAATCCTCGATGATTTTCTCTCGCCCCTCGCCCTAGACGAAGCTACCCTCTACCAACTCGCGCGTCGCTTCTCCAACGTGTACAGCAACCTCGCCTTGCATTCCGAAGAGCAGTTTCTCCCTACCCCAGTCACCAAACTGCCCACCGGCTTGGAAACAGGCCGGTACCTCGCCATCGATGTTGGAGGAAGCAACTTGCGCGTCGCCTTCATCGAATTGCTCGGTGACGCGGATGAGTCGGATACCCCTCCAGCGGATGCCTCGGAACGATCACGCGACACTATGCGAAAGGCACAGAGACAGCGTGTTCAACGGACATTAGAGAAAGCATGGCCGATCCAGGAGCATCTGAAGATGGATCAGGCGGAGGATCTCTTTGCTTGGATTGGAGACTGTATCGCCGAGGTGGTGGCGGAGAGCCTGACGTCGGATGAAACGAAAGGCAGTGTCCCCGAAGAACTTGAGATGGGAATCACCTTTAGTTTCCCAATCATGTGAGTCATTCGAATCTCCGTTGAACGGTGTTTGCGCGCTCTACGTAGAGGGTCGCTGACCAAATTGCAGGCAAGAGTCCCTTGGGGAAGCGACCTTGATGCCCATGGGTAAAGGCTTTGCGATCACATCGGATCTGAATCTCCGCAAGATCCTGTTGAATGGCTATGAGAAGCACACGCGACGGCCGGACGAAGAGGAGCCATCGAGCAAGCGTCGGAAACTGTTTGCGTTACCGAAGCTCAAGATCTCTGCGATCACCAACGACACCGTCGCGACGCTGGTCTCCCTAGCATACGCTGTCAAATCCTTACCAAACAGTCGCGTAGCCATGGGTATCATTGTCGGTACCGGATGCAACGCCACAATCCCGATGAAGCTCAGTTCACTGCACCCGTCCAAAGCAGATCATGTGAAGGCGAGAGACGCCAGCGCCGAGGAGACCATTGTCAACACCGAATGGACCATCGCAGGTGCCGCGCCCCCTCTCAAGGAACTCAACATCATCACCAAATGGGATGCCGAGCTGGATAGAGCCTGCGCACGCCCAGGCTTCCAGCCGTTCGAGTACCTGACAGGTGGTCGATACATCGGCGAGCTCATTCGACTCATTCTTCTCGACTATCTGACGAGTGTCGCCGGTGTGCCCAAAGAAGAATTGCCTGCGACACTTTTGGAGGAGTACGCACTCACGACTACGTACGTCTCGGACAACATCGGCCGTGCGCGATCCGACCAGGAAGCCGCGGCTGAATTGAATTGTTCCTTGAGTGCGCCCAGAGGTAGCAAATGGTCTTGGGACGCTGCGTCCGCCAGAGTGTTTCGAACGATTGCGCGGACCGTGCAGCGACGGTCAGCTGGGCTTATCGCTGCCGCCGTCGTTGGACTACTTGCGTGCGCCAAAGAGATCGAGCTCAAGGTGGACAGCAATCAGAACTCCCCCGATCAATCAAACGCCGCGTCTCCCCAGCTGAACGGTGCCACGAACCTAGCAACAGCTGCGAATCATTTGACGCCCGACGACGGAGGCGCCCGGAGGGGGCCTCATGGCCCTATTGTCCCCGTCCTCTCGCCTACACCGACGCCGGCGGACTGGCAATCGGGACCCGAGGAGCTTGTGGTTGCCTACACCGGTGGAATCATCCAGCACTACCCGAATTTCAAGGACATGTGCCAGCAGTTTATCGACCGGCTTATCATGAGGACGGGGCCGCAGAAAAGCGGGAAATCCGTCTTCCTGCGCGAGGCGTCTGACGGCGGAGTCATCGGTGCTGGGGTTCTGGCGGGAATGGTGGGAAACTCCTAGCTTGGATTTTGAGATGATTTAAGATTGATGTGAGACGACGATCTGGCTTATGTTACGTGTTTTGAGCACTCTGGTTGGGAGTTTGTCTTTCAGAAATAGAGGTTCCAGCTGAAGGCGTCCAACGGTTGATCTGTGCTTTGGTTGTTTTTGGTTCTTTTTATGCTATTTGTAGTGTTATGTTATGTTATGCTAGGCTAGGCCCGGCAGAGAATATTGCATTGCATTAGATATTGTCTTGATTCAATGTGTAGAGCTGTGGAGCCATCACAGCTGACATACTTCGACTCGCGTGTGAGCGCAAATATATATCTTACACAATCTCCTCGATTGACGTGAGTTTCTGTCTCATGAGAGAACCTGTATTGATTCATCGACCTTATATTTACCTGGTCTAAAAGTCATTGCCCTACACCATTTAAAATCTGGACCTTCCATCAAACAATGCGCTTGTTCAGAGTGTCCAAACCAGACCTCGCCGTAGCGATCACCACAGGACACCCGGTACACGGCTGACACGAGACATTTGACACAGCATGCCAATGACAAGGCCAGGCCCCCCGCCAAGCAGGCAAACAGACAGACAGACGGCCTAGGACGCGGATCCAGCATCCAAGACAGGCGAGGCCCAGACCCACCCAGGGAGACGAGACACGATCGAGACAAGCGACGGGGACCGAGGGTTCTTAAGTCATCACGAACGAGTTTCAAATTGGGGACCCGGCATGCGAAGACTCTTATTACGGAGTATTAGAGTCCTCTACTGTATCGTGTCGCCAAACACGCATTCTTTCCTAGACGGCTTGTAGCCCTGTCCAGGGGTGGTGGACGACGTCCTGCATAGTGCATCCCTAGAATGGCGGAATGAACAGGGAGACCGACAGGCGCAGAGCTTCTGGAAGGACGGGGAGAGAAAGAATCCGGACGCGCCAATCAATCAATCAATCAACTGGTGATCCGACGGGTGCCGAAGAAAGGGATGGGTGGACGGGAATGCTGAGTGGGAATGGGCATTGTTCCGATGCAAGGGAAGCGCGCATTATCGGGCGAGTCTATTTACCATAGACGGGGAGGTAGGCATTCGAGGGAATTGTGCGGATTTGGAGCTGCACACGAGAGACATCGAGATTCGACGGTTGGTCGGGTTTGAAATCTGTCTGATTAGCTGTTAGCTGGTGAGATCGCGATCTCGTGTACCGGACGGATTCGAGTGTCTTTCGGCTATGCATGCTGATCTTCGGCCGGGTTGTTTGTTTGGGACCATTCTATGTATCCGTCGATTATTGTTAATTGTGTACGATGGGCCGTTGTATTGAATTCTAAACCATACCAGGGATGCATTCTGGACGATTATCGCGATGGCACGAAGCTCAATCCGTCTATCTACCTTTGAGGAATACTACCGAGGGAACTATACAAGGTCGGTTATTACTGTGCTGAGGTGCCCTCTGCACTCAGCCAGTTCCTCAACCTGAAGAACCATCCTCTGACAGATTCAGCCGCTCCATCTGTGAAAATGTCTGCAAGAGATGGAGAGGCTTGGGCCGAGTCAAGGGATGGAACAGAGTTCGTGGCCATATTCCCGTCTGCCAGGGACAACTGCCAAAAGAATGTGTCACATCCATCGTCCATTCACAGCCAGTGCGGACGTTCTGTCAGCTCGCCGTTGCGTGTCACAGAATTCGTCGATCTGGCAAAGTGGCATTCATCAGTTGCACGGGTGAAGCTGTCCACTTTTTTGCCTTTTTGCTTTTTTCGGGCTCTTGTCGCTGGAGAGAGTATATATCCCGCTGCCAGTCCGGCTTGACATCTCGTTCTTTTCCCTCATCACCTCAACTTCTTGCCATTGAGCAACGTCCTTCCTTCTTTCTTTTGTCTCTCGTTCAGTTGTTCTTCGTTTGGATATCAGCCTTGTCATTCGTTCATAGACCTCGCTCGCTCTCGTTCTCGCCGGTTGTTTATTTCGCCCTCGTTTCCTACCACAGTCCTCGGTCCAAGTGTAGATACCGACCGACCACCTCTCATTCGCTATATCGCCTTTTATCATAATCACCACCTAATATTAATTCACCACAATCATGGACTGTCTTCGTCAGATTGTCCGTCTCGTGAAGGCGCCGTTCCGCCGGAATTCCCACCGGGTTTTGGAAATCGTAAGTCATTGTTTTCATGACTGACCCGCGCAGAACTAACGCATGCCATTCAGGGCCCCCCAACGAACTTCCGAAAGGAGGAGCTTCCATCATTCTTTGCCGACGACGAGTTCGTGTTCCATACTAGGAGCCAGCCTTGCACCACCGCTAATCTGCCGCAGTGCGTTGACCCTGCATAGCCACGGCTCCACATCGGAGAAGCACGTTATGATCCAAGCCGTCGAGTACCAGCCATCTCCCGCCGACACGCTCCGCACCCAGGTCCGGAGGCTCAGCGTGAAGGGCATCCAGCCCTTGGCGGATCACGAATAGGCATTCGAATGCCTGACATCCAGAGGGAAATGGATTATCCCTCATCCTGAAAAGGAAAAGGATCCATACCAACAAGGAGAGTGTACGATTACAGCAGGAAGGTGGGAACTTCGTTGAGCCGTGATTTGTTCGAGCCCTCGTTATTGCGAGCATCTCTCTGTGTTCTTTCGATAGACGTCGCGGATGCCGAGCCAGACCTCGACGGCGATCTCGCGGGGTGTCTGGCGGCGTGGTCCGATTGACCCAGCTCTGGTAGTTGGTCGAATTCATCATCAAAAAGCAATCGCCGTTTTTTGACCTCGGTCGGTTCTGTGCGCTTCTCGGTAGACTGTATCTTGGGGTTGGGGGTGGGCGTCGACACGCGCCTCGGCGGAATCCTGGGTTTGGTCTTTGGCCGCGCGTTGCCTGGTGCCACTATCGGCGTTTCAACTGCCCCATCCAGATCGTCATCTTCATCCTCACCCTCCGCCACCGTCTTATGCCCCTCGACCGCCCGCGTAGTCCCGGGGGCGCGAAGAAACCCCGCCGCCGCCCTCGTCGTAGACTTGACCCCCTGCATACCCACCAACGACCGCGCCTTCCGCGGACTCGTCATCAACCCATGCAGCGACGTCCCCGCAAACGCATCATCATCATCGTCGTCCTCGTCCTCCTCATCGACACCAGCCTCCTCCTCGGAATCGACTCTGGGCCGGTTGGAGCCTATCCCTTCCAGACCCCGATTCTGGCGCTCGGCGAGGGCCTCCGCTGTGTCGCGACGCTTCATCTCCGCGCTGACGGGGGTGACGCCGTCGGTGGGCCGGGCGAGTTGGCGGATGGCGTCAGCGTTCTGGCGCTTGGCTTCTTTCTTGCGGCGAACGTATTCGGCGTAGTGGAGGTGCTGGGTGAAGGATTGTGCGACGGCGTAGAATTCGTCTTCGACCATCATGTAGATGTCATCGTGGTCGAGACCTTCTATCAGGGATCTGCGGGGGTTAATTTGGGGTTAGACAGAGGGGAGGAGGAAGACAAACTCTTCGGATGGGCAGCGCTGGATGGGGGAGGAGGGTGGAGTTGGTGCTGGTTGTGTTAGTTGCGAGAGAGCGTGGTGGAGGTTGCCAGGACGTACAGGATCGAAAGAAGTCGCGTTTGCGAGGGCGTGGTGTTGCGTCGGGTTTGTCGCGTTTGGTGTCGCGGGGCGTGGGTTTGGGAGACTTATCGCTGGCTGAGTTGGTCAGCCAGGGGAGAGTACGAGGCATGTTGGAATTGGGATTGTTGCCACTCGTCCGTAGGTAAGAAGAGGACAAGAGAAATGGAGGTGAGGAGATCAAGGGACGTGAGGGACGCGATAAGGCGGAGGCCCCACCTCCACATTATCACCAGCAGTAGTGGATATCACTTCCACAATATAGCTAGACGATTGGGAAGAATTTACTCCAACTGATTGATATTCCACTCTACTGGGGTACTCTCGCTATATATTATCCCTGAAGGGAAGGAATATAGAGTATCGCAATTAGAAGCTCGCACGCGACATAGACGGACTACTCATGATAAAAGCACAGGATAGGTCTTAATTCCTTTATGTATGCTACCACTGACCATGACTAGAAAATACCACCAACTTATTCTTAGCATAGCACTCAATTCACGGATACAGTCGGGCAATACGGCACCCTCGAACTTGTCCTCGCTGTAGATTGAGCTAATTCTTATGAAGCAGCATGGCATTCTTCTCTCAGCCAGGAGCCATATATGCAAAGTACATTTGCCAATTTCCCCTAATTATATCGTAACCACGATTATTATGGAGTGAAGAAGTCGACACCACGCCAAGTATCGTCTCGCCTTCCAGAGTCAAAGGCCTCTCAGTGATATAGCAGCTGCCAGAGGAAACAAACACATACGACCATAAGCCACATGCCGGCCGGTTAGTAGTTGGGTGAGTGACCACCAGCGAATCCCGGCTGTTGGATTGCTTACTTTCTTTCCAATTGGCAAAACTGGCCCCTGTCTATTCTGATATTTAGGATGTCTTGCCAGTTCTTACTTGCTAGCATACGGCCTGAAATATACGAGGACTATCTTGGTGATGGAGCTGCGTTCTTGTCGGGGCTGTGCACCCCTCACAAAAGCAAATAATGCCTAAAACACTGTTGATAGGGCGGTGCTTGAAAAGCCTACAAGGCTGAGCTTTTGCCAGCTGCTTTAAAGAAGGCGAGATCTCCTCTGTCTTTATCATGGTACTGTCCTTGGTGAACTCTACGACATGGAATCGTCCGCACTCATCCCCAACCAGACTGGACCGGGCTTCAGCCAACAGGGAACTGTTGACTGGACGCAATTGGCCAAGTCGAGTGTTGCTCTCTCGTTGGAAATTCTATCGAGACCGTCCAAAGCTGGGGTTGAGCCTCTGACTCTGGCCATGGGGCAAGCGATATTTTCACGATTCCAACTACCCCCGAGTACACAACAGAAGATACACACGGTGCTGGGGAATCTCAAGCCTTTTTCCTCGTACAGCAACATACTGTGGTTTGGATTCGGCGTCAAGCATGTGGTCAGGCTACTCGTCGAATCTGAGCAAGGCATGACCTGTGTCGCGCTATGCGGCGGTCTTTCCGTCTCTTACGACAGATTCTACTGTGCGCAGGTACTACGGTCAATGACGCAGATTCAAGAAGCACCTGCCAACCTCAGCCCTTCGATCACACAATGGTCCAATCTAGTGGACTCCTGCTCCGGAACGCTTCTGTCCTCGGATTTCCCAAACATGGTCGAGGGGTTTTCCCGGCTTTGGTACAACGGCGCAGGCCAGGATGCCTGGAAGCGACATGGCGCAACATCGCCGCACGCCTTGGGTAAGGCCTTATCGACCTTAGCAGCCATATCGAGTGGTTCCCTCCAAAGCGCAACCTTTGTTGGTGGCGCAGACTGCGCATGGGTAGCAGCTGTTGCAGAGTGGGTGCTGGGCCTCGCCATCGAGGTCATCGATGCCCAAACGGGTGACTGTCTGTACCAGAAATTGGGCAAGTCCAACGATGAGACGGGCCAAGTCAGAATCTTGCGAACACTTGACACGCAATACTCCATGGTTCATGTCAGGGACACGACTTGTTTTCTCCCTAGCGGCGCTGAGATCTTCCACGCATGCACCGAAGTGGGAGACTATGTTTTCGCCGGGGGGTGGTCGACTTGGGATACCATACTGTCCGATACGTTTCCCGCGGATGCTCTGCAACGTTTGACTTCATCCAAGGCAGGACCGGCTTTTGCTTATGCTCTCCGCATGACAGCTGATCAAATGAATACTGAGCTTGGCGGAAGGAAGAATATCTTGGAGATGCTTCCAGAGCTCAGGCCTGTCCTATCTAACCCTAGGTCTCAGGATCTGACTCTCACAGATGCCGAATGGGATGTTCAATCCTCCTGTGGCTGTCACTGCTGTCAAAACCCGAGAGAAAAACAGCCTCCGACGTATGTCCGACCAAGAGAGGTTTGCATATATCGCATAGCAATAACAATACTCGGATATCTATGGATTCTTGCACGTGTCCACTTGCATGACAATATTCGGCCCTCTTCTTCAGGTCTCCGAAGTCTTTATTTTCTCTTGAGGTCCTCATATTGGGGTCTGGGTTGCCCTAATATTACGCAGTTATCACAAAACATCAACAATAACGTCCTAGCAACGATCTTGCATACTATGACCGGAATCCCGGTTCAAGGCGAACTCAGTCTCAGGGCATCAGCGATATCCGACTCGGGCATGTTGATCTGCTGTACTTCTCTCTTGATTCCTAACCTGCCACCCACAGAAATGGCAACCTTCCACCTGGTCCCCGGCCATATCCAGAAAGACGGCTCCTTCTTTCGGGAGGTGTACGACCTCAACCCAAAGCCCGGGTTGCGAATTGAAGAGGATACGGTGATGCAGCTCACATTTGACGAGAAATTGCGATTGATGATGAGCTTTCGCCAGAACGAATCCATCCCAGAGTTATTGGTCAAAGAGACAATCCAAAGCCGAAAGCTACAAGCGAACTACTCTTGGCAGTATCGACTGTTCAATGATCAGTTTCGAGACAAGCATCAAGCACCAGTTGCCGCCTCCACAACATCTACAAAGATGCTTGTCACCGCATTCGGAAGCGCAGATCTCCAGCGGCTCCTTTTCAAAGGAATTTCCCTGCCACATTGCGAATCCAAGCGAATGAAAGCAACGACAACGGGCAACCGAACGGTCTCTGGGACATGCCTCAGAACCACGGAAGATATTCGCCTGCAGATGAGAAGCCCTCCATCTGGATTTCCACGGCCAGGCGAGTGGGTCCTCTTAGACATCGGCCGTCAAAAGCAACCTGGTGGTTACGACGGAGAAGAATTTCCAACGAAGCTCTACCTTGGATCCCTCGTCGAACTTTACAGCCTCCTTTGCAACAGTGAGCCGGGGAAGCATTTGAAACTAGTGTGTGCATCAAGCTGTTTGTTTTGTACGTGTCTATGGAAAGCGCGCACGATCTACATAATTTCCGGCCAGGCTTCTCCATCAGAGACGGTTATTGCAGACAACATCACGAGACTCCAATCTGACGGCCAGGACACTGAAGATAGTAATGCAGCATCCACACTTGAAAATGTCGACGAGGTTGTTGCTAGTGCTGTTGGAATTGATGTGACCGCACCAGCACCCTTATCACCGTCGCCTCCGCAAGAAACAAAATCCAAGAAAAGGAAAAGCACCAAGGGGACAAGGAGGAATGGGAAGCGAAGAGCCGGTGCTAGATGATTGTCGACATTAGTAGCGATACATTACATGCAATTGAGGCCTATCAAGATGCTCAATGGAACACTTTCTTCATTGGTCTATATTAGAGTGTATACAATAGCCGACTTAGGACCTATCAATTACCGATATTTGTTTAGGTCGGCTAGGGTGATCATCAGCGAATCCTGGTTGTTGGGGGTGTATTGTATAGATTTTCTTTTTTTTATATATATATATATATTGAAATTGGCTGTCACTCTTGTTGCTCTACTTTCAAGCCTCCTTCAGCTCAACCTCCTCCCCCTTCTCGTTGTCGACTGTCTCTTCGTCTCCGCTCTCGTCGTCGGATGTCTCTTCATATCCGCGAGAATGACCAAGCCACCCACCCCAGTGATCCAACCAGTCCCCATGCCTGCAAACGGGTCGAGGTCTTTGTCGGAGGCCCCGGCAACGCCACTCATGGCAAACACACGAAGTAAAGTCCACTGAAGCTGCAGCAATTTGACCGATGGCAGAGAATGATTGACCGGATCATTGGTACGGATTGTGATCAGGTCACCAGACTGGATCTTGCTCTCGGTCGTCATATTGAATATTTTGGCACATGTTGTGCCTTTGAAGTCGCTTGAGGTAAGATAGGGGGCGAACAGAGGCGGTATCTAGATCATTGGCAGACTTTTGATGTACTTCAGTCGAGGAAGCCAAAAGCACTGTAGCCACATTGTGGTCTCGTCAGCATCCACTGCCCCAAGAGCGAAACACGCCTTCTCCCACGATTTGTGGGTGATATTGCTGAGAGATAGAAGATTGGCACAATTCTCCGTGCCCTGAGGTCCCAGTATCTTTTCTTTCCAGGAAGTGACTTTGTCGTGTGACCAAAAGTGGCTGAGTGTCCTCCAGAAGGCTTTCTGTTCGGTTTCACTCTTTCCTCCATAGTATCCGCGTAGATATGTGTGACTTCCATGGGCTCTCTGAAACTGGCAACAAGGCAAGCCGAGTTGTCGCGTTCTGGACACTGAGATCGATCAGTATGTCGCCCAAAATGCTGCAGATGGTCTTACAAGAGTCTTGGCTGATATATTACGACCAGTGAGATTTGCTTTTTGAGCCGCCACTCTAGAGGTTTTCAAAGAGAATGAAGGTTCCACGTCGCCCACGGGGTCCGGGAGAATTTGTACGTTGATTCCAAGCTGCTACCATATTGGCGCTAGTAACACTCACATGGCCGTCGGACTTCTTTATACACCCATCCTTATTCCAGATCAGCCTCATCTAGCTGATATAACTCCCTTCCTAGCTCCCCTTTCACTCGATACTTCTCACCAGTTATTCCGTCCTCCCATAATTAAGAAGAAAGCCCCAACTCTTCCCATTCAACAGCAACATCAACAAATATCTACTCACTAAATTCTATCCGGATCTCTTAGACAATATTCATCTTCCCGTCGTGATAGATTAACCGTAACATATCCGTTTCAAAAGCTTCCCGATCCGCAATAGCGAAATAGCCCTCTAAAGCTATTCGCCGAAGATATACAAACTCTCTTTTAATATAATTATCACAATTCGCCGTCCATTCGTCGCTTTATTTAAAGGTCGGTAGTCTCTCTTTAAAATACCGTCTTTCCCGTAAGATACTTTCTAAGTCTAGCAAGCAGCTATAACCATTCAAAAAACCAGCTAACTCTAGCAAGATATTGAAGACTCACCACCACTAGTCGCGGAAATTAAGAGTTCAAGATTATCAAGAAAGACCCACCAGGCTATATCCTCCTCGTCAAGCTCATCAGACCCTATTAATTCTATAATCTTATCATTGTTATCGAGATTATAGTAAGTACGCAACAAAACCAGCTAACTATTATAACTCCCCCAAATCCTCCATGCTATCTTCTGTAGGTTATCGGAGCGCCAGGGGCGGAGGATAGTATCAATTTCATAGACCGTAGGGAAACGTAACAGTGTTTTGTAAGTCTCCAAGGCATAATAAGTAGGGTCTAGTTCCCCCGGAATCTCATCTAGATCTAAGAACCGGTGGATCAGTCGGAGACGCTGGTCTCCAGTGGGCTCAGATGAGGAGTGATCCCAGTGTTTCTTCATTATAAGATATTAGCCACGCTCGGCCTTCTCTTACCAGGGGAAACAACAATAGTGACGCAAAACACTCACGATCAAGTACTGCTCGACGGGTAGCTGGCCCCATTGCGGAAGGTATGCCTCGTCCATCACTCCGGGCAAAGAATGCACTGTCATGGGCAATAAAACAAAGTTCTGGACGACATGGAAATGCCCTGCCTGTCCAGCGCGGGAAAATGACACGCTAAACAAACATTTGCACTGTTTGCATGTAGTGATCTCAGAATTGAATAGTCATCAGAGTCAGCCCCTTAAGCACATATAAGAACAACCACCTTGTTAATTCCATGATATCCATACTCCTTCGACAAGAGAAAGTGGGGCCATCTACTCCGGCATACCCGCGGATCACATTAAGGTACCTTAGGTATAAAAGCGGGGACAATCCACTTCGCCTACGGCGCCTTTCCTACTTTCTCCAGGATGCAGACAGCAAATCATTTTTGTTAAACTACTAGTGATATTCTCAGAATTTCATCACATTAAACCCTTCCAAATGCAAGCACCTCGGGCAGAGATCATTGACGGCGTCAAGACTTTCATCCCACTCGCTACGTTTCGTCCCCTTTAGAGAAGAGGCAGGACCGATAATTGTCTTGAGAGAACAATCCTGATGTCCTGGGCCGTCTCTGCGAGAATCTTTAGATCTCAGGGGGTTTGGAGTTCCATGATATGATCTCCACCACTCCGGAATTCCTTCAGGAGTCCTACCTCCGACCTTGTCCAGCCCTTATCATCCTCGCGTACGGGCCTCTTTATCGAGCTGCCCGCTCAGCAGTTGTGCCAACCATACCGGAGCACAAAGGTTCAGGTCCTAATGAACCAGTCATATGGATGAAACAGACTATCGGCCATGCTTGTGGCCTGATGGCTCTTCTGCACATAGCCTTCAACTTGGAGGACAGTCGATACGTACGGCCTGGTACAGCACTAGACGTACTCCGTCAACAAGCGATTCCACTCGGGCCCACTGAGCGAGCGCAATTACTTATGACTCCAGCTTTCTGGAAGAGGCGCAATTGGATGTGGCAGCGCGTGGATCTTCGAATGCGCCTTCGCCTCGGGAGGATAACCAATACCGCTTCTTGGCCTTCGTGCAGACAGATGGGAAGCTCTGGGGAGCTGGATGGAGGACTGAATGGACCTCTGTTCCGAGGAGTACTTGGGGAAGACGAGGACATCTTAAGCGAGCAGGGGCTGGCGCTCACTGTTCGGGACTTCTTGGTTTCTGCTGACCAGATTGAATGCAATGAGATGAGTATCGTCGCTGTCACGGGGTCTGAAGCTTCTGCACAAGGTTGACCATAATGTCCACAGTTAGATTGTTTACCAAGTATACCAGCTGCCAGAAGAAACAACCACATACGACCATAGGGTGTGGAAAACAGGGCTTCCCGTCCGCTCAGCCGTACTTAAGCCACACGCCGGCAGGTTAGTAGTTGGGTGGGTGACCACCAGCGAATCCCTGCTGTTGTATGTTTTTCTTTTTTATTGTCGTTGAAGATCTGCGCTGAATTCGGCCTGTCAGGGCGCATGCCGGCATCCCCAGATAGTCCAATAATTTTGTCTTTGGGCAGGTTATTGGCCTGTCTTATGTTGTTCCTCAACGGCGTGACTCATTTTATGACCTCTAGTTAGTAGTCATGGGAGGACGGATCGTGATAAAGGGTGTATCCACTCTGAATTGTACCAGTATATTTGAACCACGAAATGATATGTGCATGTAATGCGACCCAACGCCAAAAGTGCCGTGAGCTGTGCAACTCACAAATCAAGCCATCCAAACGCCAACCCTCACTGTCGTCCGATGATAACGCCGCAAGAAAAGGTGATCGACAATGACTCTGTCCCTCCTTACGCTTCGCCAGGCCGCTTGCTATTGCAGCTCACGATCTTCACCTTATCCGCCGTAACCATCGTCTGATTATCCAGTTTGAAGTTGACATCCTTGATGAGGAATGTCCACACTTCGTCGCAGAAGCGGTAGGTATCCAGATGGCCCTGTTAATCATTCACCCATGTGAGCAAGCCTGCGTCCTTCCCCTTTGGAACGAGGTAAGGAAGGTCTGTATCTAACCTTGAAGGTCAACCGGGCTCGCACTTTCTCCGCGAGCACCTCGGTTATCACCTTGTCGAAGGTGGAGAGAATCTTCATCGCCAGCTGCGGCTCGATGCGGCCATCGTTGATCAGATCATCCAGGGTGTCGGTCAAGGAGAGGCCGAGACTGCTGTCGTTAGTGACGAGGACTTTCTGCCAGAACCGTCCGTCTGTATCTGGATAAACTCATACCTGCTCCCGCGGTAGAGCTCGTAGTATGCTTGGGCGCTCATGGTGATGGAGTCAGATAGATAGTCGGTAGTGAGAGGTGAGGCTCAAGAGGAAGGAGGCGTTGATTTGGTTACGTTCGGAGATAGCGGGGAGGGTCACGTGAGATTGGCAGTGTCATGTGACTATTCCAGATGCCTTTCGTCATTGCTCATGGTTATTTTGATCTCATACAACTTTCTCACTTATTCCTTGAAATCATTCAGATATGAAGATATTGCGAGCATCGCTACCATACTCTAAAATACTTTTGGCATACCCTCAGAATGGGCTCATACAACGCCGCATGCTAGGTTCGACGCCATGGTTGCTGCATACCAACAAAGGTCGGTGCCGAGTATCTTCTCTACCAAAGCAGAAGCTGACAGAGCCTAGATACAAGTCCGAAGAAAGACCCAGAACAGAAACCAGACGCACAAAGTGATCAAACTCAGAAGTCAAAGCAATCCAAAACTGTTGCACAAGCCGACGAAGAGCTCCGCGAGAAGCTTGAGCAAATGTCTGGCGGAGGCGGTGCCTCCGGTATTGAGTATGAAGATGGCAAACCTAGCACCATGAAGCGGAGTGTACGCAATAACATGTTCCGCTATATTTGATCGAAGGCCATATGTGTGCTACTTGGTCTCGGCGTACATGCGAGGACGATGTACGCGCCAACCGCGTTCTACCTAGCGACAGGAGCTCGATTCATTTCCCTGATGCAGGTCTATAGATCCCCCGTTGATCTTGGGATCAACTGCGCTTGACTCAAGGATACTGGAGTATATATCACGCCGATGGGAGACCTACCAGCACACAGGTGGAGTCAGGCGTGTATCTACATGTTTCTTCTACACCGACCAGGTATTTTCAGCTATCTGAACGCCTCAACTGGCTGATACGCCTGGATATGAATCCATACAGCCCGCGTTCTACCATACCCAACGCATCGGTTCTGACCACAACGGAGTGTTTCGAGACGAGCAAGACTCGACACGATGGCAGAGGTACGATGGGCTCTTGTGGTTGTTTAAGAGGAGACATGGGGGCGGCTTTTGTATTGAAGAATGCGGCAGGCTCCAGCTGGTCACAAAGCCGTTGGATGAAGGGATGATTGTCATGGTGTGAAAAGGAATACTCTGCACTTGGCACGGGAGAGGCTGTCGAGGAAGGTAAATAGACAGGGATGGAGCACCTGATGAGCACCACTAGTTTATAAAGTAGACCGGTCAGATAGTAATATTCCCATCTATTGTTTTACCAAGATCTGGTGTTAGCGTCAATTGAGCCCTGCCGTGGAATCAGAGCTCCACGTGAGTGCGGAGATCTTATATCTACATCCTGGCCGGGACATATCTTTGAGAGTACATCCCCCCAATCTACGATCTCAGATTCATACAGTAAAGCCAGTCCTTGCGGCTTTAACAATGCAATACGCCTATATCAACAATATGGACCCGGCACACGCACCTGGAACAACCCCGCTTTATGCCGGGGAGGTTCTCATCACCATTGCCGGTTTTCCGACGGTATATCACTACCAGCAAGGCATCAACCTGGACGTCAGCGAAACTGCTAAGCCTCTGATAGTTTGCATCCCGGGTGGTATGCACCTAGGGCGAATCTTCTACGGAGGGCACAAAGGGTCCAACCCGAAGCATTTCCTAGCATACCACCTGAGTCGACTGGGATTCGGGGTCCTGTCACTATCATATCCTACTGAAACAGATCCTGAGATAATGCCGGCTACAGCGTCGGGCTTCAGAATTCAAGACTGGGGCCGACAGGCTGCTATGACAACCAAAAACGTGATCGAAGACAATGACCTCCCGTCCCGGTCCATTATCCTTATATCGTGGAGCATGGGTGGCCGCATGGTCGTCCCATTCAAAATTTCGGCCAAAGAGCAGGGATTAGAGGTCTGCCAGTATATCAGTTTTGCGGCAACTCCTGGCATCTCGAGCATCCGGCTGCTGTCACCGGGGATTGTCTGCAGCCGCGCCGGATACTTCCTTGTTCCGTCGCGTCTAGACGCCTTTTATCGGCAGATACAGGAGATGGAAGGTCTTAACGGAGGTCACGAGATAATTCCTCCAGATGTTTACCGTCGCGAGTACATCGGTCGGACACCCATCAACCTCATCGGGATGGGTCTGAAGTACGATGGGAAGAGCTCCTTTGTCCAGGACGAAGTGCCACACGAAGAGGAGACGAAGGTGTTTGATGTTGCGAACTTCCCGTTCATCACAGCTCTATACCCGATTAGCATCCTCGATGCGAGCCATGCGCTGGTGGACCAGGCCAGCTGGGGGTTTCTGCTTACCTACAAGCTGGAGACAATGATCCAGAAAGAGGCATTATCGAAGATACAGGGCACTCCCAAGTGGGAACAGCTGCTGCGTCATGTCCATTCCGCTCCAGCGCGGCTGTGTGTGCCTGTGTCTGGGAACCATTTCTTCTTTGTAGGTGAAAGATCTGCTGGGGAAGTCGCGGAGAAGGTTGTCAGGCTTATTCAAGATGCGCGGGCTTTTCAGGATGAGCTGCTTGAGATAGTATCATAGTGTCTACGTGCAGTACAGAAGTACACAACTGACTACGTCACTGGTATAGAATTTGAAACATGGGTTCTGTTACTACTACATCATGGTATAGCTCGTCTATGATAATTTCTATGCTAGGGGCCGTGAATAATATGAAAGACTAGGGCATGCTTCCTTTCCTGCGAACATACAGGCCTCCCTGGAACATCTACATTCACCACCACTGTGAATGAGGAGGCTGAGCTGATTGACAGTCGGGGAGGAAAGCCATTCACTAAGAAGGAGGGTCGATCTACTTGAACCAAGGTACCAACATCTTGTCATTATGACCCTTTATCCATATCCATATCTCCTTCTTCTCTTCTGCTTCCCATCTTCAAACGGAAATCTTCTCCGCCAGGCGCAAGCAACCAGTCTGGTTGTGCCCACTTGGTTACAGCTTGCAGTTCAGATAGCGAACATCCATTACATTTCCCTCTCACGCTCATCCTTTGATCAGTAAGAATAAACCATGACGCCGAGCAAACCGAACAAGCCTAGTGGGATAGAGTCCCTCCCTGTGGAGGTCATCGATCAGGTACGTGTCGCCAAATACAACTACAACCGACATCCCATACCTATAACTAACATCTCCAGATCATATCCTACCACGCCGGCTCTCGAGCCTTCCTCAAGAACCTCCGTCTAGTCCGACCCTTTCACAAGAGTGCTTCAGCCCTTGTCTGCAACACCTTCCGATTCACCTTGACACCCAGCAATCCAGACAAGCTCGAGGAAATCTGCAAAACACCGTTCGTCAACTACGTCGAGACCCTGCATCTCAAACTGGATCTTTCCGTCTACCTCTTCTCCAAGAGCCAGTGGGATGAGACGACCGCGCAAGCCGCCATGGATTGCATCGAGCGCTGCCTCAAGCTCTTCCCACGCCTGAAACAACTTGCCGTGACCTGTCCTCCCCACTGGGGTGGTTACTACAGCTCCACCGCTGCAAGACCAGACATCCTACAAAGCGTCATGACAGCCTTCACCCTGTCCCCGCCGCCAACCCTCACAGAACTCGACGTCAGATTCCCGGAACGTCTCAAACTCACGCAGCCCGCGGGCAACGACGACGACGCCAACCCCAACCGTGGAATAGCCCCGTGGGTCGCAAACCTTCACTCGATCAGCCTCATCTTCGACCAGCAGTACGAGCACAAAGACGACGCTGTGTGCGAGCTCCTGCAGTACGGCGCGAACCTTGAGACTGTGCGGCTGAGGCGCTACACGCGGCTGTACAACACCCCTCGCCTCTTGATCCACCACAAAGCGCCCCTCAAATGCCTGACGCTCGAGGGTGTGACTATATCAGGAGAGTCACTGGCGTACACGATCGCGAGCTTCAAGCGCACCGTGACGCACATGGTGCTGGATGATGTGAATCTTTCCGACGGCAGGTGGGAGGACGTTCTGCTGGAGCTGTCGACCTGCCAGAACCTTGTGGTTCTCGACCTCAGCCGGTCCATGGGGTATGCCCGCGGCGATCAGAACTACGAGGCTATGTTGGCGCTGTTCAAGCGGTGTCGGGTCATACAAGACCGGGCCAGAGCACGGAAGATCGCCAGGAGCCACGACTGAATACAGGTTGGGATCTGGATGACCCTTCCGTGCAAAGATGGTACCCCGTCGCCCTGTTGACGTTGACGAAGTGCATATCCTGGTGCCCCGTTGTTTATTCGTCTGCTTGATGCACATCGCATTCCACTTGCACGAGGCTTTTTTTCGACACGAGCGCTTAGGCTCCTTCCATTCTGGATCAGCTGTGTTCCCCAACCATCATGTCGCATCGTTTCGTTTTTCGATAGTTACGCCCCTTGAAGTCATTGAAGACAGCTTGCATGCTCGAGATATCCCCGCCATCTTGATTTCTTTAGTTTACTGGAGTTGTTGAATAAGAGACTGTTTGCAAGATTGGCTGTATTAGCCTTACAGGAGTAGTCTACACATGACGAAGACCATTTGGTAATCGGATTCAGTCACATTACAAAGTCCAGACACCCTCCTGTTTTATCAACACCGCTACATAATGATAGCGTAATCGTATTAGCTAGCAGAAGTAATAGCAATATTTAACAGACTCAAAGATCCCGAACGAGACGTGCTCCAGCCCAAGTATATGGATAGTTTCGCTGGTACCAGTTGACACTATCCAGATCAGTCAGTACAGATCCCAAAATCATACTTATAGAGATACCTACAATGTAGTACGTCCTGCGATTCGCGGATGAGTAGCCCAGGAGCCACCAAGAATGACATTATGTTTTCCATCAAAGAAATCCGCTATCACAAGTTAGCCCGCATACCCCTTTGAAAAAGCCATCCAACTTACATGTGTATCCGGGGTATATTTCCATGGCGTGGAAGCCATCGTGCGGCGCCAGCGGCGTGCTGGTCCACTCCCAGACACCCCCCAGCTCACCATGACCAGCGAGTCGATCGCCGTTCTGGATGACGGGGGTCGGATGCCAGTGCTTAAACCCGACGTTGCAGTCGTCAAGGTCAAGGAACACTGGCAAGGAGGCCCGAGACGGCGGCTGTACCGGTTGGTGATCCGGGCTCCGAGGACGGCTCGGATTGATCTTGGAGTATCCGTTTCCGTTCGTATGAGCGTCACTGCGTTGCTGTCAGCATTTGGCTCAGTCGGAGAATACGTTCCAGCTTACCCATTGCCGTTCGCTATTTGAGTAGCGTCCTTCAGTTTCGCAGCGTGTACGTAGATGCTTTTCGCTTCCTCAAAGGTGGGTAAGCGACAGTCCAGCCATTGGGCGTACTTGACTAAATTGTCGTAGGCGGTCATCACTGGCCAGTCCTGGGCCAGCTCAAGTGGAACTGGACCAAAGACCGTGCGGACAGCAAAGTTTGATAGGAAGTCTTTCGTAGCCTGCGGACTGTTCCGGTCGATTCCCGCGGGAATTGTGTAATCTTCGTTCCCATGGACGAGGATCCAGGAAGCAGGCCTGTGGCGGAGCTGGTTTGCCTGTAAGTATTTGGCATACTCGCCGTTTGTTATCGGGCGTGCCTGAGCCTCGAATGCTGGCACAGTCGTGGTGCGACTTGGTTTTTCGTTATCCCATCCAAACGAGGTCTGCGGCACTGATGGACCATCGGCTCCATCCAGCCCAATTGATAGAGTCTGTTCAGGAATGGTAAACCATTCATTCTGTTTCGCGTTCTTCCTCGCATGGAGGAACATGTCTTTAAAGTCTGGGGTGTTGACGCCCGGTGGCGGAAGTGTCCGTTCGCTCTGGATGAGCATGTACAAAAAGGTCTCTAGGTGCATCGCTTCGTGCTCAAACCCGATCCATAGCGCTTCACCTAGGACCCTGTTTTGTTCGAGGTCGTCCCTCTGGAGGACAGATTTCACTCGGTTTCGAACCCTTTCCTGGTAGTCGAGGATATCGTCAAGGGAAGGCCATTCGTCGGGTATCTCGCTGTGCGAATGACACTTCTCGGGGTCATCCACGTCAGGATCGATTCCCCGTTCGAAAATTAGCTGGTAAGACTTGGGATCAGTCGGCTTCTCGCCGAGAGCACGAGTCAGATGAATATCTTTTCCTGTTAGTGTAGTTCGTTTTTGAGATGGTCGGGGGACGCACCGCAAAATGTCGGAATGTGTCCTAGGTAGAAAATAAGTGCGTTACGCAGCTTTATTGGCTTCGACAAGAGCTCATCACGCGGCACCATCCCCTTGGTTGCGATATCCCATGAAGTCCATAGGGATTGAAAGTCCTCCAAACTGGGAATTGCGCTTGCAGCGTACTGGGGTGTTTTAATCGGGAAGTCCAGACTGGCAGACGACAGCGTATGGATATCTTTATAAGTCAGCGGGCCATTATCCAAGAGAAGCGCATATAACGCCATCCGACGTCATAAGCCCGTTCAGGGCGGATAAAAACGTACGGTAATCCCCAGAACTGTTACCAAACTCTGCGCAATGTATCAAACCGGCGCTCCGCCAGAGCTGGTCCCGCTCCTCCGGACTGTATTTGTACGCTTCCTCAAAACCGAACCTCTCACCCTTCGGCAGGAAAATTCCGTTGATGGTCACGTCCGTCCGCGGCGAGTACGCCGCCTGGTGACACCCCTTGATAGAATCATACCCAGTGATTACCTCCCATTCGTCGGGCTTGAAGGCCTCGTATCCCAGAACGGTATTGGCATGGTGCAACCCGTTCTCATAAAATCGCCGAGTGATCCCCTGAGAATCGTTGTAGGCCTTGTGTACTCTCTCTGGTTCTTTACAGCCGTCCAATCCGACCACCAGCATATCAGACGGACCAAGAAGTTTGCTATACTGCGTAAGGAACTCAGCTGCTGCGGACCGGTCGAAGTTGCCAATTGACGATCCCAGGGTCAGAATAACCGTGGGACGTTTGCGGTTCTGCGGATCTTTCAGCCAGGCCAAGGCGTCGTCATACGTGCCATGTAGGCCATGCAGTCCAACATAATTAAAGTCGTCGACTGAGACCTCCGCGAATGTACGCTGCAGCTCTGAGAGTGATAGGTCTAGAGCGTAGTAGTCCACACTTTTACCCGTGCGATCCAGTTCATCTAGAAGGATCTTGATCTTTCGCAGATTCCTACACCGGTTAGCATTGTGTTTGTTATTTTTACTTGGGGATTCAATGTACCCGCTCCCTAGCTCGAGTAGTTGCGCATTGTGCGGCACGCGCTCGGCGATGCGCTTGGCATGAGTCTGCAGCACCTCAATCTCCGCATTGGTGAGATAATACTCGTCAAGATAGGTGATTTCTTCGAAAAGTTTGAGGCCTTCGGCATTGTACAGGAGCATCGTGGGCATGGAGCGTTTGGTACCCGCGGGAGGATCGATCCCGGCGTAGATCTCATTGACCAGCGAAAACTCCACGTCATTCTGACGGATATCGACAATATCGACGGCGTCAGTCGAACAGGCAATTGGAGACATTGTGAAGTTGGAAACAAGTCTATGACCGTAATATGTCGGTAGCGGTAGTATACAGAACCCAGAATTAAAGTAGTGCGAGACAAGGCGACTGGCACCGAGGGAAGACAGATGGGTTGATGAAAAATGTATGCCGTGAATTCTATGTGTATAGGTACGCAAGGGCCTGATTTTGAGGACCGCAAAAAGCAAATATGGCCGGGCCCCTTAGGATGATCAAAGAGGGGTAAAGAGGAGATGAGAGAAAAGACAGGGTAGTATCGAATCCGAAGATATTTGAATGACTCGCAGGAGCCTGCAGGGTGCGAAGGAGCTGGAAGATCGCGGAAAGCGAGATGGAGTCCCTTCCCTCGGCTGGCCTATCTCCGTCAGACGGTGCCTGGACACAGAGAACCGCCATGTTGTAAGAGGGTATGACTCCCTGTGTGCAAACATCTCCACATGAGGTCCGCCGGACAAGTCCCCAGTCAAGACAGAGCATCAGACGCTCGGACGGGATCCAGGCCCTGGGTTCCCAACCATCTGCTGGGGAGGATCGTATACGGCTCCATCTATGTCAGACATGGTGTCCACTCAGAGCAGTCAGCCCACCGAGCAGCTGCATGTCAGGGCCAACGACCATTGACATCCGCCAGTGAGATGCCAGGTATGACGCACACCAGGCCGTCCGTCACCGATCCGTTCAGTTTGGCCGTGGAGAATCATCTAATCATTGGGAGAGAAGGTCGAGACAAGCGGGGAGCGCATCCTCGATGACGTTGGTGGGTGTGTTTGCCGGCTGTTTGTTCCGTTCGCGGCGTTTGTTACATTTGCACGTTTGCATTTGATCAGATGTGTTTGTCGGGTTTGCATCAATGTCTATCAATCTAATCAATCGGCATCTTCCTTTATCGGTCTTTATCTACACTATCACGGCATTTCTCTCTTGCACACGACACAAACACGTCCTAAGGAGCTTCCCAGCCTTTGTAGTAACTGACATAGTATATAAACATGCATGCATCACCAATAGACCATCTACTTCTTCAACCTCAAGACTGTGGAGGACACAAACACCATGGCATCAACTTCACCCAACTCCAGAATCACCGCGGGGTCAATCCCACAGCATACCAAACACTCCATCGACACCCTCACCAGCTACTTAAACGCCCAAGAAACCACCATGCTCCTCCTTCGCGCATCCATCGCCCTCTCGCAAGCCGAAGACTCCAAAGCCGAACAGCTGGTCCGCCGCGCTTTACACACGGCCACTAACGCGCCCACCCCGCGAGACCCTAAGCACGTCGCTCGATGCCATTACTGGCTCGGCCACATTGCCTGGTTCCGAAACGATCTCGCACAGGCACGGGAATGCTTTCGCACGGCGTTAGCGGAAGATGGGCTTCGTGGACTGCCGGAGGGACACGACATCGACGAGTACCTCTATATTCTCCGGCGGGGAGTCAAGTATGGGGATCGGGATGGTCGGCGATGCCCGCCTAGGACAAAGGTATCTGGAGAGTACAACAACCCCAGGAAACGGAAGCAGGGGGAGATGAGACGCCGACCCGAGGCCCCGCGTCGATCTTCCAAAGCGAAACCAGTGCCGAATAAGGCGGACGTCAACCAGCAGACGTCCAGTCTCCAGCACATGCAGTTTCGGTTCCGCATGTATCCTACCGAGTTGGCGCCACGCTCGCGTCCGACGAAGATCTTCCCAGAACAGGCGTACGAGTTCCTGGTCCCGGCGGAGGAGTGGGAGGTGATCCGCCAGAGAATCAAGGGAAAGCTGGTCACGATGGAGTTTCTGAAGCGTGAGCGAGTGCGCATGTGGAAGAGGTTGCAAAAGTTGTGATTTCCCTGCTAGCATCCAATTCAAAACCATCCTGTGTTCAGTCATTAGCATAAATCCCATAACAAGCATTCATATGCACATCTAATATAACTACTCCATCCTTCGGAATAAATCAGAAAGAAACACCCCAGACGTAGCTCGCAACTCCCATCGCCCCAACGCTCATGATCAACGCCATCAGCACATTCACCGCATTATTATCCAGCAGGTCCCGCCCACTTTCCACCCGCCGACTCTCCAGACTTTCGTCTTTCGCATCGCCAGCCCCGGGGACATCCTTCTCCCCTCTGCGCTGGCGCACCTCCTCCGCATGCAAGCCCGCAACACCGAGACCGGTCGTGCCGCCCGGCCGCGCAGCCGGATGAATCAGGACCTTCGCCCCGCCACTGCCTTCAATCACCTTGCCCGTCCGCTTGTCCACAACGCTCGCCTGTAACAACCCACCCAGCACGCTATCCAGCACGCTCCCCAACGTGCCCCACAGGGTAAACGCAACCATCCACTTCGCCCGATCCGCGACGGCCCCGCCCTCCGCACAAAACGGGACGAGAACAGCAGATGTCACCGCCACAATGAACGCGCCAAGCATCCCGGCCAGCAGACCCGTGGCGGTGACGCCGCCGTTCGTGCCGGGCGGGACGACCCGCAGCGTCGGGGAGGTGATTAGCCGCGGTTTCGACTTGGAGAGGATTCCCAGTTCGGAGGAGAAGGTGTCGGCGGCGACGGCGGCGTAGTTGCTGCATATCCATTCCGGTTAGCATCTCGACCGTAAACGCACAATTGAATCTGGACATACGCTACGATGCCCACGACCAACAGATCCGCGGCGCGTCGGCCGTTTGAGAAACACGCGGCGAGGTTCAGCGTCGGGTTCATGGCGACAACATACGCGTGGGCGAGGATGAGGACGGTCGCGACGATGGAGTTGGCCAGGACTTGGATGTGGGTGCGTTGGCCTTCGCCGCCCTCGGAGCCTGTTGCGGACAGCGTGAGGCGCGCTTTGATGTCGTGTTTTACCTGGAGGGTCAGCGAGTGGGTCGGTTCAAGGAATGCCGCATGAAGCGTACCTTGGTCACTTTGGTTCCGCCGAGGTAGAATACCACCAGCAAGGCTAGCGGAGCTGACCACGGGTGGATGGCATGCGCGATAGCTGTCAGCGCCGCGACGATGATGCCCAACGGGGTGAGCGACTTGCGCGACCAGGCGCGGTGGACGAGCGCTGCGAGGACAGGAATGGCAATGTAAGGCTTCATTTTGGTGGTAGGAGCAAGGTATGAAGCATGGCGTGAGATACCACTCCGGTGTGTTGACGACGACGAGGGAGAGAGCTGATGTGGGGAGCTCAGCATCATTAGTCAACTATGCATAATTACATGCACTAGGATTGATACCGAACTTATGCAGCTATCGCTACCATGTGCAGTCACATTATGTCGCTCTCAATCTAACTAACTAGCAATAGTTGACAATCCATTCCTTAAGATCCCCAATGGTCGGACAGTCCATAAACATCGAACTGCGCACGTTGATCTTCAACTCCGCAACAAACCGCTCTGCCAAAACAAGCGAAAGCAGAGAATCCACGCCAATACTTGCAAACTCCGTCTCGTTTGTCAGCTCCGACTCCTCAACGCCGGTCTCTGCCGCGATGAGCGCAATCGCCTGTCTTACCACTGCCGTCTCTCGCGAGGAATCAGGCGTCAGCACAGATGGACGGGATTCCTGCCCTCCTGACGAGTCGGTATTGGGCGAAGGCGACTGCTCCGGTGAACTGGCTGGCGCACTGGACGAGCTTCCCGGGCTCTGCTTTCGGGATCTCTCTCGGCCAGATGGATAGTGCGTGCGGGTGCTGGTGGCCTCATGTGCTAATAGAAGGGCAGGCTGCGCGTCCGGAGGGCTGAAGAACTTGTTCAGAAGCACACGTCGAAACGTGCGGAAGGCCATGCCCTCAGCCAGACCCACGACTCGGTCATTCTGAAGGATGTATACATCGCCGGCATAGAAGCCCGATTCTCCAGGCACGGGAAACATCTTCACATATGACACGTACCGACCGCCAGGGGCCAATGGCTCTGCAAAACGTAGAGACCCGAGCCTGGCAGTGACGTAAAAATCCCTCCGTGGGTTGAGTGCGTTGCCTCCGTTGAGAATGAACCCAGCCAGATGAATCAGACTGTCGATGTAGTGCGGCGGCACCGTCCACTGGCCGGACGTGTCAGTTGAGAGACAGATATTGGCCACGGCCTCCATGCCGTTCAGGACCACTGTCCGCATGCCCCGGAACTTATCCGCATAGTCGACTAAGTTGTTGAAGAGTTCATACGCCATGTCGGAGGACAGCCGGCTCGCTTGGCCTTCGTCGGCCATCCGATTCAAGGCCTCAATCCGGCTGGTGACCAAATGCGCAGAGGGTGCCCATTCCTGCAGCCAGATTTCTGGATCGCCATACTCGACCTCTGCAGTTACGAAGGGGCTTTCCGCTGGTTCATTGTTTTCGTCAACTTCGTACCATGAGAGCTGCACGGAGTCCTGCTTGAGATCAGCAACCCCACGCACTTGAATGCATTGCGGCTGGGAGCGATCCTTGCGTGCTATAAGCCCGTGGTCGAAATGCATGTTTCTCACATCGATCCCGGGGATGGTCGTACGAGGCCGCAAGCGAGAAAACAGATACGTCGCTATGGTAAATGCAATATCCGAATGGATTGTCTAGCAACGTCAGTCTTGTTTACCGTGCATGAGAAGCTGGGCGAGGGGAGTAGCCTTACCATAGTTGCTACCGGATGTCCATTCATGAGATGCCCCTTCATCTCTTCCAGGAATTCGGGCTGCAGGATGTCAGACTGGATGACGACTTCACCTTCATTTTCCTTGATCGATTCCTTCACCAGACTATGCACCAGGGATGTGCGTAGTGCGGACGGGGTGGGGGAGGGAACAACTGCAGGCGGCACGTCTCCTTTATACAATCTCCAGTTCCCGGTATACGGAATCCAGTGATTCTTAGCATTCCATTGATACGAAGGGAGCTCCAGCAAGCGGAGCTGTGATTCGAACGGGGCATGCCATTCCTGCCAGTTGATAGGCACGCCGAGACTGTACATCTGGGCCATGCCACGGGCAAGGGTGAGCCAGTTATCCTCGCCCTTTTTCAAACTGGGGACCGTCACCGTCCCGGGGGCCATGACACTGCGCACGAAGTGGCTGTAGGATGCGCGGGGGCCGATCTCCACCCAGATGGTCATTTCATCCACCAGGCCCAGGTCCTGCGCTGCCTTCAATGCGTCGACAAACTGGACGGGTCTCCGTGTCACGCCGCGAATGTAGGACGGCCCCAGAGACTTGCCATCAAACACACAAGCTGCCTCCACTGGCGAGATCACCGGGATACTCGGGTCATGGAAGGTAACGCCTTCGGCGATCTCCTCAAGTTGATCGAGAATCGGGTCCATTTGAGCTGAGTGGAAGGCGTACGGGATATCGAGCTGGGTGCATCTGTACCCATGTGCTTCCAGGGTAGAGCGTAGCTCAGCGACAATCCCCGTTGCACCGCTGATCGTCACATCGTCCGTCCCGTTCACGCAGGCCAGCTCATATGGCTTTCCGTCAAGGGCCTTCGTTACCTGGTCGACGCTTGCGCGGACGGCGAGCATGGAATGTGTATTGGCAGTACACTGCTCCTGCAGCAGCTGAGCACGTTGACCAACCAGGTAAATTGCGTCTGTGGCGGACAACACTCCAGCCGCATAGAGGGCGACAAATTCCCCCAGGCTGGCGCCTACGACCACGCAGGGTCGGACACCCAGCGTGTCCCATAGCCGACAAAGCGCAATGCCAACACAGACAATAGCCAGGTTGGTGATGACAGGCTGGGATTCGACCTCGTGCGCATTGAGGTTGCCAGTGATCGTGCTCAGGAATGATGGGAACCCGAGGGACTCGCATATCTCCACGAGCCGATAAATCTCTGTCCGAAACGTCGGATGGCTTTCGTAAAGCTGAGAGCCAATACCAGTGTAAAAACCGCCTTGTCCTGAAAAGACGAAGACCATAGAGGGATCCAAGTTCACCAGCGGACGATGCATGTCTACCGTGGGAAGAGCCTCGCGCAAACGTTTTGTCACCTCTTCCTGACTACTGCCGTGGACTACTATCCGGTGATTGTAATGGGTGCGGCGCGCCATGGTGGTGTAAGAGAGGTGCGCCAGGTCGACAGATGCGGGCTTTGACTCCAGATATGCAAGTAGTCTCTCCAAATTTCCCCGTAAAGACACTTTGCTCTTCGCCGTAACGGCGACAACATGAGCAGTCCGAGGGTCTGTGTCGGGCTCTGCTTGTACCGGGGGCTCTTGGAGTAGAAGGCTAGTGTTTCCTCCTGATGCGCCAAAATTATTGACCAGAGCGTAGCGTGTTCTGGCATCATTTCGTGGCCAAGGCACCTGCTCCAGTGCGATATGGATGTTGAGGCGATCAAGGTCCGGGAACTTTGGATTGAGCATCGTCTTGATTCCGACATGCTTGGGGATAGCCTGCTTCTGGAACGCGAGAAGCGTCTTGATTAGGGCCGTAACACCTGCGGCTGCTTCTCCGTGGCCGACGTTCCCCTTGACAGACCCAATGTGCAGGGGATGTGGTCTCATGGTTCTCCCAGGGCTAAATACGGAGGTGACGGATTCCATTTCCACTGCGTCGCCGGCCTGGGTGCCGGTGCCATGCATTTCAACGTAGTCCACTTCCAGAGGACTTACCCCGGACTGTGTGAGAATGTGACGGAACAGGTCTGCCTGGGTTTGGGCGTGTGGATGGGTGATGGAGATGGCATTAGCGGAATGATTTGTAGCAGACGCAAGGATAACACCTAGGATATTATCGTTGTCCCTCTGTGCATCGTCCAGCCGCTTCATCACGACAGACCCAACCCCGTCTCCGCGGCAGTAGCCATCGGCGTTGCAGTCAAAGGTCTTACAGCCTCCGGTCTTGGACAAGAAATGCCCCCGGCTCAGACCAGTAAAGCCGTCGCTGTCACACAGGACATTGAGCCCTCCAGCCACCACAGTATCGGCGTCACCATGTAGCAATGAGGTACAGGCCATTTGAATGCTCGCCAAGCCCGACGAGCAGGCGGTATCACAGTTAAAGCTGGGCCCGCTGAATTTGAAGAAGTAGTTGATCCGCCCCGTTGCGAACGCCCGACAGCCGCCGGTAATGTAGTACGTATCCACGTTTTGGCCGCTACTGGCCTCGCGATAGTCGTCGCTTGCTTGGCCGTAGAATGTGCCCACGCGCTTGCAGTGTGTTGCTGGCGTTCGGTTCAGAACAAACCCTGACTGTTCTAGCGCTTCGTACGCGGTGACCAGTGCCAGTCGATGCATCGGGTCAGTATTCGCCGCCTCTCGGGGCGACATGTCGAAGAACCCAGCATCGAAGAGGCCCGGCTGGTCGATGAAGCAGCCGAACGGGGTCAGACTGGTATTCTTCCTCTTGCCAGTTGGGTCGCAATGCAAGTCGACGTCGAAGCGATCTGCAGGGACCTTTTTGTGCACGTCACGACCGTCTTCTAGAAGCTCCCAGAACCGTTCGATGTCATCCGCACCACCGGGGAAGCGGCAGGACATGCCTACAATTGCAATAGGAGAGTCTTCTCTGCGAAGGGTGGAGGGGCTAACGCTATCACTGGATACCCAGTGACCCATGATGTGTGTTTGGAAGTCACATTTGGGCTGATGCATGGCTCCTGCGTTTACCATCTGGGTGACCTCGCGACAGGGGTTGAGGGCAAAGAGATGGGGCCCCGTGGTAGATGCGTTCTGGATAATATCTAGAGCACTCTCCAGTGCTTTGTTCCAGCAGACGACCCCTGTCAGAATCTCGCTGACGGCCGACTGGAACAGCTGCCGTGGGGTGTTGCCTGGAAAAGGCGATCCATCTCCAGGTGACAGAAAAGGAGGAGTATCGCCCATGGCCTTATCCGCCACTAAAGAGTCCATTGAGCTTGTCACTCGGATGCAGTAGTTCTCATTATAAAGATGCGGTGCATGGGCAAGGCCCCCATATACGGGCAGCTGGTTATATCCTGCACACCGCAGGACGTCCGACTCTCTCAAAACCCTACGAAGCTTTGACGGAGGGCCGCTGATTGTGATGCTCCCCTCGCCTATGACACTGATGTAGATATGGCTGGGCCTTGGGTTATGCTATCTCTTGTTAGCCTCGTGGCACAATGAACTGGGTGTATACTCACAGTGGATTTGTTAAAGGCATCCAGCTCCTTTTGGACCGTCTCCTCATGCATGCCTATCAACATCACGGCAGTACTCTCGCTTGGCCGTCCAGGCTCGCGGGGCTCAATACTCTGTGTCACTTCATCTGTCACCATTCCGAAACGCAAGGCAACTCGAATCATCTCCCGGCCAAGCTTTGGGAGATCTGAGAGCGTTGGCGAGGCGGCAACGGCCGCCGCTGCCAACAAGCCAGGACCAACTCCAGTAAAGCATGATGTCGATTTTGAAAGCGCAAACTCGTTCGGGAATTTCTCAAAGTATCTATCTCCTGATTAGCTTGCACGAGACCAGGACTACGGGACACTCACCCAATGACAAGTGACAGCTGTAACAAACATAGGAACACGGTTTCGAAGATAGCGAGGAAAGCACCTTGTTGCCAATCTAGCAGCTCAGCTAAGTCTAGGATGTTCTCGAACGGGGGCAATTGGCTTCGCAAACTGTCCGGCGCCTGGCGGAGCTCCTCCCGAACAATGGCAGTCGCTTCGGTAATGAAAGCATGCAACAGCGGATGGTCTTTGGTTTTGCTGTGAGAACGAAGTCGACGAAACACTTCTTTCGGATTACCCGATGGCTTCTCGTTGGTAAAGTAGAAGAGCTTGAATGCCGGTTTGTCATTCATGCTTGCGGTGTTGATCTTGCCATGTATGGAGTGCCTGTTTGGTGCCCGCACGACAGTTTTATATGTGTTCTTGATGTACGTATCGCACGAGGATGTGTCTGTGACCGCCATTCTTTATGCGGGCATGCATACCCCTTGGGAATATACGCATGCAGGTTGGATCGAAAGTCCCTGTTCCTTCGTAAGCGAAGGCCTAGCTGCCCATGTTGTCTTGCGAGCATGGGGGTAAAGATCAATATGTCTTACACGTGCATTATGATGTGCATGTCTGATCTGCAGGGATGAGTTAGTGACCTGCATATTGGCTGAAGGCTAACACTACTGCAGCGTTAGCCGGGGGTTGGAAATGGCCTTATCAATGACCATGCTGTAGCTGCACGTTCATCTGCAGGGCTGCAAGGGTTGAACCCTTGCTACCTGCACATGGGACACTTACGTTATCACCGACGACGTTCCCAATGTGATATATCACAAACAATGACACACTCGAACATGGGAGTCAAGGCATCCATGCGCCATTTCATAAGGATATCCATAACAAAGAGTTCCAGTCATCGTCTGTTCAGGGCGGAAGGTACTTCCCCGAAGACCGCCTCGACCAACTGCATCTGCATAGCTGTAAGTCTGGCTTCTCCAACCACTATCTTGGCTTGCTGATTATACCGGTGGACCGCAGCACTGACTCCAGCCGACACCTGCACTATGTTGCGGATTGACTCTGAAACCAAGATGGAATGATAGTCCCAATCGGAGCCTGAATCCGTTTGTAATGAGGATTCGTAGTCTGCTGGAATATCATGTACATCAAGAGTTGCCATCTCCGAAGGGAAGCGCATGGTGATGGCTGCGTGAAGACATGCGACGTAGGGCCGTCAGCCGCAAAGACGTCCGCCGTAGCCAGCCATCGGCTGAGACCTGAGACCAGGCTTGCATTGTAACAGATGCATTGGTGTGCTGCGCTAGATGGATCTGCAAGGGGTGAGAGAAGTTCACTAGTTTCTCGTGGTTGGAAGCATCGCGGTTGAGTACTGGGTGAAGGTGACTTGGCGCATTGCAATGGGAAAGACAGGAATCATTGTGGGTGTTGCCCTGTCGCAGACTATCATCAAGTCAGGTGAAATGCACCCCATACGGGCCCTTCTATCCAACAACACAACATAATATCTATACATGGGTATCGCTACAAATGAAACATGCCTTCGTTGGGCTCACAAAACCTCCACAAGCCAGCCTGCACGGCGGCCTCCTTGACCGACCCCAACTCCCGATCATTCACAGCGCGATTGATATCCGCATAGCGCACCGTCTCACCGTCTCCCTCCTTCGCACCGCGCTTCTTCTTCCCAACATGCGCATCAGGATGATACTGCTCCATGATATGCACATACAGATCGCGCGAGACATTCTCCGCCAGCCAGCGCATAATCTCGCGCCCCTCGTCCTCCTTCCCGGGCATAACCAGATGTCGCAACAACACGCCCTTCTTTGCGATCCCATCCGATGTAAAGCACAAATCGCCGACCTGCGCATGCATGGCCGCGACGCTCTCGCGCGCCGTCTCGGCGTAGTCGTCCGCCTTGAGCAACCGGCGCGACGCGGCGGGCGTCCACACCTTGAAATCAGCCAGGTAGATGTCGACCAGCCCGTCGAGGAGCTCCAGCGAGTCGAGCGAATCGTACGACGACGTGTTGTACACGATCGGGATCTTGAGCCCCATGTCGCGCGCCGCCAGGATCGACAGCGCCACCTGCGGCACGACGTGCTCCGGCGTCACCAGGTTGATGTTGTGCACGTTGCCGACTGTCTGCAGCTTCAGGTACCAGTCTGCTAGCTCCTCCGGCGTGAGGTCGAAGCCGTTGCGCTGGTGCGAGATGTCCTGCGTTCGTCAGCACCCTGTCTTTTTTCTCGGAGAGGGGAACGGATGGGGAAGCTACATGATTTTGGCAAAACACACAGCGCAAATTGCACCCGGAGAAAAATACCGAGCCGCTCCCGTGGAAACCCTGGATGCAGGGCTCCTCGCCGCGATGCGGCGCGATAACATTCACTTTTGCGGTTTCGGCGCCGATCAGACACACGCCTGTTTCCTCGAAGCGGTTAACTCCGCAGCGGCGGGGGCAGAGGTTGCAGTTCGACAAATGGGCATAGGCGCGGGAGCGTTTCTTCGCCGCGTCGACGGAGGAGAGCAGCTGGTAGCGCGGGATGTAGTCGTCTAGTAGGAAGGCGGGTGGGATGCCGAGGAAGCGTTTTGTGGTGGGGGATGGGGATTGAAAATGCGGCGGCGGATGAAGTCGCGGTCGAGCCGCTGAGAGGAGTCGTGGTAGTTTGAGGGGTGTCATTTTGCGTATGTAGTGGGCTAGAATGGTATACAAAAGTGGGAACTGTAGGAGGAGGTTTACCGAGGGATTAAAGGCTTATCGCGATAACGCTTATCTCAGCATGGCGTCATCGTCCTCCCCAATATTAATCCCGTGTCTACGATTGGCAGCAGCAAGTATATACTCCATAGGTAGGTCTAAGGTACTCGTAAGTGAGGTAAATAAATTATCGACAACTCGTATACAGGGTATGCGCGTAGTGTACAGGTATCATAGGTATATACGAACGGAATCACTCAACGTCCCAGCGAACTGACGGCGGACGGACGCGAAGGAAATATCAACAGCAATTAATGAACCAAAAGAAATCGAACCGTTCCATTCCATTCCATTCCACCACAAACTCCTGACCCCATCGTAGATCACATCACATCGTTCGAATCCGCTCATAATGCAAGACCGCTGCCATCACCGGTCCAGCGGTAGAGTGCCAGCACTTCGCGTCGTCGTTGCTGCTGTTCGCCAAAGTCCTCGGGCATGCGCCCGCGAACCTGCGCGAGAGCTGAACGCATGACCTTGCGGAATGTTCTCTGCATGATATCAGTATAAGCGAGGTGCATAGCCTTGCGAATGGGAACGTACCTGGTACTCGGTGTTGAGGGTGACCACGCACGCCTCGTGGGCACGGACAATCGTCTCACAGGCGCGAACCACGCTCGGGCTGGCGTCGCCCTGGAGCTTGTCGGCAGCTAGGAGCAGCAAGAAACTACCCTGGAGCAGGTAGATTCCGAAGAAGAATGGCATGAAGCTGAGGTCGGGATCGTATTCGAGGATATCAGCAGCCGCGTCCGCCGCGCCCACCGCATGGCCCATCGCGGTGATGAAAGATTCCGACGAGATCCACAAATCCTGGTCCTCGAGGAGGTTGATCGGGTCCCATTTGCCCGCCAACAGGATATGAAGAACGTGCATGATATGGGTTCCGTAGGCCACCACCATTTTGGTGTGCACGATAGACTCATTGATGCGAGACCCGACGGTGCTGCTGGACCGACCCGACGGGCTCACATGATCCAGATGTCCGCCATCCACTATAGTCTCATTGTCCGCCGCCCCCAAGGCCAGACTACTCGTGTAACGGGATTCAAATTCCTTCAGGCTCTGGCCGTACGTCTCCAGCTGTCGGGTGAGCTCCAGGACTTGGTGCTCCCACTCGCTGCTGTTTCGAAAGGCGATACCGAATCGGGGATGCTCTTTGGCCTGCTGCAGATCTACGATGCCGCCCAGGATCGTCATCAGGGGCAGGAAGTACCCAAACATGCTGTGGCCGGAGCATTCAATTGGGGGGCCGACCTGGCGATAGCCAACCGCCCCAAAATCACCTGCCTGCCATAGATCGTCATTCATCGGCTGCAACAGTCCTTCACACTCTTTGTCTAGTAAGCGCAGAGGCTGGTTGTAGCAGAGTGCCAGATGCCGGTCCGTCGCGTAGAGCAACCACCAGAGACGCCGCCGCTCCTCCCGTTCCTCCTCGGTGACATTGAGGGGAGTCCCAGAGCCATGACCTACCGAGGTCACGAGCGACGGCAGATTCCGTTTCGACATGTCCACGTCTGAGTCTGCGTCCCGGTCGCCATCCTGACGCGCAGTGTTGGTATTGGGTGGGAGTTCGCGGCCCAGCTTGAGCTCACGGGCTAGGGACCACGCGGCGGTCCACCAGCGGATACTGGCGGCCTTGTATTCACTGGCGGAGACGACCGTGGCCAAATGCACGTAGGTCGCAACGTCATCAACTGCCCCCGTCGCGGTACTCTGGGCCCCTAGCTGGTCCATGGAGACGCCAAAGCCACCCAGCGCAACGCCGTTGATGACCATATTCGCCGCGTAGTTCGGAGAGGTCTCTCCAGGCGCTGGTCCATGGATCAACGGCCGAAGCAGCCCAATGGTCAACTCGAGTAATTTCTGACAGACTCGGCCGCGAGCCGACGGGGGAGAGGTCAAGAACGCGGCATCGCTGGTCTGCGCCGCGACCCAGAGCATACTCGCCAAGAGCCCCGGACTACACACTCGCGGTTTGGTCGGGTGGAGGAAGGATTGTTTGCGGAAGATATAGGCGACGACGTACGGCGACAACGGCGACAGATGCGACGGAGAAAAGCTGGTAAAGTAGACATCCAGTAAATCGCACGCCAGCGACTGGGGAATAATGGAGGCAATGTGCGGTAAGACGGGCTGCAAGACGGGGTAACGGAGCGTGCTGGGGTACGGGTTCATGCTGAATGAGGGGAAATTCGCGGGGGACGGCGAAGGCAGCGGAAGCCAGCCCGGGGACTGGGCGGGGGGCGACAATCCCAAGAACGAGGGCGGCTGGTTCTCCGCCGAGCTCCCTAGTCGGAAGTGGTTCATCGAGGCGGGGTTCGACTCTTGCGGGTTCATCAGCGAATACGCAGTTTCGTTGTACGAATTCAGGCCTTGCGACGGCAAAACGGCCGAGGGAGAACGGGGATTCGTGCCCGAAGGGTGCAGCATCTGCAGCGTCCGAAGATCGGGAACCGACATTTGGGGCCGATTGGACTCGTTGAGCGCACTGAAGTGATTCAAATGTAGCGCATCCAGAGCGGCCCCCAAGGGTGGTTGCGAATGAGGCTGCTGAGAATTCTGCATCCCCACCATGCCGGGGACATCTGCATGTGACTGCAGCTGGGACTGGGCAGAATTCGTCAGGGTGCGTGCGGCGTCGAACGCTGGGTCGTACCGGCCGTTGATCTCGTGCGACGAGCGCCCATCCGACGGGGAATGTCCTTTGGTCAGCATCGGGCCGCCGTCGTTGGCTGTACTGGACGATGTCGAGCCTGCTGCAGCCGCCGCCGCAGCGGCTGCAGCTAGATCTTTCTTGGATGCTTTCCCACGCTTCTTGCGCTCGCGCGCATATTCACAGGTGAGGCCGAATTCTGGCACACCGGGTGAGCAAGATGAGTCACAGACGTGCTCCGAGCGGAGACAAGAGACATACCGATACAATGAGCGCACGGGTGTTGCCCGTCGCATTTGGTTCGCAGTTGATTACACTGATCGCAGGCCCGACTGATCCGTCGACGGACGGGGGCCGAGGTTGAATTTTTGCGGATGGCGGAACGCGCCTCCGCCAAGGGATCGCGCTGGGAGGATTTAAAGTCGGAAGGCGGGCCATTATTGGAATGATGATTTCCCGACGGATTGGAGACGGATTGATCGGTAGATTTGGAGAATGAGGAAGATCGTAGAGACGTGGAGGAGGTGGCGGTGGCGGCGTCATTCCCAGCTTCGCGCGACAGCTGCAGTTGTTCGAGAGAGTATTGAGAGCCCTCGGCGAGGGTATCCAGACCGATGGTCTGGGACGGGGCCATGCCGAGCGACTGCGTAGAAGGGAATGGGGAGAAGGAGGGAGCGAAGGGCTGTAGAGAGGTCGTCGACATCCTCACGGGGGAGGGAAATGGGAGTAGTCTAAGGCGACATAGAGGGTGACTCTGAACTCAGCAGAGGTAGTGGGGAAAGGGAAGGGCCGTACGGCCCCAGTGGGTTAGGGGCGGGGGATCGGGGGATCGGAGTAGGGCGAGGGGGGAGGGTTAGGTAGGTAGAGAGGGTCAAGAGGAGAGGAGAAGAGAAGCGGAGAGAAGGGAAAAGAGGAAGAGAGGAGAAGCGAAGAGAGAGAGGAAGAGAGGAACAGGAAGAGGAAGAAGAAGAAGAAGAAGTCTGGGTCGGTGGGGAGCGAATGGAAGTGGCCAGATTCGGTGCCGGTGCAAAAATCGCCCCAGAAAGATGGGGGAAAGACTGGGACAGAAAACGAGGAGACACTGCCTAGGTGGGCTTAGCGAGAGGACTAGACATGTATCCTGGGTGTCGGAGTAGTCATCGTGTGGCAAGTGGGTATTAGGTGTATTGTATGTATGATTAAGATCTGATTAAGAGAATATTACTGTAAGTATTGGATATTATAAAAAAGAGAATATAAGGAGGAATGACAATGAATGAGGAATGAAATGGGAGAGAGGATCCTTTCGGATCCCAGCAGCGGTCAAGTACCGACAGTCCCTGAAGACGACTAGAACGATCGCGAAAAGGGAATATAATATACGGAGGACATAATAAATAAATCAATAATAATAATAATAATAATACAGAATAATAACGCTAATATACGGAGAACGGAGAAAACGCACCAACTAAACTAGTGCGCTCGGATAGTTAAGACAGGGTGTCGCACGCTCGTGGCCTCATGATTCCGGCAGCAGCAGGCCTCGGATTCTGCCTAAATTACCCCAGAGTCCCAGACTTTCCCCACGTTCAGGGAAAATACCGTACGGAGTACACGTGGTAAGGGACCTCGAGGTTAGGAGTATATCAAGATCATCCTCTGTCGGATCGATAGGTATCATCTGGAGCATATTAGTCGTTATATACATATCGTACATTAATATACATCTCCCACTTCTCAGAAAATGGGAAAGAAATGAAAAAAAGTACATAAAACAAGCGGGGGAGACAGGGATCCAATGCACCCCATCGCCCAAACTCCAACTCATCAAACCATCCCAGTCCAGAAACAGTCGATCCCCCTGTCTAATCTTACGGCCTGTCCATGGCTGGAAGTCGGCAAATCCCATCCCAACGCCACCCTAATGCGACCGTCCCTTCATCCATCCGTCCGTCCCCAGGCAAACAGGGTCTCCCCAATCCGGGATCGCGCTCACGAAAAGAAATATTTACTGTCACGAATGCGTGTCAGATCCCAGGCCCCTTTGCGGGGTACTTCCCGGAACCGAAGCGGCAACCACAGCCAGGTGTGGATGGCCGTGGTCTTGCGCTTCTTCTGCTGCTGCTGCTTCGGCTCCACCGCCACTTCTCCCTCCTCGTGTTCCGCCTCACTAGCGTACTCGACCGGGTTTGCCTTCGAGCCGAGCTCATCGTTGAAATCCGTCAGCAGACTCTCCAGGGCTGGATCCGATGTATCCGTCTCCATGCCTCCCGTCGGTTTCCGCTCCGCGGTCGCCAAGTCCTCGGGGACATGACCCACGGCCGTCTCGCCCAGCGAGCTAGAGATCGCCAGGTCTCGGTCACTGCCGCCCATTTCCTCAAAAATGCTGGCCGCCGTCACCATCGCCCGTCCCTGCGCCTGCAGCTCCGGGTCGTCTGACTTGAGAAGCTTCTGCCGCTTGTACTCGTCCAGCAATTCTTGCACCTTGGCCGACTTCTGGTTCGCCCGCCGGCGGTGAGTCCGGATGGCCTTGCCGAGTTTGCTCGTCACGTCCACCTTGGCCAGGAACAGGTTCTGCCCGTACCGAACATCGAACTCCGCCGCCAGGCGCTTCACCACATCGTCCGAATGCATCCGGACGAACGCCTCTCGCAGGATGTGGCTCATCTTGTCCACGTCGCAGGCGTGCGTCCAGAAGGAATCGTGCACCGCAGAGAAGCTCAGTCCCGCGCGGTGGCATGCCGTCGCCGACATGATCATGTGCGTCGCGTCGAGTGAGTGGATGAAATTCGGCGGGAACGCCTGGAGCTGCTTGCGCTTCGACACGGGGTCCTCCGAACTCATATCCACAATGCTTAGATCCTGGAGGGTCGTGTGGATCCGCCGAGCCTTGCGCGTCCGGTAGGGCTGCACGACCGGCATCCCCAACGGAGTCGTCCAAATCACCGTAGAACGGAACTTCTCTGAGGGATCCTTGAGTTTCCCCTTCGACCCAGTCGTCGATTTCGTCGGCGTCAGGACCTCTTTGGCTACCTCCTCGATTTGCTCTGGAGACAGGGATTGCGTGATGCGACTGGCACAATCCCCAAGCCAGTACTGAATCTCGTGGGCGCCGTTGAACATCGTGCCCAGAGCCTCGAAGATCTTGCGGGCGATGTACAACGCACCAGTCTGCTTCTGTTCGGCAGACAAGTCCGGATAATGGTCGACCAGTTGCTTGCGCACTTGCTTCATAGCTCCCATAAATGTCACACCATAGACGTTGGTCATGACCGTCTGCTTGACAATCTTTCGTGTGATTCGTCCATCAAGGAACTTGGCCACGGGGTCACCCCGTGCCGCTTCGCGCGCGACCGCGGCCTTGACGAATTCGGCGACACCAGTATACACATCGGACGGGCGGTCGGACGGCTCCAGATTGACTTGCTGCGCACCGATACTATCGCCACCAAGTGCTGCATAGTGCTGCAAACCGTTACAGGAGCCGTCTTGATGGATCGGCAAGCGGGAGGGGTATTCTGCGGGGTTCTGATACTGCAGGGCGTTGCGCAGCTCGCAGCAGGCAGCCAGGCACTGCCATGGATCCTCGGCATTGAGCCACCATCGTCGGCCATGCAGACCCTTGTTAGCGGAGTCGAGGATGTCGTCCAGGTGGTCGTCGGCGAATTTCTCGCGCTCCGAAAGACTAGCCTTGTCGAAACCCGCCAAGTTGGCAATCTGAATCTTCAACCATTTCAGACCGGTGGTGCCAAGCGGCTTGGCTTCACTAAATAGGAGAAGACCCCGCGCGTTGTCTGCACCCATCTGGTTCAGGTAGGGTGGAAGGGGATATGCACGCCCACGGAAGTCCATGTTGTGAGGAAGGTAAAACGTCTCGTTTCGATAGGCTCGTGCGACTTCCATCTGGAAATTCTGGAAGCATCGGTTGGAGTGCATACCTGCACGGCGGTTCTCAATATCACGCATCGCATTGTCCCACTTCTTCTCCGCTTCGTAGCCCTCTTCAGGCGCCGGTCGCGGGGGATGAGGCAAGTCAGGCTCCAGAGGGGAGAGGTTGGCAATCGGTTCGCCCAAGTTCCACGCCTCGAGCATCACATCGAAGACGTCCCGGTTGATTGTCCACCCCGTGCTCCCCAGAATATCCAGGCCTTCCCGGATCTGCTTCAGTCCGTCATTCTGTAGGGCAGCCTTCATATAGGATGGCTGTAACGTCTCGCCCGGAGTAGAGCGCACGATGTTGTTCTGGTAGAGGAAGTAGCCTCCGTCTTTCATTCCGCCCCAAGGCTTGGGTTTGCAGATCATGGGCAAATGGCGGCCGAGTAAATCTGCGGTGGGCTCCTTGGTGATGATTTTGACGATTTCCGGGTGAAGATGAATATATCCACCTTTTCTTCCCCACGAGATCTGGTAAGAATGCTGGAAGGCGGGCTGCATCGTGACTTCTTGCTTTTTGGATTGCGAGTGCTGCATGGCCACAGGAGCCTTTCCAACCTCAAACAGCAGACTCATCAGGACGGCCCCGATTTTAGCCTTGACACGGGGCGGCCAGACGACCGTGGGATCCTCCTGCTCCAGGCTGCGAACGATGTTCTGCCACCGCGCTCGACCGTCCTTTTGCTTGCGGCCCGCCAGCATCTCCTTAACAGCCTTCACCCGGCGAGCATCTGCCCCAGATTGTTTCTGCAGCGTCTTCTCGGCGATCAACTCGTCCTGTAGTTCCTTTCCGATCGTCGTGACGATCGCTGAAACCTTAATGCTTTTTTCCATACCACCGCGGCTAAATGTAGAGATCACCGCCAGGATTGTGAGAGCTGCGAGCCGCTCCGGATCGAGACTGCGCAAGAACACGCCGTATTCGCAGCGTTCCTTCTGTTCGAATGTGCGCACAGGGTTGGACTCGGCTTCCTCGATCAGCTTGAGTTCCTCCTGAATCCGAGAAACGAGATCACTGTGCCACTGGTTCATAATGGAGCCCAAACGCTTCCCGCCAGCGGTCGCATCGATGCCCGATTTCTGTCTGTCGTTGAATTCCTGACGCCAGCGCTCCAGGGACGACCGGATGGAGTTCGCCTCGAGTTGCTGTTGTCTGAGTTGGTTGTAGAGGTCCATGTTTTCCTCTTTCGTATAGGCAGGGTTGGACGGAACAGCGATGTCGGAGCCTTTCGTGAAAAGCTCGAGGGATTCCTGTAGCGAAGAAAGGCCCAGACCCTTCTGATCAACGGGCCGGATTGCAGCAACTACGTCGTTCTCAGGAGTCGGGTTCAATTCGTTGGTATCGGCATGGATGCTCCCAATCGCGACTCGTCGGAGGTCCGAAGAGCAGATCTAGCAGAATGAGTATCAGCAACCCCAAAGTTTCACAAGCGGAGTAGAAGATGGAATCTTACCTCGGAAAGTTCACCCAGCTCCAATTCCGACAATACTGGGACTGCCAAAACCTCCTCCTCGACAGAAGCCTTCTTCGCAAATTCCCAGTATCTCCGAACTGACCGGTCCCGCTTGCCACCGTGGAACATGCGGAGCGCCATGCGGATCATGATAGCAAATGTCGTCGCATCCGCCTGGACTCCACCAGCCGGCATATCGACCTCGAACCACCGCTGCAGCGGCAGGACCATGTTGTGTTGGCGGGTAACAATCATATGAGAGACCATCGCCTCGAGATACCGATTATGCAGGGCCAGATATTCCGGCGAGCCGACGGGGTAGTATTCCCCGAGACGAGTGACCAGGCTGGCGGCGCGGTCAAACCGGCCGACCTTCAGGGAGACGTCGAGGTTTGCCATCATCTCATCTTCGTCGCCACCGATGCCCTTGACCTTCCGCAGCACGCGCGGTTTCGTCTGCAACGCATCATCCACGATAATCAATGACGACGGGTCAAAGTCCTGTGCCAGCGGCGGGAAGAGCGATGACAATTGCTCGTATGATCTGCCGACAGGGTAGGAAGAGTTTTCGAAGGGCGAATAGGGGGATTGTTCGATGGCGGATTGATCTGCGGCGGTGGCGAGGTTGCGGTTGGATTGGAAGGAAGGACGGCGCCGACGCTCGTGAGTGACTGTCGTTGGAGAATTTGCTAGAGATGTCGGTCGACTGGCGTGAGAGTGAAGGCGTAGCGTGGCCAATGATGGACACAACGCCCGACGGCCGGATAAGAGTCGCAGATGGACGACATTTTTCGGACGAGCGACACGAGACAACATGGCTGAAGATATCGCTGAAATAACAGAAATTAAATCAAACAAATACAAGAAAAGAAGAGAAAAGAAGGGAAGAAGTTATGATCGATAAGAGCACAACAGGAACGAGACCATCGGCGACAGAATGGCGCAAATGGTATCGGGATGGCGAAGAAAAAAACACAGTCTCAGACGGAAAGCCAGCAGATCCGAACTGACAAGCCGTCCAATAATCCTCCGCTCAAATTAACAAGAAGAGAAAGAGAGAAATCTCAAAGAGGCGAGAAATCGATTGAAGCTGAGAAGGAGAGAAAAAGACGGAGGCGATCGGCCCCGATGGAAAATACTGCTTCCCAATCGGGGAAAGCGGCACGTGAAATCACATGACCCCTGATTTCCCAATGCTCTATAAAAATGCGGCATCTAGTTCGTTTAGAAGACGAGAGTAGTTGAAAACGGAAAATTATATGGATCGGAAGGTGTTTTGTCAAAAGATGTGCTTTTACGCCTCTGTTGCTATGATGGTACAGATCATTAATTGTCATGATACGCATAACTTCTATAACAACTCGTATGAAGTTCAGATGCAAGTTTTCTTTCATGATGAACCCTCCGCATTTTCCCTAGAAGATTCCTTCCCTCCTTGCTTTTTCCGATTTTGCTTCATCGCCCATCCCGTCATCTCCGGATGGGCAGGGTCAATCCGCGGCGCGCTCATCTTGTCCAGATAATCCTCACTATTGATCGCCGACTGCAGCTGCGGGAGTTCCTCCAGCTCCTGGTGCATCATGTAGCTTTCATAAACTTGCCAGGACTCTTCCGTCTGTACAAAAATTACGGTCAGTGGAGCAAGAGCAGAAAAGACAAGGGAAGAACGCACCTCCGCATCCACCCATTCATACTTTCCCCACTTCTCCTCCTGCATCTTCTTCAGCAGATCCAGATTGCCCGCAACCATGGCTGCCTCATTGTCCTCCGCGGCCTTGATCTTGACATCAATCGCGCGCGCCTCCGGTTCGCCTCGATCATCCTCCATGCCCTCCTTGCGCGCCTTGCCGCCGCGGGCCTTGGGCAGCTCGTCCACGGCGTCCAGATGGTGCAGTTGCGGATGCAACTGTACGACCGCCGACACGGGCGAAAGATGCAGGTTTTCTATCCCCGTTAGCCACGGCCACACAAACCACGAGATAGAGAATCACTCACTCCCCCGAAAAGCAGCCAGCATATAGACGGGATCGCCCTCCTCGGGACTCTTAATCCGACCACCAAGAGTCTGCACGCGCAACAGCGACGCGGCCTCCCCGGTGCCTCCCATCTCAACATCAGCTTCGGCCTTCACTTTCGCCCCACTACCGCTGCCGCCCGCCGTAAACCCGCCGGCCATGCCATAGGAACCGCCCTCCCGCGCGCTGCGGGATTTCCGCATGGCATCACCGTAGCGGAGACCCTTTTCGACATCGTAGTTGACGCGAGTGTTGATGGGGACGTCGACCTCTACCAGGCCGGTCCGGGGTTTGAGGCGGAAGGACGTGGGCCTCTGGCCGTGGCGGTCATCGTAGGGGTAATTGGGATCGCGGTCGAGGTATTGGAGCACGTAGCGGGAGATTTCCGAGTCTGTGAGGTAAACGTCGTAGGAGGCGATGACGGGGTCGTCGGTCGAGGTCATGGTTAGGGGTGGCAGCTGGTTGGCATTCTTGAGGTTCAGAAGATCATCGGCGGTGATTTTTTTATCGAGAGTTGATAAGATCCCGCCGCCTTCCTATTCTGGATGATCCCCTGCAGGTACTAGTTATGCATTAAACATGGATTACGTAAGTAGATATGCATTGTCAGAGAGGCTTGTATACCTCCTTGCCAATGAATCACATTTTGAACATATAAAAAAACAAGATTCTAGCAGTAGATAGGTACTAGTTTAGTCATTTTGGAATAAATTACATCTTATAGAACACATATCAAATACACCGCGTGCTTTCGAACTTATCATCCACTATGCTAGAGTTATTCGACGGACTTGAATCTTCCTAATATATCAGTCGGGTCATTTACTATAGCGGTCAGTGAGGGCATTGAAGAAGTGATTAAGTTCTTCCACTATCATTTGAGACGTAAGGTAGAGACAAAGCCACCGTCTACTTATGTAACGTGTTCCATGGTTCTTCCGCAATATATATCACCAATCCATAAGAGCCATGTACGCCCATTGAAATACTTGACGACCATGGTCAACATGCGCTCATCCAAGTCAATGGTCTAAGCACATGTGGTACTCCGGAAGTCAGCACCATGGATCGTTCAATATTCCTCTTCGACGCATTTCTAGGAGCAAATTGGGACATAGGGAGATATTAGATGCGCCTACATTGCTCAGAAGCTGCATCCCAAGGAATCAATTGCCGGACGAGTAGAGTAGTATGATACTCTCCGCGATTAGTCAAACAACGCCCAGACCAGTCGGCTATATGTCCGTGGTAAAAAATTGCAAACAGCTTTCCCACTGCCCACCAACATGTAGAATGTGTTTCCCGCGATTCTGGTTCGGTTCTTTCGGCAAGTGTGGAAGATGAGGAACCCCAAGCTTCTCTCCGCTGATCTTCAAGATTAGCTTCTCCCCTGCTCCAAAGACGATGCCTGCTGGACATATCTGTATCTCCAATTTGACGACTTTCCCTGGTTGAACCTTCTCAATGCGCTCGTAAGACAGCGTATTCCAGGACTTTCCTGACTTTTCAGCAGAGACATGTCGCCGGGACGCACGCAACATCCCATCGGGACCCCAGTACCGAAACACTCTGTTCTTAGTGAGCTTGGCTTGCTCCTCAGCGGGGACCCCGTCTGGTATTGGGATGTTGAGGTTCGACAGAATGTTCCCCTCTTTGTCTGCCTTGAAAATATGTGTATATATGTCCAGATCATCGTGATCAGGGGCAGAGACATGAATAACCAAGGTACTGGGACCCACAATTGCCATCTTGGAAGGGACGTCAAACGTAAAGGCAATCTCGTCAGTTGTGTCAGCCTGAAGATGCAATGTCCCCGATTGGAGAGGTTTCTCCGTTGCCAGCTTGCAATCGGGGCCGAGATACAATTGTCTGGACGCAGCAGATGGCAGCTGCCAGGGGAGATCCGGGAACTCCTTGTTTACAATGGGCGGCTTCGTGAAGTTTAGTAGCGCTAGACGGACTGGTGACGTTTGTGGCCAGTCGTTTTTGATATCTTTCAGGTAGTAACCAAAAAATTTGTCAAGGTCTTGGGTGCGGTCTTGGGTGCGGTCTTGGCTATATAGATCGTACCATTCTTGAGTCGAATGAAGGACTAGCCTGCTAGCATGTTAGCTACTCATGGCTGTCTCTCGATGCAACGGAACAAGGACCATTTGTTCTCATGAGGAATCTCCTCAAACGCACGCAAAGAGCCCACACCGTGGATGTTGGACGAATAGCTGGCTCCAATATAGGCAGGAACTTGAATCTTGGAAAAGTCGGCCCGCTTATCTTCCAGGTAGTCGTTGGTAACGGTATAGGGATCGACCATAGCGCTTATGTCCTCCTGTTGTTGTCGACCCGGCAAGATATCGGCAATTGAACGTGCAAATGTCGTCCAGGGAATACCCCCACGGAAGCAGTCTTCTCTGAAAAGATCGGATTGACCTTCCAGCGGGGCAATAGCTGCGAGATGCGGCGGATGCTCAGCCGCGATGAGTACTGCGATATGGCAAGCCAGGAGTTCCCGGCCATGCCTATCTTTCCATTACTCCAAGGCAACTTGGCGAGCTCCTCGATAGCGTCATGGCCGTCTTGACCTTCACCAGTACCCCACCAGCGGATATCACCCTCAGAGTCACCAACGCCCCTTGGGTCAATGTTGACAATTGCATAGCCTCTGGGCACCCATTCAGCTGGGTCAAGTCTGGATTTCTCGCGGTCAGTAGACTCGCCATCCCTAGTTCAAACGGTAGAAACACACCCCTCGAAATCCTCATATCCAGAAAGACGATTGGCAGGTATACCGGCTCGTAGTGGTGCGGAATGGAGGTTCAATAGCCCGGTGCCAGACTTGCCGTATGGTCCCCACATGACAATAGCTGGCACCGTTTCATCTCCTACAGGGCGGAATATATCCGCGCGGATCTTGGTCCCATCTCGAAGCGTCAGAATCTGATGCTTGTCGAAGATGATGGGAGACATTAAGGCACGGCAATCCGGGCGTTTCTTGTGTCCGGCTGGAAGCGTTGTACTACTTGGTGTGGCTGGAGGAGCTTGCGGTCTGGATGCGTCGCGCATCTTGACGTCAACTGAGCCAACCTTGAATGGCGCCATGATAGAATAATGGTAGTCTGGTAGATGAAATAGTTGAATCTTTGAGTATTCCGGAGGGTAGATGTCTAAGAAGCTTATATTATAGAAGTCGATCCGTCTACAGGACTGGAAGCCGAGGGATGGTGAATACCTACGGAGTAGGTATCTATCTAGTGAGGTATCGGTCAGATCAAGACAGGCAACCATAAAAATAATGGCCTTGTAGGTATACAACGCCCATCGCCGTGGGGAGCTTGACGCGTGTTGCACGCTGAGATCTACAGTAGGCCGGAACTCGGGGAGTTGGGATCGCCGGATCTCCGCTTACATATCAACCATCTTAACCCGACTTCATGCCTTGAGTGTTTTCATTTGCGGAATTCGAAGTCTACGTACTTTTCTAAGCTATTGCGAGCATGCGGTGTCCGGAACTTTTCCGAGGGAAGGTTCATACATAATGCAGTGTTTTGTCTCCCCCTGCCATTCACTACAGGGGTTTCTGTCCAATTGAACAAGCTCGAGAATTTCAGTATCTACTACAATGTCGAACTCAAACCGCGCCCTCTACGTCAATGACGATGGGGAATTCTCCGTACGAGACGACATTCCCCCGCACAATATCCAGCCGAATGAACTGTTGATCGAGACTCATTACTCTGGAGTCAACCCAGCAGACGTTAAACATTCGGCTCATCTTGGTATCCAGCCAACCGTCATCGGATACGACTTTTCGGGCCGTGTTCTTTCGGCTCCTCCTTCCTCCAAGTTCAGTCCAGGAGATATCGTCGCAGGCTATACACCATCGGGGTTGGGACGTCCGACCCGATATGGCGCTCACCAAGATGTCCTGGCGGTGCCTGAGGATATGGCGTTCAAAGTTCCGCCGCATCTCCCAGAAGCCGACGCAGCGGCGCTTACAGTGGTCGCCATGACTGCTGCAGACGTTGTGCACAATCTGTTCAAATTTCCCCTGCCCACCAGCCCCGGAAGCTTTTCCGCCCCTCTTCTCATCTGGGGCGCTTCCTCGTCCGTGGGCATTTGTGCCGTGCAACTCGCGCGGGCAAGCGGCTGCACAAACATATTGGTTACTGCTTCCCCGTCTCGTCACGCTCTTCTCAGAAGCTTTGGTGCAAGTCATGCTTTCGACTACTCCTCTCCAAGTGTCGTAGCCGACATTCAGTCTGTCGTGGAAACGCTCGGTCAAGGACCTATCACCCATGCATTCGACGCGGTTGGCTCGCTGGGCGATCCGTCCTCCGCCGATATGGTTGCCCAATGCGTTGATAGTTCGGCCGTACTCGTTTCTGTGGTGTTGCGGGATGATCGGAGATTCCGAATGCCCCTGGCCACAACCAACAACCCCTTTTCGATCCAGCCACCCGGTGTGCCACAGCCGATCAGCATCCCTGCCAGACCGGCAGATCATTGGAACGCTTGGAAGGCTCTTAATTGGGCGGTGGATAACTATGGCAAGGCGTTCAAGCTTCCAGCGGTGGAGACCCTCGAAGTCAAAGCGGAAGAAGCGTTGGAAGAGATATACAAGGTGGCGGATGGAAAGAGAGGCTTTGGGAAGATTGTGTTTCAGCACCCTTTCAAATGAAATGTCAGGCGGTGAACGCATTCGACAGTTTGACTGCTTGACGCCATTCCAAGCATCAAACCGGCCAGTGTTTTACTCAGTGTAGGATCATACGCAATCAACCAGTCGGGAAGAAGCGTGTGGATATGTTCATTGAACGCCTCGCCTGCTTCGGAATAACAAGAAAACCACTCTGGGTTCAATAGACATAAGACTTTTCGATAAAAATCCAATATATAGGACACCGCTCCGGGATGGCCTACTTCTCTCTAGGATTCTGCATTGTTGTCACCAAGGCCAAGCGTCTTCATCACTATCATCACGACAATCATCGTCAGAGCTCTCATCCCCACCCCAGCCGTGCAAGGATTCATGCCTCATCCGCTGCTGAGCCGCGGGGTCATTCTCTCGCTCCCTGTGGAGGCCAAAGGCCTGTCCGATAATCTTGTACAGTTGCCCGATGACCTCCTGTTTGTTATCACCCCATGACAGACAGCGTTTGGACACCTATTTCACCATGTCAGTATACTCCATCGCACGTCCTTCAAAGATAAACTCACGCGGCCTTTGTCGCTGAGGTGCAAGAACGTCCAAGTGTAGCTGTCGGTACAGATCCCATAGACACCACCCTTATATTTCTTCGCTTTGCGGCCAGCATAAACGACTGACATGCTCGGAAGGGCGGCCCAGCATTCGCCATCCAGTAGACTGCTGCTCCGAACGACCACCAGGTTTGTGTCCCAATCTCCACGCGCCCCATACCACAGGATGTAGTCGACCGAGTACTCCATCGCCAGCTCAGATCCAGCAGGGATGGTGGTGTTGAAATGGTAGTATGGGGCTTTGTAAACCTGATGACTGGGCGGGGATGCATCAGGGTAAAGTTGGCCCTTCTTCTTCCTCACGATAGCCGTCGTCGCCACCAGAATCCAGTCTGTTCTGGGTCGAATAGCGCCCAGCTTGTTGTCTTCGGTGGAGAATATGAGGGCGATATCGCTCATGTATCGCTCTGAAGATGGTTAGCTTGGGGATCTGTGCTTGAATTTTCTGGTGGAAACAAACCAAAATGTTCGGGCATCTGAATGCTCATACTCTCATCGTCAAGTTTCCACACTTTCTTTTCTTCGGCATCTGAGCTGGGGGAAAGTCCCAGTCCACGAAACATGCGGAGAAGAGCCGGACCGCTTTCATCAGTGATGTTAGGGAGGCTCAGCCTCTCCATCGAATGCTTGGTGAATTCCCTCTCCATCTGGTGAATCTGGTCCTGTTTGCTGATGTGGTGCGAAATGCTGAACATTGAGAAGCGCATTGTTATTTGAGTAAATGAGAATGGAGGAGACGAGTGAAGCGAAGAGTAGAGGAGAAAATTCGAGGGAATAGGTTGTAGGGAAGGATTCCGTAACTACGATGTCAATTTGTTGCCCGTCACTTGACCAAATACCCTTCGGTAGGTAATACTGACACAACAATTAGATATCGTGAATAAGACCTATTAACCTGATGTAGCCTACATATTGAAGAGGTAAGCTATACAGAAGCTTCACCGATGCAAAAGGAGAGGGTATAAATTGAAGCTCCTCCCCATACTTCGCACTTCTCATTTACCCTCCCTCATCCTCCCCAGGCCGCAGCCTACCCTTTCGTTTCCTTCTCATACGTTTTCATACCTTTTCAGATCATCATTCTCAATCACTCGAGTCCGCCTGTCGCTATGGAGGGTATTTTGATCCGTACTGAGGCGAGGATCAAAAAGGCGTTGGAGAAGATCAAAGACAATGCCGTCCATAAGGAGGTCGATACTGTCTTTAACCTCGCGAGAAGCGAGAGCAAAAAGGCTATTCAGACCCCGAACCTCCCTCAGTCCAAGAAGGAGAAACTTCCTCATGTTGCCGTTACGACCCTCCATCCCGACAAGATCTGCTCAACGTTCAGGCTCAGGGCAGGAGGAGGAAAGAGCGCTTTGGAGTGCACCAAGGATGAGATGCGCAAAGTACCGGAGCACCTAAGTAAGCTTACTTTCCTTCTTGAGTTTCTAAGACCAAATAGAACTAATAAACCTCCCTAGAAAACATTCTCGCTGATTACGGAGTTGCGACGAGTGGCTCCCCTCCAAACGAAGCCCTAATGCGGTGCAGGATCGATGCGATCTTATTAACATGCCTGGCTGCGCAGAAAAGGGCGAGCTCCCGGGATTCCGGCTCCTCGATACTCTCAGTTCATCTCCAGTGCGAAACGGACATGCTACTGCCATGGAGATACGAGGGTGAGCAAAAGGTGGTGTCGGGCATAACAGACTATTCCCTGTGGTACAAAGCGCCAGAGGAGATGGAGTCCAATCTTCTGGTCATCGAGGCCAAGAAGAAGGGGACCGCCGGGGACTACCAAGCATTAGCCTATATGGGTAAGCTAACTGTAGACTCTTGAACATATGTTTGTTTGCTCACAAGTCACAGCGATGCTCCACCATGCACGGAAGGCTGTAAACAAGAAGGACTGCACCATCTATGGTATTGCCACCGACAGCTTCGCTTGGACTTTCCTATATCTCGATAACGACGGAAGGGTAAGACACCAGCTAATGATATTCTCTCGACTTTTCGGCTAACTATATTTTACAGTACAGCAGAATTGCTTACTTTTGGGACAATGGCGACCAGGATGTCATCGTGTCCACAATCCACAAGATCATCCGCCGAGCCGCGTCTCTGTCCAAGGAAGAGCTCCAGCGGTCCGCTACCGCTACTGGCAAGGGCCAAGGGGTGAAGAGGACTCTCAGCGGACATAGCAAGTTGGAGGGATTTTCTTTCAGGGGAAAGAATTAGACGGCTTGTCGGCCTATTCCTCCATTTCCACGTTCTGTCGTTTCGAGCTGGGCTCGAACGTTGCTTTCCTTATTTTCCAGTTCTTCTTATTGCTGTTTTATTGATTCTCCTTGTCCTTTCTAGCCAATCCTTGCTGATTTCTTTGTTTATCGTCTTTTTCAGCCACTACTCGCTGCATGAGCCATTTTGAATGCAAATGAATTCCTCTCAGATCAGGCGGCTCTAGAAGCCAGCTTTGATTCTCTATGTAGCCATTTGTAGTGAAAAGAGGATAGAATTGTGATGCATTGAGGTTCAACATGATAAGTAATTGTATAGTAGAGTATGGTAGTATTCACATGATGCAGACATATGATAGGACTGACGCTCCATCCCCGCACTCATACTTTCAACCTCACCCCCACCAACATGGCCGCTACTGCACCCCCAGAGCAGGATAACTCCCTCCCAACCCCCGAAACCCAGTCCAAAATCGCCCGCTACACAGTCCTCGACCGCCATGGCCAGCCACACGCATTCGAAGATCTCTACAACGCCCCCGACGCCCCGCGTCGCACCCTAATCATCTTCATCCGCCACTTCTTCTGCGGCGTACGCTGCCCCCCCAAACCCCTCCCTCCCAGCTCAAGACTGATTGATATCACCAGAGCTGCCAAGAATACATCCGCTCGCTCACGCCAACCCTCACCCCGGACACCCTCGCCCGCGCCCCCGTCCCCACGGCCATCGCCATCGTCGGCTGCGGCGACCCCGCCCTCATCGACGCCTACGCCGCCGAAACCGCCTGTCCGTTCCCCATTTACGCGGACCCGAGTCGCAAGCTGTACGACGCGCTCGGCATGGCGTACACGCTGGCGCTGGGCGCGCGCCCGGAGTACATCCGCAAGGGGTTTGTGCGGATTGTTGCCGAGTCGGTGTGGCAGACGCTCAAGCAGGTGCCCAGTGGGTTGGCGATGAAGGGGGGCGATTCGAGACAGGTTGGTGGGGAGGTGCTGTACGAGGATGGGATGGTGACGTGGTGTCATAGGATGGCAACTACGAGGGATCATACGGAGGTGGCGCGGTTGGCGGAGATGCTTTTGGAGAGTACCCCGTAGGAAGTATGAAGTATTATGCAAATTCTGAGACGTCGGTAGGTATATACAAACTCGAACAGATCGTCAAGAGCTTTGCTCAACCAGGGAAACAAAACAATTCTAACAATTCATGCAAAAGTGGGTCGTGAAATCGATGAAATGAATACATGTCCAAAGCCAGCACTTTTCCTTTTATTCAGCTGCTTTACTCCTCGTCTTCGTCCTCTTCAGCAACCTGCGATACAGTGTTAGTAGGGTAATTGATCATTATAGAGAGAGATAACTTACGCCCTCGTGGAAGTTGCGTCCATCGGTCGTCTCCTTGATGACGCCCGCACGGATACACCAGTCGCCAAAGCGCTCCGGCTCCGGCCCGTCGGTGTGACGCTCCGCAGCGTACCGCTTCAGCAGTCCCTTCATGATATCGAGGATCTCGTCCTCCTTGATCGACGAACGGTACAGCTTGTTCAGACGCTGGCCGTGGTAGCCACCGCCCAGGTACATGTTGTACGCGCCGTAGGCCTTGCCAACAAAGGCCGCCTCGGCCAGCCAGGGACGAGCACAACCGTTGGGGCAACCAGTCATACGCATGACGATGCTGTCCTGCGCCAGACCGACCTCCTCAAGGGTAGACTCGAGCTTAGAGATCAGCACGGGCAGATAGCGCTCGGACTCGGCCATGGCCAGACCGCAGGTGGGGAATGCCACACAAGCCGAGGACGACAGACGCATGCCGCTGAAGTTGGTGTTGTCCAGCTTGTACTTGGCCATCAGCTCCTGGATGGGGCCCAGGTCCTCGTCGGTCACGTTGGACAGGATCAGGTGCTGGTTACCGGTGAGACGGAACTCGCCCTTGTTGAGCCGCGCCAGTTCGCGCAGACCGGTACGCATCTGGAAGTCGGCAGTGTCCTCGATACGACCGTTCTCGATGAAGAAGGTGAAGTGGTTGAGGCCCTTCTCGTCCTTCTGCCAGCCGAAGGTGTCGACATTGGAGGCGAACTTGAAGGGACGAGGCTCGGCAAACCGCAGTCCCTCCGGCAGCAGCGCCTCAACCTTCTCCTTGTAGGCCTCGACGCCCATGTCGTCAATGGTGTACTTCAGACGCGCGTGCTTGCGGTTCTTGCGGTCACCAAAGTCACGCTGGATGAGCATGATCTTCTCGCAAACAATGTGCGCCTGGTCCGCGGGGACGTAACCAAACATACGACCGGTCTGGGGGTAGGTCTTTTTGTTGTTGTGGGTGGACCCCATACCACCACCAGCAAGGACGTTGAAGCCCTCCAGGTGACCGTCCGCGCCCTTGATGGCGATCAGACCGATGTCGTGGGCGTACACATCGGTGTCGTTGTGCGGGGGAATGGCGATGGTGATCTTGAACTTGCGAGGAAGATAGGTAGGGCCGTAGAGGGGCTCGTGGTCGACAACAGCGTCGCCAGCAACCTGCACCTTGTTGTCGTCATCGTCCTTCAGCCAGATCTCGTGGTAAGCCGTGGTCGAAGGGAGCAGGTGGTCGCTGATCTTCTGGGCAACGGCGTGCGTCTCGCGGTGGAAGTACGACAGCTCGGGCAGAGAACTGCACATGACGTTACGGTTGACATCACCGCAGGCGGCAATGGTCGTCATGAGAGCCTTGTTGATCGCACGCATGGCACCGCGCAGGTTGCGCTTGATGACACCGTGGAACTGGAAGGTCTGACGCGTCGTGAGCTTCATGGTCTCGTTACCAAAGGCGCTACTGATATCGTCCATCTGGAGCCACTGGGACGGAGTGGCAACACCACCGGGCAGACGGCAACGAATCATGAAGCTGTAGGCGGGCTCGAGACCCTGGGCCTTGCGCTCGTCACGGACGTCACGATCATCCTGCATGTAGGTACCGTGGAACTTGGTCAACTGCTGGTCGCTGGCGGAGATGGCGCCCGTGGACTCGTCAAGCAAGCCCTCGGCGATGGTACCACGCAGGTAGTTGGACTGGATCTTGATGTCCTCGTTGGTCAAGGGAGCGGGTTCCTCGGGAAGTCCCTCAACCTTGTCCACGCCCAGGGCCTGCCAGAGACGGGGCTCCCACTCGGAGTAGCCGGTCTGGTACGCATCGGGATCCTGGTCATCACCCAGACCAATGTCGGTCAGCTTACGACCACCCAGGAAGGCAATCCGGGCATCGAGGTCCTTGGCGGGCTTGTTGTAGTAGATCCTGTCCTCCTTGCGAGGCCAGTAGTGGCTGTCTCCAAGACCGAAGACAGAGTAGTTGATCGTCGACAGATCCAGGTCACCGGAGTTCTTCACGACTTCCCACAGAGCACGGCCGTTCTGGGGGAATTCACCCTGACCGGCAGTACTGGTGATGAAGACCACGTTCTCCTCAGTGGGCAGGTCCTCGGCCGGATAGTCATCCATGGCCATGACCATGGTCTTCAAGCCGCGAGCACGACCGCGGTTACCCAGGCGCTTAGCGATGTTTTGGGCGTTACCGTTGTCGGAGGCAAATAGGATGGTCAGAGGGGCACCGAAAAGACCCTCAAGGAGCTTCTCATACGAGTCCTTGGCCTTGCGCTTCTGCAGCGCGCGGACCTCAGTGCCATACGACTCAGAGAGGGCGGCGGAGAAGTTGGGGTGCCGGTTCATCAGCTGGGTAAGCTGGTTGTCGCGGCGGAGGAACTCCTCGAGCTCGCGCTTGATACGGTCGGAATCCAAAGAGAACTTGGGCTCGCCCTTCTCCTCGTTGGCGGGGTTCCAGCGGTACAGAGGCCAGTAACCAAGATCAACGGCCTTCTTGGTTTCCTGGAGGACCGTCAGAGGGGAATCGTTCTCCTGGTTGTATGGCAGATAGGCGACAACAACGGAAGGACCCTTGAACTGCTCAGCCTCGGCCATGGCCTGGAGGACCTGAGTATAGGAACCGTAGACCGCCACGGAAGCAACATAAGCATTGCCAAAGTTCATAGCGTACAGACCAATGTCCTTCTTTCTGCGAGTCGGGTCGGCAGCAGTGCGCTCAGAGTAAGGCTGGGAGTCGATGACAAGCATGTTCACGTTGGCACCGGAAGCAAGGACGTGGTGGACACCCGAATTTCCAAGATCGTAGGCCCAGGCATCAGATCCCACCAGCCAGTGGGTCTCATCGTAGAAGAGCTTCTTCGACGCCAACAGCTGCTTGGACAACGAAGAGCCGTCGTTCGAGAGACGGGCAATGACATCCGGAGCCAGCTTGTTCGCCTTGGCGGCATCTCCGACACTCAGAGCCCACTTGGACAGCCAGTTCTTGGGGACCTCGGTGGCAAAGCTGCTAGATTTGGAAGCATCCTCAACCTCACGGACGAAGCGCGCACGGTGTTCCATGCGGGCAATCAAGGAACCAAATCCGTATTCGGGACTGGCGGCAATGGTGGAGGAGATGCCGGCGTTCTTGGAGCCCAGCTGGTTTGCAATGTACAGGCGCTCACCGAAAAGCTGGTTCAGAATCTTCAGGTAGGCATTCTCCAGAGCAGGCTGCTCGAGGGCAGTTTGAAGAGCCGGGACCTTGGAGGTTCCAACCTCGAGGTTCTGGATGGGAGTGGGGGAGTCCAGGTTCTGGAAAATGCCACGCAGGGCCTGGACAGCCGTGGAGGGCTCGACATATCCCAAACGGTAGCCGACAATCTGGGGGCTGCGGGCACCCGCCGTCGCCGGGGTCAGGCTGGACAAAATATCCATGAACGAGGGACCCCATTTAGTGGTCTTGCGGACCTGCTCCACGACGGCAATCTTCTCGACCGAGCTGGGGATAGAGTTCACCAGACGGCTGCCCACCCAGGGGCGGTACAGACGCGCAGTGACTAGTCCGATGTTTTTCAACTCGGCGGGGGTATCTTCGCGCGCGAGAACGTCGACAAAAAGCCCAGTCGAGCCAAAGACGAAGATGGCCGACTTTGCATCCGTAGGACCGGTGTACTCGATGGCGCGATAGTTGCGGCCAGTGGATTCAGACAGAGCCTGCCAGATCTGAGCAGTCCAGTCGAAGATGTCAGCGGCACTGACGGGGCGGACAGCGGAGGCAGTGTCCACGGTCGTGGCCGCGGAGCTCGTAGCCCGGCTGTCAGTGCTGCTATCTCTGCGCGAGGAGCCAACGGACGAGTTGTCCACGCTGACACTGGAGGGAGTCTGAGAAGGCTGAGCCGGGGTCGCCGAGCCCTCGGGTCTGGAGGTTCTCTGCACACCCTCCTCGGAAACGGTGGCAACTCGTCCCGAGTCGGTGTAGAGGGTCTGGACGCCCGATCCCGGGGTGTGGGTAGCATGGACACCGCTCAGGTCCATCAGATTTCTCAGAATATTCACATCTTCCTCCGCAATGGGCTCATCGCGAGCCGAGTTGGCGGGATCAAAGAAGTGAATGACACCCTTTCCAGACTTGCGGGCCAACGCATGGGCCGTCATCGCAATATCTTGGGCCTCCTGGATGGTCTCGGAGTGCAAGAACGTGAAGCCGCATTGCCGTATCGAGCTGATCACGGAGTAATCTGGGAAAGGGTAGGGCTCCAGAGCGACGTGGAGAACGACGGGGTAGCTCGCCAGACGGTAGAGGTGAGGAACGGACGACAAAAGGATGGACGAGGCGGTGACGGCGGAGACGACATTTCCAGTCTGGAGGGGGTAGAAAGCGGAGAGCAGAGGGTCCTCATTGTGTCGCACAGCGACGACCTGGAATGGAGTCAGAACGGGAACTCCATGGTAGGATGTGGCGCCACGGAGGTACTCACATCTGGAACACCCTTGGGAAGGATGTTACGGGCATTTCCAGCCTTCAGAGTCTTGAGAGACTCGGAGAAGTAGGAGTCGGCCTGGAGAGAGGGCTGGACGGAGAGAACGACGTCGCTAGCGAGGTAGGCGACTCTCGCCACTAGAAGAGTGTCAGTACAACCGTGATCTCCCAGAGACTTGAAACACCTCAATTCCCACAGGAATCGAGCGATAAACGCATTGGAGCAATTGGGCGCAAATACCAGCTTCTCCGGCGGAGGACACAGGCGCCATGATGGATCAACGGTGGATTCCGGCGCACTCGGTGGGATGTAGAGTATGAGGATCAAGAACCGGATATCACCGCATACGGTGACTCCCCACCCAATTCAAGAACACACAAGAGACGGATGAGAGAAGAGAAGGAGGGACAAGAGAGAGAAGAAGAGGAAGAAGAAGAAAATATTTAGTATTATCTCCGTCAACTCCAGAAAGAATTGGGAGATTCTCCGCCATCGGGGTGGTAACCGCCTGCTTCTCATTGGCCCCTGATCACGACATCGACGAGGGGCCCTGCAAACACATGCAAACACCGCCGAATCGGGCAGATCCCGTGACCCGCCCTGGATCACGTCACCGCCGGCTTCTGCTCTTCCTGTTGCTCTTTCGGGCGAGAATCTCTCTGTGTACAGTAAGGGTACTTTGTCTCATTCAGATATCTACTCCGTCCATTTCCTATGAATGCTCCATCTCCCCTGACGCCAGTGCCGAAATCCAAAACCCATATTACAGTGCAATCCATGTACACTTTCCAGACGCCCGATCCCCTTCCCACTCTCGGTCATCCGGGCAAAAATCATGACCCAACGCCGCTGGCACAATGGCCAGGTATGTAGATCATCTCGGCATAGAGACGAAATGCAGAGGCGGAAAATCAGGGTTTAACCGCCGATGGAGAGAAAATGCGACATGCGTCCTTCCGTCCTTCGAGCAATGCCGACGCGAGCGGTGCCTCCCGCGGGGAGCTTGAGGTCAGGGCACACACGGCTCACGGATCGAGAAACGAGAGCATATATATATAGCGAGCGAATAAATATGAAACAAGTAACAAAACGAGTGTATGTATACGACGAGGCTCTCACCGACTCTCGCCCCAGTCTTGCATCTTCACGTTCACTCCAGGGGATTGCTCGTAGATTGGCTGTTGCAAGGCGGCAGCTTGCACGGCAGATTGGGAGGGCTGGGGAGGTCCCGTTCCCGAACGGCGACGTCTCTCCCGCTCCAGAGGGCCGGGCAGCTCGTTGGACTCACCCCGAGCACGGAAGCGGCGGCTGATCGTACTCATCCAGTTACCACCCTCTTCATCTTCACCCAACCAGTAGTTGCGGCCCACGCTGATCATCGCCCGACCCAGCTTTCCTTGCCATCCCTGGCCATCCGGGCTGTACGGCGAGAACGGCTCGCGATCAATGTCTGCCATACTGGCGACGCTGGCGACAGACGTGTTGCGACTGTGGGTGGGGAGTTGCATGTGGCGGGGGACGGCGACGTAGATCCGTAGAGCCTGGCGGGCGAAGGCCAACATGACAAAGACGAAGTAGGCTCGGATGGCCCACAGCATGCAGATGAACATGATACTCTGGAAGCTCTCGGGCTGGGTGACGGCATTGCTGAGACCGTCCGAGTTCCGTGCATAGTGGTCGCCCTCAGCAGAGGACGAGTCGTATTTAGGACTGGTGAAGCCCGCCGTCTGGGCGATCGTCTCACTGCCCGGACCAGACGCATTTCCGTTCTCGTAGTGTTGAGAGATCACGAGGAACCACGTCACACCAAAGGCAGCGGTGTACGCGGCATTGATAATGCTGTCAAAGAGGTACAGCCAGGCGAGCGCAAGGCACTGGAGAGGAGACTGTTTCCGGATATGGGGGAAAAGGTAGACTGTGATGCCGAGAGCGACGAGGGAGTAAAGGTACATGGACAGCTGCACGGGCGAGAGATGGTAGCCGGTCAACAGCGCGAGTAAGCCATAGAGACCACTGATTTTGTTCAACAGGAGAGATAGGGTGATTAGCGATGCGCCTGTACGAAGGCTCATCACATAAAGGAAGGTCTGATGATCGGGGGCGTTAGCGACCGGGTTTCCGGGTCGGGGAGTGGTCGGACGAGACGGTGAGTGCCTACCTCTGGCCGCGGAATGCGGAGGAATCGGGTTGATAAACCCATCTTTGAATAATATCGCCGATGGGTGAGGACCGGGGGGAATGAAAGGAGTGATGCAGTACGAGCGGTGGTCGAGGGAGAAGTCGGAGAGGGAGAATAGAGGAAAAGGAAGAGGAACCTCAGGTGAGAAAAGAGACTACCCGAAGAGGCTGGCGGTCGGTGTTCCACCAGCGCTCCTCTATCCGGTCGATCCGCCCGCCGATCTCTATTCTCCTTCTCCCTGATATTATTATTGAGCGCTTCTCGATGGATGTCTCAGTAATGCAGAGTTGTTCAATCTTTCAGAAGTACCAGTACGATAATCTGACTGGGCGACTGGGCCCACTTGGCAGTCAACAGATACGAGTACGAGTCCGTTTGTCACTGCCTACATACGAACGTACCTCAGCTGCCCAAGGGATATGGAGTAGCCTGGTCAACACGCCTCATGTCTGCTGACGGTTTCACATAAAACGTGTTGATATGACGATCCATATAACGCATACATAGCTTGCGAATCATGAACTCCAAATCAACTCCAATGTTTAGTATCACAACCGCTCGACAGAATCTAGATCGATGTAGAAGCCCAAGATCCATAGAGATATAGAAAGGAATAAAGCCAGATGGAAACAACGCAAACCATAGAAGAGGCAATTCCATATAATCTAAGCACGCTATTCACCTGAAACATGGATCAAAATGTACATCTGGAGAAGAACAAGCATTATCAACAATCTCAAACCTCGTCATTGAGATCCGTAGCAAGAAAGAACAAGAACTGGCTAGTATACAGCGTTTAACAGGCGCATCCATCGTTGCTCGTGGTCTCTTTGGGGTTTATATTGACATCAATCACTGAAATCATTAGCTTCGCCCAGTCGGGGATTGTCGTAGGGAGAAAAGAAGACTCACTTTGGTTCTGTTGGTTCGCTTCACCCTCCATGCCCGGCAAAGCCTGCGCAATCCGCCTGAATAGCTGCTTGACATTATGACCGACCTTGGCACTCGTCTCAATGAACATCAAGCCGTTCTTCTTCGCCTCTTCTTCACCCTGGGCGGTCGTGACCTCCCGCTTATCGTTGAGATCGGTCTTGTTGCCGACCAGGACAATGATCACATCGTTGCCACGTTCACCCCGGACGTCGTCAATCCATTTCCTGGTGTTCTGGAACGACTTGGCGTTGGAGATATCATACACGACAACGGCGACGCTCGAGTCTCGAATGTAGGATGGGATCAACGACCGGAAGCGCTCCTGACCCGCCGTATCCCACAGCTGTAGTCGCACCGTTCTATCTTCGAGGTACATGGTCTGAATCACAGACGTAGGTTAGTCATGGCGATGGCCAAGTCGGGGCGGAAGCGGGGCCGAGACGGTGTACCTTGGACAGGAAGTCGATTCCAATCGTGGCTTGATATGTGTTGTCGAAAGAGTCATACATGAACCGCGTGATTAACGATGTTTTGCCGACTGTAGTTTATTCATCAGCGACAGGCTTCGGGGGGGGACATGTTGTCATTGAGTCGCCGCCCATCGGGGGTGGTCATACCGCTTTGTTCCCCTAAAAACACCAATCTGCGGATGAATGAGCAAACCATTGCCGCCCCAGTCCGTTTCGGAATTTGCCAACATACTTGAACTTCTTCAACGGGTTCGAATACGACCCTACCCCAGACGTGGAAGCCATGACGATACCGCGGGAGTCAAAGAATCAGGGGTAGTGGTAGTCGAGTATGAATTAAACAAAGTGTCCGGAAGAGATAACCGGACAGACAGGAGGGGTGGGAAGTCAAGAGAAGACGAGAAATTAATTAATTAACGGTCGAATCTAGTCACACAGCAAGTCGACCGGGTTATGGAGAGGAGGAAAGTGGATGAGGAGCTTCGTCCATGGCTCCGTCTGGGGAACTTCAACCAACAACAGCGGATTAACGGCCGGCCCGAGCCATCTCCAACTAACTACCTTTGCTGCCCCGTTGCGACTACGCCGACGAGTTCCATCTAGCTGCCTTCCTCTCCCCGTCCTACCCTCCTGCTCAGGTGTCTGTCGGCCCTGACCTTTTCTCTTCTTCTTCTCATCTCTCGGACTTTCTTAACCCTTCTTCAAATTTGGGGGTCATCATGGGGCTCGCATATCCAGCTGGTGCTGCTACCGTGTCCCTCCTCGTCATAGGAGGCTGTATGTGCCCTCTCCGAACCCCTCAGACTTCACCCCGGAGCTAACGTCTCCCCTCAGACATGCTTTTTACTGGACAAGGCGAGCAGTTTAATGTACGACTTTTTCCCGTTCATCATTTGCTATCGATATTTACCTTTCGGTCTAGGTCGGCCAATTCCTCGAGTCGGTCTCCCCGTACGCTTGGGCGAACCTGGGTATTGCGATGTGTATTGGATTCTCCGTCGTGGGTGCAGGATGGTAGGGATCTCCTCCACGTGTACGCCCTCAGCTTCACTGACAACGCGCCTCCAGGGGTATTTTCCTCACGGGCTCTTCGATCGTCGCCGGCGGTGTCAAGGCCCCTCGGATCCGCACCAAGAACCTGATCTCGATTATTTTCTGCGAAGTCGTCGCTATTTACGGTGTCATTATTGCGATCGTGTATTCCTCCAAGCTCAACCTGATAACCAACGACGAAATCTACTCGGGCAGCAGTTACTACACGGGATTTGCGCTTTTCTGGGGAGGAATCACCGTCGGCATGTGCAACCTGATCTGTGGTATCTCAGTCGGTATCAACGGAAGTGGTGCGGCACTGGCGGATGCAGCGGATGCGAGCTTGTTGGTTCCCTTTACCTCGTAGTGGAACTATTATCCGGGCAAAAAGCTGACCATGCATGTATAGGTTCGTCAAGATACTTGTCATCGAGATTTTCAGTTCGGTTCTCGGACTGTTCGGTCTGATTGTCGGACTGCTGGTGGGTGGAAAGGCCACCGACTTCGGTTCTTAGATAACATCCTTGGGGTATTCTTCGAGAGAAGACCCTGACCACGGGGCGGGAACTGTATGACCTTTTTCTTCTCTTTTCTTTCCTCTCTATAGCTTTTTCTTTGATGTTTTATATACCGCATTGAGGCGTATGGATCGATTTGGTTGTAGAGTCTCGCTTGGGTGCGCGTGAATACCATGATGTTGACATTGCGGTTATGTACAGTACCAGGCGCAATAATGAAACTACTTAGGTAGATTGTTGATCTGTAAAACTGTGTCAATATGTGTATATGTGTACTGGGTGAGATTTAAATTGTAAAAGAGTGGTGTGGAAGTATGCGCAATCCCTACTGTAGATAGGGTTGCAGCTATATATCTCCGCTCGTATCGTATCAACTTTCTATCAACCTCCGCTCCCCGCGTTCCGACTTGAACCCCTCAACATCCCACTCTCAACATGGCAGACAACACTCTGAAGGCTGCAATCCTAGTCGTGTCAGACACAGCCTCCCAGGACCCGTCCACAGACCGAGTATCGGAGACTCTGACGACGGTATTTTCGACAGAGGGGCCGGGGATCTGGCAGCAGCCGGTGACGAAGATCGTTCCTGATAACGTACTCGACATCCAACGAGCCATCTGTGACTGGACTGACGGACCCAATTGGGTCAATCTGATTATAGTCAGTGGTGGTACAGGATTTGCTGTCAAGGATAATACCCCCGAGGTGCGTCCATCGACATTGTTATCGTGTGGGAGATGCAAGACTAACATGTAGACAGGCGGTATCACCCCTAATCCATCGCCATGCTCCCGGCCTAGTGTGCGTAACGCGTCTCTTTTCCACTTGATATACCGAATATGAGTAGTTGACTGATGATTGATCGCAGACATGGCATGCTGGCTGCCTCGTTGAAGGTGACGCCCTGTAAGGATACCCGATCCAGCTTAACACGAACCCGGCTAACAACCCGCAGTTGCAATGATGTCTCGGCCAGTGGGAGGAGTCCGCGATAAGACGCTCATCCTCACTCTCCCCGGCTCCCCGAAAGGTGCCAAGGAGAACCTCGAGGCGGTCATCAAGCTCCTCCCGCACGCCTGTACCCAGGCCGCCGGTGCGAACTCCAGAGCGCTGCATGCCGGCGGCATGAAGAAGCTCGAGGCCGACGCGGGTGTCTCCTCTACCACCCCCCGACAAGCGGAGCATTCGCACCACCACCACCATCACGATCACCACCACCACGGCCATGGACATGTCGTACCAAGAGCACACACCACTCCGTCTGAAAGACCCCAGTCCAACGACCCCAACGCAGGACCCAACCGACGATACCGTTCCTCCCCTTACCCCATGCTCTCCGTCGACGAGGCCCTCCAACAAATCAGCCAGCATACCCCCGACCCCGTCATCATCGAAGTGCCCGTGACAACCTCCCTGGTCGGCTCCGTCCTCGCCGAGGATGTCTACGCGGCGGAAGCCGTGCCCGCGTACCGCGCCAGCATCGTGGACGGATACGCAGTGATTGCCCCTGAAACCCCCGACTCCGGGCCCAGCACCAAAGGCGTCTTCCCCGTGGCGTCCATCACGCACGCCAACCCCGGCGGGACACTCGCGCCCCTGGAGCCCGGAACAATCGCCCGCATCACCACCGGTGCGCCGCTCCCACCCAACGCCAACGCCGTCGTCATGGTCGAAGACACGGTCCTGGCCACCGCCACGCCAGACGGCAACGAAGAGGCCACCGTCGAGATCCTGACCGGCGACATCAAGCCCAACGAGAACGTACGCGAACCCGGCAGCGACGTCGCGCTGGGGTCTTGCATCCTCCGCAAGGGCGACCTGATCACCCCCGTCGGCGGCGAGATCGGCCTCCTCGCAGCGACGGGCACCAAAACCGTCAAAGTATACCGTAAGCCGTGCGTCGGCGTGCTGAGCACGGGCGATGAGCTCGTCGAGCACGACGACCCCGCCGCGCTGTACGGCGGCCAGATCCGCGACTCCAACCGGCCGTCGCTGCTCTCCTGTCTCGCTGCGTGGGGGTTCCCGACCGTCGACCTGGGGATTGCGCGCGACACGCCCGTTGGCGAGCTCGAGCGGAGTCTCCGCGACGCCCTCCGCGGCGTGGGCAAGGCCTCCACCAGCGTCGACGTGATCGTCACGACGGGCGGCGTGTCCATGGGTGAACTGGACCTGCTCAAGCCGACCATCGAGCGCAGCCTCGGCGGCACGATCCATTTCGGCCGCGTGTCCATGAAGCCGGGGAAACCGACCACCTTCGCCACCGTCCCGTTCAAACCATCCGCGACGGACGGGGCGCAGCAGGAGCGCGAGACGAAACTCATCTTCTCGCTGCCGGGAAACCCTGCCTCGGCGCTGGTCACCCTCAACCTCTTCGTGTTGCCATCGCTGCACAAACTGATGGGCATGGGCGAGAGACAGATTGGGGCGACGGCTGTGCCTGTGCCTATGGGCCTGCCTCTTGTGTTTGTGTGTCTGGCGCATGCGTTCCCGCGCGATGCAAAACGCACCGAGTATCACCGTGCGGTGGTCACGGCGAGTCGGTCCGACGGGCGGCTGTATGCGTCGAGTACGGGCTTGGAAGGAGTTGGACAGCGCAGCTCGCGCGTCGGCAGTCTTGCGAGCGCGAATGCGCTGCTGGTCATTTCACCTGGGACGGGGAAGATGGAAAAGGGGGTGCTGGTGGAGGCCTTGATGATGGGGCCTGTTGTGCCTGGAGTGTAGGCGCTTTGCGTCTGAGCTGGCTGTCCGTTATACTGTAGTAAATCTAGGACTATATGATATCTACTATGACCCTGGCATGGCTATAAATGTAACAGGTTCCCACTAATATGAACAATAGAATCACCGAAATCTAGTATACTATGAAAAATCCCCTGTGGCTAACAAGTTTCATCTACGAAGAGCCATCAAGCACCCTACTCGTCCTAGGGCATGCCCCCGTCGGCCTCATGTCGCCAATGTGCATTCATTGTTGGCGATCGCGGTATTCCAGGTCCCATATTCGGTGGATTGCCATATCCATATCGAAGCGACACCATGATCATGACAAGCCGAGTCTCCTGGGACGGTGCTAGTCGATAAGGATCTTCTCCTGGAGAACCTTCGTGCCCAAACGGAGAATTGGGCCTCTGCTCATAGATTGCTCTGGCAGGTTTAGATACGCATCGGCTTCGTATCGAACTGAACGACCAAAGTACTGTTGAGGCACATTGCTCTGATCGTTGGGCCACTGATAGACATATGGGATGACCGTGTGCGCTTGAAGGAGGCTTCCTGAAGTTTGCACCATGGCTGTTGCCACCCAGGTCTTTCCCTTTCGGAGAATCATTTTGCACACCATGTCTGTATAGTGCTCACCATCGGTCTGCTTCGATGTCGACCTGGATGTCACCAACACCCGCTACTTTCTCGAGACCAAGTCTCATTCTTCCAGGACCTGTGTTCAGCATTTCTTTTGCTCGTCGAGCAGCGCGCTGAGACATCGCCTGACATCAGCCCTTGTGGATCTTCCACCCTTTCTTCTTCTCAGCTCGTAACATAGGCAAGGTATGCTCCCTCCCCTGTTCCCGCGCAACTTCAATCACAAGGAATCGAACGAAATCAGTCAGCGTCCAGTAGCTGCTATGCGCACTGATCATGTTGAGGTACTGGATGTTCAATGGCCCACCACCGCCGGAGAGAAAGTAGTCGATCTGCCCGTTGTCATTCAGAAGAAGCATGCGTTTCTCAGCAATCTCCTCTCGGGTGAAGTCGTGAGTCTCCATTTCCACGTTCGATGAGAGTTTGGACACGGCCGCCGGACGGACAGGATTTGTCGTCGCGGCCGACATGAGCGAGGGCCCTGAGCTCCAGCGAAAGACGCTGCCGAAAGATTGCCAGAATGAGCCGGCTGTGCTGGGGATGGAGGCGATCTTGAGGGAGTGCGCGAGGTCACGGTCTACTGCTGCGTTGACGCGGTATGCAATCGCTGGAAGAGATTAGCTTTTATGCTAGGAAGAGCGGCATAACAGAGCTTGACGTACGGTCAGTGGTATGCATGATGTTGTATAGATTATCCACGGCAAGACATCCGTAGATGTCTGCCTCCCCTGCAACACCACGCAGTAGGTCCTCGCCCTCGCAGCCGGGCTTATCTCGGCCTCGCCGGGGCATTAAATTGCCTGTTCAATATCAGTTGATGTAGGCTGCCTTTCTGTCACAAAGCTACAGACCTTTGTTTAGGAGTAGGAAAAACCCAGCCGGGCTTCCACAAATAAACAAGTTCTTGGTATCAAACTCAAAGATATCGCCATGGATACTAGTTTTCGTAAAGTCGAAATCTGGGACGTGGGTTGGTTGGTGACTGAGAATGTCCAAGGCCATTGCACTTCCGAGAGAATGCGCAATAAGATGGACACGCCCTGTCTGCTGGAAACCAGGGTTGTTCTTGCACCAAAGCCGATAGATGCGATTAGCTTCCTTTACCACAGCCTGGATCATCTTGGGCTTATGATGAGACAAATAGTAAGGGATGTCAAGCATCACATCGCTGATCAGAGACCTGACAGCTGGAATGGTCTCTGGGGTGATGTCGTTCAGCGTAAACTGATTGGTAGTCGGGTCTTCAACGCCCTGGCTGTCAAGATCCGCATCCTCCAGCGAAAGAGTAGACCGCCAGTTCACCGGGAGAACCATGATACCTCCATGATCATGGCGAACGTGTGGCCATACCAGCTCGCTGTTCAATTCCAAGTTGACATTTCTGCGAAAGGCATTGATTGCGTGCGTGAAATGAAAGCTTTCCATGCGCTCTGACAATTTCTGGCCGATACCATGTACAACGAACACCAGATCAGTAGGCGTAGGCCGCAGCTCTTCCATCGCACATGCGTAGCATACTTGCCGACCACCTGCCCTGGGCATCGCCCGGGACTGGCTGCTTCGTAGATAATTGCGCACATCCACAGGGCTAGGTTTGGACGGATGTAGCTGGTCCCACAATCGGCGGCTGAAGCCACGAATGACTGGGATACCAATCTGCCGTCCTTTGCGGATCGCACTGAGCGGTCTCCTCCCCCTTGATACTGACGGAAGTAAGCTCGGACGGAGAATTTGCGCATCTCTTCCATCGACGTAGATAACACTTGAGTTCATGTATGGCTTGACGGCCTCCGAGTGTACGGATGTCCCACCCGCGGCTCGATTGCCATCAGACATGGCAGCATCCAGTCCTATGGGAGTTTCGTCCCTTGATTCCGCTGTCGGCCTGCTTTGATCATGGGCACCGGCGAGTGAGCTCGGTGGTCGTGAGAGATCCTTCTGCCACAACTTTGTGCACGATCTGCATCTCAGCATCAGCACCATTCTCTAGCCAGCTGTTCAGCTCATCTTGCCCACGTATCACGTCCACGGCTTGAGGTAAACGTAACCCATCCTCCAGTTTATTGGCAAAGTTCTGTCTCAACCGGAAGCATGGTGTTCTTGTAAAACCAAGTTGCTCGGAGTACACTCGAGATGTCATGAAGGGGGCTCCAGTAAATGGGTTTCATCTGCAACAATTAGAACTTGGTTCGACAACCATTAAGGCGTACAAGCCACCACCGGACATACCTTCAAATTTGGTAATTCGACAAGGTGAAGACGCGATACCCCTACTGGAACCTTTTCTTGAGCTTCTTCGGGCAAAGGATCCTCAAGCGGTTTTTTGGAATCCTCCAACGGTTCGTCTTGATGAATACTCGTTCTCAACCCCGACGGCTTGGACGCCATATGGCTCGTCACGCTGGATGGAAGTTCAGGATGAGCCTCCTGGTGCCCATCCATCGAGGAGACAGACTCTACCGAACGACCTAGAGGGCTCCGTGGGTGGGGACCAGGAACTCGCGCAAACGGAGAGCCACTGATCGAGCCATCGCGAGACGGGTACATTTTAGGGCTGGTGCTCTCTGCGCCTTCCGTTATAGCGTCATCGCTCTGCGGAGACCCGCTAGTCCGACGTTTGACGGTTTTAGGACTGCTCGTGGGCGAGATATCTCTCTTCCGGTAGCTGAGAGGACTGACCGTAGGACTCTGTCTTCTTTGCTTGTCGGATGATGACGGTCCACACTGGGAGGTTGGCTCATCTGGAGACATTGCAGGCACACTTGTTGGACTTCGCTGGCTTCCAGTCCGGCTTGGGCCGCCCTGTGTACCTGTAGCTGACGCCCGACCAGGGACCGAGATCCCCACGTTCCTCGCAGGTGTGCCTTCTCGTGACGGTATATTCCTGACCCCGCGTTGTAGCCTCGTCCGCCGGATAGATTGCCATGCTTCCTCGAGTGTGATATTGTCCTTTATCGAAAACGGCTGGGGCGGTGCTCGTTCGTTCGCGGGACCCTGACCGGAAGTGGGAGGTGGAAGCGCTGTCAGAGGATCATCGATTGGCAACGACGATATGTAAAAGAATTGAGGGCGAACATTGGGCGGGCGTTCCAGCGTATACCAGGAGGAGGGATCAGCGTCATCATCTGCAAGCAGGCATGTTGGGCCGTAGGTATGAATCGGAACCGAGGTCATGGTGAAGGTGAGTAGTCTGCGCGACAGACTATGAATCACCAGAACCGAGAGAAGAAGCTTCAGCAGAGTTTTAACGATCGACCACTATCATTGTCAGTCACACTTTGGTGGCTGTCTGACATAGAGGGAGAGTCCACGTCGTGCCAGCAAGGGGCCTCGGATCGGCGAACCGAACTAGCTTGTCCGGAGCTTGCAATCCGTTAATGTGATGAATCTTGTGGCTAGAGGGATATTAGACATGGCCAGTCTCGCATGATAAGATATTTTCAGGCCGAAGAAGCCAAGCTGACGGGGGAGAAGAAGCTGTTGAGACGGAATGTTGTTCTGCTGGCGCTTTCGGTACGCGTGAGCCTATGACGTCGACCCACGTGCTGCGGGAGTCAACAAGCCATTTTCAACCAACCGATTCTTTCTCGACGGCTTCATGAGGGTGATATTCAGTTGATTCAAGTCGATCTATTAGAGTGAGAGGGTACGGACGACAGTCCAGTCGGATATTCACTAATCAATTCAATGTTAAGATCGCAGCTAAGATGCTCCACGAAATAGCCCAGACTAAACTCGCTAAGATGATTGGAAATACATGGATCGTCTCTCGCCATATGCTCGTGAACCCACCCGTCCGCCACATTACTCATTCTCGCCGATGATGTTGGGTGTATGGCTTCATTGTATCCGCCGAGTTCGATCGGTTGTTGTACGGCTACCCCGAACATGAGCCTTCTCTCGATGCTCCTTCATCACGGCCAACGTGCGCATCTGTAACTCCTCGAAATCAAGGAACGTGGAGACGGGCGCGCCGAGCATGTCCAGGAGTTTGTGGATGTCGTGCATATGCTTTCGGATCACACTATCGGGTGCGCAGAACGTACGCACATTCATCTCCTTGACAACCGCTCTCCAGTTCTGCAGGTTCGAATGCAGGAGCACTGGGTTGGTGGAACTCTCTCCGTTGAAGTGCAGTGTGCGGATATTCGACAAGATCAACCGGCGCTGGGTGGCTTGGTCAAACTGAAACTCCACCACTTGAGGCCGGTTCTTGGATCCCCAGAAATGCGTGACCTTTCGGACAGATTCTTCGGACACGCGACCGGCGCGGTATTGCTGAACGAGGAACTTGTTGGCGCTGACGCAGATCATGACCTCCAGCTCGGAGTACAGCTTCGCCTGCATCGGGGGATCCAAAGAAATGGGGAGATGCGACTCCGGCACGATCTTGGTGCGATGGGTTCCGTGTGTGAATGGATGGGGGTATGCCTTGGTCATGTCTTCTGCCTGAGGAACGCGTCAGCGTGCGTCTCTGAGATGGGTTGGCGGGACTTACAATGCCTGCAACGTGCTGTTTGATCTTCTTCCCCAGGGTCTTGATGGTGGCTAGCTTTGGATTCCGAGCACCGGCGGGCGTGTACTTCAGATCAGCGGTACACCCAAGCCAGCCGTTCGTGCCGAACAGCTGCTTCTGCGCGGTGCGCCGCTGTGCGAGTGGGTTTTCCAGAAGTTCCAGCTCTCGCATGTCGGCATTGAGCGGGTGGTAGTCCCGGTGCTTCCTTGTGTAAAGACAGTGGCCTGCTCATGGTAGTCATCCTCGACGATGGCGATCTGCCTGTGGACGCGGCTTTTGTGAGTGTC